TGCGTTTCCAAAAGTCAGGCCAGGCACCATGACCCCTTTCCAAATCTCTCTCACCACCTCATACCTGTTGTAATTCCAAAGTGCTCTATTTTTCATTACAGCTGCATTTCTGTTGCCCTTACCTATTATATACTTTTCATGGTCTCTGAGATATTCTGCACCATCACATATCCATACTCCTAGATACTTGTATTTACTAGCTCTCTCAACTGTAATATTCTGTATCTTCAGCCTCTCAACTTCATCCTCGTTAAAAATCATGACTGCCGATTTTTCGCTACTGAATTCTAAACCTAATTCTTCTCCTTCCCTACCACAGATGCTCATTAATTCCTGCAACTCTGTCCTGTTGTTAGCCATTAGTACAATATCATCCGCATACATCAATCCCGGTAAGGATTGCTGAATTTTTTGGCCTAGCTTACTGTAAGAAAGGTTGAACCCAAGCCCACTCTTCTCTAGTCTATCCTCCAATCCTCTCAGATACAACATAAACAGCAAAGGCGATAACGGGCACCCCTGCCTAAGGCCTCGTCTTATATCTATTTTCCCTGTCGCCTTTCCTTCCCATGTTATAATCACCTTGTTATCTTTGTAAATGTTCCTTAATAGTGCTGTTAGTCCTTCATCTAGGTTTAAGTTCTCCATTATGTCCCACAGGTTTCTTTGGTTCACATTGTCATAGGCACCCTTGATATCCAGAAATGCCAGCCAGAGCTGTCTGTTTTCTTTTTGCGCTATTTCTATACACTGTGTTAGAGAAAATAAATTGTTCTCCAACCTTCTTTGTTTTCGAAACCCGTTCTGTAATTCGCCCAGTATGCCCCCGCAATCTACCCATTCCTCCAGTCTGTTCTTTATAATCTGCATTACCAACTTGTAAATAACCGGTGTCACGGTTATAGGACGATAGTTCCTAATATCAGACTTATCTCCCTTTCCCTTATATATCATACTCATCCTACTAAGCCTCCATTCATCTGGAATATTTCCTTTTGTTATCATGGTACTCACTACCTCCCTTAGTTTTGCCTTAGATTTAGGACCCAAATTCTTCACCAGCTTGATAGGGATGCCATCTGTGCCTGTCGACGTGCCACTAGGGACTCTTCGTTCCGCCTTTTCCCATTCTCTTTGTCCAAAATCCGCGATGTCACAAACTGGACTGCTACTTCCTTCGGTTCTCCTATCTTCCACATGTAACCGTTCCCGAAATTTCTCCTCCATCACTGCTCCTATATATTGTATCGCATCATCTCCCTCTAATTGATCTCCCTGATGCGAGAGTATGAACCTCTGTCTAGCTTGCGTTGTTTCACCGAGTGAGTTCAAGTGCTCCCAAAACTTCTTGGCAGCGTTTCTATCTTTCTCACTTACATTGCTCATCCATTCCTCACCCTTTCTCTGAATTTTCGCATTGATCAAACTGGATGCCTCTCGGCGACATGTTATAAAATTGTCCCATTTTCTTTTTACTTCCGTTTCGGACTCCCCACTACGCTTGGAATACCTGTGTTCTCTAGAGGCTTCCTGACGTTTTTGTATCGCTTGCTTCACTTCTTTGTCCCACCAGCTTTTTGGTCTATGTCCTTGCTTCCCCTTTCGTTTACTCTTAACTTTGTCTAGTTCTAGAGCAAAAAGCCTAGTTAGGCTCTCATAGGTCCAATCTGTATGCCGTTGCCCTGAAACTGCTGCCTCTATTCTTTCAACAACTATTTCCAACTCTTTGTCGCTGCAGAAAGTTTGCTTTGAATTATGTTGTCTAGTTTCAGCATTTACTTCTCTGGCGAAATTCAGCTTAATACGTTTGTGATCACTACCAAGACTTTTGGAACCTTCTTCATCTATTTTCATTACTTGTAACTTACCATATATTTTGTGTGACATGAGTACGTAATCTATAGTTGAATGCAGATTGCCAGTTTCCCAAGTTATGTGCCCGTCACACTTCTGACTGGTATTACATAAAACTAAGTCATGTTTTTCCACCAGTTCTAGTAATATGCTTCCAGTTGAGTCCGTATACCCATCCAGACCCTCAATATGGGCATTCATGTCTCCCATAATAATTATTTCGGAGCCTTCCCCTAGTTCACTAATGTCTCTTGATATGCAATCAATCATTTTTCTGTTTTCCTCTTTAGCACCTGTCCCTGTCCATAAGTAAACCACTCCAAGGACTGTTGATTCCCCAGCGACTTTTCCTTTCAGCCACAAATGTTCGGCGCACTCCTTTCTGATCCTTTGAAAGTTCATATTCTTCTTAATAAATGCTCCAATTCCACCTCCCTTCCTCGTTCCCTCCATTCTGTTGCATTCTTCCCACACATAGTCAGGGTTGCAAGGTGGATGCTCCATGTCTCTGAGATGTGTTTCCACAAACCCATACACCATTAAATCCTTCTTTCTTAGTTGCTCCTCTACCTCTTCCCATTTTAACCTATTTCTACCACCCTGCATGTTAATATATCCAATGTCTGATTGTGCTGTTTTTTTTATACCTGTTCTTACGTTTTCTCCTCTTTTTAACCCTGGGTGCCTCTCCTGACTTCGTTGGGTTTTCAATTACTTCAGTGCCCCCAGGGCCCTCGGTCCCCCCAAAAAAGCAGTCACCGTGCGGCCCATCCTATCCCCCACCCTGTAACCCGTGGCCTCACTGTAGTGAATGCCATCTGCAAAAAAGCGGGAGCCCTTTTGCAGATGGCATTACCCGTCGACATATCCGCCACCAAGCGGTGGAAAAGGCGGCGCATACTAGAAAGGAGTGGGATCAGGCGCCGACACGGAAAGGTCCCGGATGTACGCGGTAGCGCTGCGGTCGTTCGGGCAGGAGGATCCGACCGGCTCCGAGCGTTCCGATGGCCTTCGGCGAGAAGCTTTGTCTTGCGGTTTGGCCGTTTCGCGGTATGGCAGCGCAAAGTAGCTTCCATTCTGAACTGATCTTTACCCCGTGTTTGCTCTCGTTTGTGGCCAATGAAGTGTCATGCCGAATTAGTATTTAATCGCGCAGTAAATGCAATGAGAGCCGCTGTGGCTGCCCGCTGCATACAGCATATCCAGAACACACTTTAGTAGCGCCCTCTCGCGCCGTCGACTCGGAGTGCGGCAGTTCTCCTCTAGTTCACGGCCACTCTCAAGCAACCAAGGACGTCATGAGGAAGGTTATTTTTTGCTTGTTTTTGTAATTTTAATTTGCCTATAACTTTTAAAATAAAGGGAATTTCGAGAAAAGAAAAGTTTCACTAAGTTACTACGTTCAGTGCGCTCAGGTTCGGTGCAAATTAAAAATGAGCAAAAAAGTCATTGCAGGGCCCCTTTAAGCGTGCAGCCCAAGTGATAGCGTAACTGAACGACTTGTCAGTACTGGAAAGGAGGGGGGGGAGTCGATATTAATCAAGGAGGATAAAAGGGTAGGAGAGAGCATGACGTCAGCCGCGTAGCCTCCACAAGCCAAGCTCCCTTGACGCCTCGTCTCTTTCTCATTTTCCTCCTTATTCTCCTCACTTATAAGCCCAACATGACCACATCACGTCATGACCGTAGCTAGCCTTCGACCTGATAAAACCTACCGGACGGAGCGCGCGCAAGCCTGCAAGGAATCCTTCTACAATCAACCATACATCTCGCACGTGACATGTCACTCGCACAAATCGCCAAAGAGATCTGCGGTCACGTTGGGCACAATATCGTTTAAACTGTTTATGACTAGGCTTCACCAATATTGCAACGAGCCCCCTTTTAGTACTTATAACCTCCTTGATATTAATCAAATGATCTCCATAATGAAAGTAGAGGATAGCACACACTCTAGAGGCGTAAGTCCAAAGCAAAACCTACAATCTTTCACATTAGCAATCGTTCTGCGTCGCGAAAAGCTCCAGTCGAACCACAGTAGTACGCGCCGAGCAGCGCCGACGACGAGGCTACGGGGGCACGCTGTCAGCGCTCCCAGCGCTCCGGCCAAATCAATCCCCCCCCCCCCCCCCCCCAATGCCCCAGAAAAAAAAAAAAAAAAAAAAAAGAAAAAAAGGGGGGGGGGGGGGCGGATTTGGCCGGAGTTCTGGGGTTTGCAGACGAGAATAGAAGAATGAATTATAAGTGCATTTTAATAACAAAGAGGAGATGGGAAGACTGGTAGAAATTATCTGGGGCGAATTGAATGACGTTCAACTGACCGACACAACTGGGGAGAGAGGAAAATTGGGACTCCCTGCTCCCTCCCGCGTGGCTCCGGCCCAAAGTCTCCACCTAACCCTGTCTGCAGTGCAGGCGAAGGCAACGCCAGAAGAGAGAAAGGCGAACACTATGAAGAAGGGACGGGAAAGGAGGGCGATGGAGGACGAGGGGAGGAAGTGAGAGCACTAGGAACGTTAGAGAAGAGAGGAGGTGTGTCTCCTCATAGCCATAGCCAGCCTTCCTAGTTTTTCCCCTCGCCTGTGACACGCCTGTGACACCGACGCTAGTGACTCCCTCGCCGGAGGAAAAAAAACAAATGGAGGTTTTGGTGTTTTTCTTCTTGACCAAGCTCTTGAAGGTTATCCTGGTGATAGTTACTAGATTGCAGAAAATAAACAAATTAAAAAAAAATCATATTTTTGATTTTTAAGTTTCAGGCTAGGTGGCGCAAGCTACCGCCCTACATAAAGAGTACAACTTACATTTATTTATCCATCTATTCATGTAGTGTAGGAGATTGCTATTCACCACGGGTGAGTTTCCAGTATGTCTATAATTTAGATAGAAATGTAGTCAGATAAAAGTATTTAATGTCTTTTAGATGATTCGTTACTTACGCAACAGCAAACTAAAATACCAAAACCGTACAAATGTAGTACTAAACCAGCGCCACGCATATAGGCGTGGGAGTAACGCGCACCATTAGGACAGCACTGGCAAATTTGCTCATTGAGCAGGGCAAGGAAACGGGGCGCTGCTTGGCGCTGCGATCGGCGAAACGGACCAATGGCGTAGGGCCAACGCAACCTCAGGCTTGCTGACTTCGCGCTGTGCGATTGGTTCAATGTCCGCGCGTGGTCTATTCCGATTGGCAGATCAGCATTCCGGTAGCCATAGAGAGTGCGCCGCTCACGGAGGCCACTGTCATTCAGCAGAGCGAGCGGCGTGGTTTACCGGTGTTTGCCTTCTGTGGGCCGATCAACGCGTGCCGAGTTCCGCTGAAGTTTGGGTTTCTCAGCTGACTCCCACGATGCGGCGGAACCTCTTCATCAGCGTCTGCCTAGTGGCTCTGTTTGCGGGTAAGTTACGAGAGAAATAAAAGGGTGCCTGGCGCGTGTTTCGTAACACGGCCCCTCTAACCACGTCGATCCTTGCCGGAAGCGTTTCAAGTTCCCGTCCCATATAATGCTGACTCTTCGAATGACAAAAATGATAGTACCGTCCACCGCTATGCTTCTGGGAAAGCACGTTATCAAATGTCCATATTCCAAGATAACAGGATTGAAACTGATCGGAGAAAGCGTTCGAGCGTTTCAACGTGCCTCGGCACCAACGCGTGCGGGAAAACTACCTGTGATGACATATTTCGAGCTTACAAATACTTTTCAATTAAAGCTTCATTAATATACGATTTTTGTCCCATTGAACGTGTGTTATTTTGGTGTCGTTTTCAGAGTGTCGGCGGCCGTCGGTATGATGACAGCGACGCTAACTGCATTCGACTATTTATCTTTTTTTACCAGAAATTCTGGCCGCGTTATTGTAGCTTTGCTCCACAAATGATGAGTTCAGAGGCAGCTTGTATTGAGATGCCCGAGAAATAGCAGTTTCAGCGTGAGACGTCGCCCCTTATTCTCCGTCTTTTCTGAAGGCCTGAGCTACGCCCAAGAGACTACCGCGGACGATGGCACCGTGAAGCTCGACAACGACCTGGGAAGCAGCCGAGATGGGTCTCGAACGGACGACGAGGTCGTGCAAAGGTCCGTGCTTTTCGAGTTTCCACGCGCGTTTCCGCTCTCTGCGGCGCCCTCGCCTGGGACACGTCACGTTAGCGGCTGTCAAAAGGTCATGAGGTCCCTGACAGGGACCTGGTGACCTTTTGGCATCAACTTAACCTTCTGCGCTCCCGGATATTTGCAGGGTTCTTGATGTTCTAAATGCCTATTTCTCATAGGTACTGCATAGGTTTGATGTAGCAAGTGCTGCAAAACCTTCAGTCTAGTCGCACACGGGCCGGAAGTGTTCAAGGCTTGCTCGTAGATGGCGCCAGTGTGTTAAGTGGTCACAAGAGGTCACAATGCACTCAGTCACTCATGTGCAAATGTGTGAGAGCCAGGCTTAAGAAATTGGCTTGGAGGATGCTCCAAGCATGCAGCGACGGTAGGGGTTGCGGAATCCTTACATCTTCACCATCTCGGTTGTCGCTCACGTCCATAGCAGAGTTCCTTGTTGTTGAGCGCACACTGACTGAGCTTGCAGAATACTTCGGCAATGGGCGTTCGACACTACTAAAATTGCCATTCTTAACAATGTATGTGAACACCCCAGTATGCTCAGTGAATAGCGAGTTTTCATAGATTGTTTTTGCCATCCAGCAACGCTCTCTGCAATCCGCTACGAGATCCGTAACTGGCAGGCAATTCTAGCAGCACGCATCCGCAGTGGCGGCGTCTCCGTTGTGGAGAGCGCAGCGGAGAGACAATTGATGGTAACAAGAACTCTCTAATGATGCTCTTAAATTGTGTTCGCTGGACCAGCTGGTGTGTACGGACAATTTATTGAATAGCACCTATGTGTAATATACATTGTCAATGGCACATAAATGCATGCTGCAACCTGAATCCAGTGTCTGAGCCACATACATTGAAGGGGCCCTGCAATCATATTTAAGAGTCTACCTTTTGTGTGGTTTCCACGTCTCTTGGGGTTCGTGCAAGCCAGCGGGCACGGAGAGAGTAACTAAATATCAGTGTGTCGAATTTCAACCAGACGACACGGAAGCCTCCTCCACCTACTGGAGTGGCACGCGGTACCGAAAGTGCGCAAAATGTGACATTTTTGGTCCTGGGCTTACTACTGGTTGGAGCCGCTAAAAGCTTTTTAGTCGAAATACAAAAAATAAGGGGCGCAAACCACGTCAATTGTTTATAAAAGTACTTTTTGTTGGCTATTTTAGATCAGAAAAGAAACAAATGCAGTTTAGAAACTATGAAAACAAGAAATGACCCGTCGACATACCCACCACCAAGCGGTGGAAAAGGTGGCGCATGCTAGAAAGGTGTAATGGGATGAGGCACGAACGAGCGTAGAAAGGTCCCGGATGTTTGGGGCAGTGCTGAGGTCGTATGGACTGCAGGATCCGACTGGTTCCGAACGTTCCCAAGGCCTTCGGCGAGCAGCTTTGGCTTACGAAGTTTAGCCTATGGCGGTAAGGCAGCGCGAAGTGGCTCCTGTTCTGAACTGATCTTTATCCCGTGTTTGCTGTCATTTGTGGCCAATGAAGTGTTATGCCGAATTAGTGCTTAATTGCAAAGCAAATGCAATGCGAACCGCCCTGGCCGCCCGCTTCATACAGCCTAGCCAGAACATGCTTCATACAGCCTAGCCTCTCGAGCCATCGACACGGAGTGCGGCAGCCATGAGCACTTGCTAAGCTCACTACCCTTCCTCCAATTCACGGTCACTCAAGCAACCGAGGACGTCATGAAAGAGGTTATTTTTTGCTTCTTTTTGTTATTTTAATTTGCCTATAACTTTCAAAATAAAGCGAAATTTGAGAAAAGTTTTATTAAGTTACTACGTTCAGTGCGCTCAGGTTCGGTGCAAATTAAAAACCAGTAAAAAAGTCCTTGCAGGGCCTCTTTAAAGAACTAGATAGTCTCGTGATGGAATCTGCTGGCAACAAGTTTTGCTTCAACTTACCTTGTGTAACACGTCTCAGTAGTCTAGTAGTGATCAGGATATGCCTTGGGTGCAAAACATTTTTAACAAAAATGAGATTTTGAATTTATAAGAAAACATTAAAGTTTCAATGCAGACATCTTAAAAATGACGCGTGTACAGCGTCCTTTCATTTTTATCAGCAGGAGCAGTATAATCTGCAAGCTGAGTGCAGATGAGCACAGGAGAACTAGGGGACGTTATATCATCATTGGTGTTAGGTGACCCTTGCTCGCTTCTGAGCTGGCTCTGAGATTTTGATGATGCCGTGGCAACGCCTTTGACAGATAACTGGCAGCAGAGAGGTTCACCACATGCCCTGTGGCAATTGCTTCAAGGTTCAAATGAAAGTAGTTTGTGTGATAATCGAATTCAGGGTATAAAAATCGTAGTTCGCTCTCCTAGCTTGTCTTTTTTAATTGTTCTACTCATTGCCCACCTCATGAAAAGAAATTTTGTGCATAGCTCATATGCTGCATGAAGTAGTTTATACAACGGTTGGTTGTTGGGAAAGAAGCAGTAGCTTTGGCATTCAAAACGTCTGTTCTGACAAAATAATTGATCTTAAATGCACATACACGTATCATAATTCTCCACACAAAGGGGAAAATTACAAACACTGAAAGGAGCCAAACATTTTTACTCTAGTCATTAAGATGAAAATGACAAATTTGATATTAAAAGCAGCAAGGAGGTTTTAAAAGTCCCCAAGAGGCATGCTGGGAATGTAGTCTCCCATGCTGCATGTTCTCACCTTATCTGTGTGGGACTTTTTATGCAAATCACTAAAGTAAGGGGACAATAAATGCATGTGCAAAGTGCAGTTTGTTTTAGAGTTAAAAAGTTAATGCAGCAGACGTCGGCACATGGCGAGTGTAACTACAAAGCCAGCATGCACTTTGGTGCTGCGAACAATTTTGCAGACTGTCTTTCGAAAGCGATTTCCTCACGTCGACATGCACAGATTATCGTATTCACTCGAGTAATAGGTGCACTATTTATAAACAAAGCCAGCGCGTTCACCTCCTGCAGAGCACCCGTTGGCCCATCGTAACGATCAACGTAAGGAATCCAGGGACTTGTAAGGTGAAGACGACTCCTCGCATAAAAGTGCCACTTGCACAGATCACATTTTTGTGGAGGATGCTTTTCTCGACATTGCTATATTTCCTGGGTAAAAAGCAATGACTATAGTCCCTCACAAAATGAGAACGGTAGAAAGGAGCTTCTGTTGTCCTGTCTCGAGCGCAGCTTTTCGCCTTTGATGATGCTTTGGCGTCTTGTGAACCTCGAGCATACTTTCAGCCACAGCACAATAGAAGACAAGGAGCACAGGCTGGAGTCCAGGCATTCAAGAGAGGTTCCTTGATGTTCTCACCTTGTCGGTGACTATAAAAGGTATTTTCTAGACGCCCCATTTGAGTGCATCGTTCACTTGGCATGCTCAGAACGAGCTCACACTATGCACTCGGCTACGGCCGCCAACGAATAGTGAGGGCTGTGCAGGAAAGTAGACAAGTAGACGTGCAGTACTCAATCGTAAACGGTGCATCTGTTACTGGAGCGAATGCGGTAATTTAGTGCCACACAGTTGTCGGAGATGAAATGGCTACGGGTGTGTGGCGATGTTGTGCGGACGGCTCTTGACGCGGACCGTGCCTCAACAGGGAAGAGGAAGCGATCAAGCTGGATGGCCTGAACGTGGCCCAGATGAAGGAGCTGCGGGAGAAGGCGGAGAAGCACGTGTTCCAGGCGGAGGTCAGCCGCATGATGAAGCTCATCATCAACTCCCTCTACCGCAACAAGGAGGTAGGTCCGGGATCTATCTGCACGTTTTCTCCGAAACAACTATACCCCATTGCTGGTCGAGAACAGCGGGACAGGTTCCTCCCGCAAAGCCCCCTCACTCTTCCCACTTGAGTAAACGAATGCTGGAGAGGAAGCGAGTCAACTTGCCTCCTCTCCAGCATTTGCTCGCTAAAGTGTCTTTGTGCAGCGAGTCCTTGCCAACCTATGCACCTGTGGTTTGTAAGACATGTGAAGTGGGGTATAGTTACTTCTTTCGGTGGCTCTTTTGACATTCGCCGTAATCAAAGCTGTTTGTCATGCGTGACCGCTTCTGGAAGACGTGAAAGAAAGTTTTTTTATTATTTCTCCGCTGGCATTATTTTCACGTCGCCGTCGGAACTGTTTTCCCTTTCTTTTAAATATCCCCTAACGAGACAGCTGCTTATCCTTTTTTAGTCTCCCATCGAAACTGCAATCGGAAGAAAACACAATTAAATAATACCGTCGCACTGGCAAGCATGCTGCTTTTGGACATGTTTCTGCAGTGTCTGAAACATGCCTTCAACGTTACTACTGTTATGAGCAAAACCAGTACTATAGGCGAGAGCCTATTGCCACACTTTTGCTGCGTGAGCGGTCGTGCATGGCAGGGGTAGGAAGCTTGCTCTTGCAGCTTTCACTTTGCATGCATTTATAGGGAAACAGTACAGCTGTTTTATGTGCGAGCTAAGTCTAGCGTTGGTACCTGCCCAACTTTAGACCGTCACAACCTTTTTTCTTTTTATGAAAAGGTTGTCTGTTTGTTTGTATCTAAAACCATCATTTGCCTTTTTTTTTTTTTTTTTTCAACAATCCAAACCTAATGTTCTTTTTTTTGGGGGGGTGGGGTGGGGATTATAAATATATTCCAAGGCCATCAACGTTATTCAGTATATAGGCATATCTATATTCTATTTTTAAGCTAATCTTGTAAATATTTCTCTGGTGCAAGGAATTGTTTATTTCGCTGCAAATAAGATATAATTTTCGTAAGAGTCTGGCGCGTTCGGTAATCGGTGAAGCATGTTGAGTCTGTGATTTACCAAAAGAGATAGGAGAATGGCGAGTAAGACGTCACTTTGAGTCCAAGGACACTGTCCTGGTGTAATTCATGATATGAAAGGTATGAAAACATGCTCTCATCACACAAATTCACTAGTGGCCATGAGCTTTTGAGCTTGTGCTTTTCTATACCCACGTTCACTTCCAGAACCAGCGATTTTTGAAAATAGATTTATGCTCTAAATCTGCACTCTGTGCATCATGCTCAGCTTCTTTGAGCCATTTTTACTTGGAGCATTACTTAATTTGCAGCCATTTTGATGTAAACTCCACTAATCGGTTCTCCACCTGCTGCACAGGATGAGTAGAAGTGCGAGATTTTTTTTTTTTTCACTTAATTTGGATTGAATGGTATGCATCTACGAACATTGAGTTCGGTGTCGTGTGTTCGTGTACTTGCATGTGCTATGATGTATTAATAGATCTGTGTTAACTAATTTCACTCTGGGAAGCTGGTATGAAAATAAATTGAATCCATATATAAAGTAACAGGGAACACTGTCTTTTTACCTGTTTAATCTCGCATAACTCCCCCCGTCCCCCCTCCACCTGAAATGGCCGGTTTTTTTCTTCGAGGAAAGGTGGCACTTCATTGCTATGTCCATAGCAGTGAAGTGTGTGTAACATGACAACGAACACACCAGTAGATAGGATTCTGTAAAGATGTTTTCATCTAAAGTTTACACAACATTCTATACCAAATCAAATTGCTTACTGGTGCACTTGTTTCCGAATTAACACATTTCACCGATATAGATGCAGCATGTGTAGAGCAGGACACAAAAATAATGAAATGGCGGTTTTTGGCGGCGGACGTCATGACCAGAAGAGAAATTACCCAAGTCTTTCGTTAGAGACGTCTCAGGCATGCAAATACCTCCAGTTATTTTGACAATGGACGTTGCAATGGTCACTGAACTATTTCTTTTTGTTGTCGTCCTAATTTATTCGAGAATTTTCAGAAAACTTTTCCAGGGGAAACATGGAAAAGTGGGAATTTAGAAATGCTTCTTGTTGGTTGTTTCAACATGGTTCTACTCTGTAGTAATTTTTGGAGCTGGCATTGGGATGAAACCGGGTGCCATCACTTGTCATTGTTTCTAAATTTACGCACATATTTACTGCTTTTTCTTTTTGATCTTTTTGGGAAGACACAAGCATGGCCATATACTACTCAGTCAAGCCAGCGGTGCAATTGGGGTGGTAATTATTTTCAAAGGTTTGCTCCGAGGTCACTGTATGCAGTTTGCCAGTTTGGGTTAATTCATAATGACAGGTTCTTCAAATATTCTCCTCTTGTGGGCGTGACCATCATGAAAACAAGCGAAAAAGAAACTACTAGCTTTGTGGAACAAGCTTATTTGAGTTGCTAACTTGGTTATCAAAAGTTTTGCATCTGAAATACACTCCTGCAATATTCTTTCTGGCATTGGACATGTGCTTTGCTGGCTACAGGTAGTTGATTCACATGAACGTAACAGTAGACGAAATCTAACTCCGCATCCCTAACCAAGTGTGCAATGCAGGACTGTGGGCATGCTCACTGAATTGGTTACTTATTAGAAACTTTTTTTTTCCTCCACAGATCTTCCTTAGGGAGCTCATCTCCAATGCATCTGATGCCCTGGACAAGATAAGGCTACTGTCACTGACTGATCCTGACGTCTTGAACACGAATCCGGAGCTGACCATTCGCATCAAGGTAAGCCTCGGGTTTCAAAGAGTTGTCAAGTAAACGTCCACCATGTTACATTGCTGTTCCTAAGTACAGCGCGAGCATATACATAGAGATAGTGCCAATCTACCAAGACTTTTCATTATATCCACAAATTGAAATGCTGCCAAATACTGGCGATGGGTTTTGTCAGTAATTTTAACACACCTGGAGCTTCATGTCGTCTATCTCAAGCGACAAAAAGATTGCTACTCGGTTTAGTTATCTGAGGTGATTCTGGGTATCTTCAATGAACTTAGTCTTCGATTATGCGAGTCCTCCGGAAGAGTCGTGTGCTATAGTCTCACAATCTCTTTCCAGAGCGACAAAGACAACGGGTTGCTGCACATCACAGATTCGGGCATCGGCATGACAAAGGCCGATCTGGTAAATAACCTGGGAACCATTGCAAAGTCTGGCACGGCAGAGTTCCTTCAGAAGGTGACCGAGAGTTCAGATGCCCCCAAGGAACTGAACGACCTGATTGGTCAGTTCGGTGTGGGCTTCTACTCCGCTTTCCTGGTGGCGGATCGGGTTGTGGTCACCAGCAAGCACAACGACGACAAGCAGCACGTTTGGGAGTCGGACTCTGGCGAGTTCACCGTCGCAGAGGACCCCCGCGGGAACACTCTGGGCCGCGGAACCACGGTGACCCTTCAGCTGAAGGAGGAGGCCAGGGACTTCCTCGAACAGGACACACTGAAGAAGCTGATCGAGAAGTACTCGCAGTTCATCAACTTCAACATCTTCTTGTGGACGTCTAAGACCGAAACCGTGGAGGAGCCGATCGAAGAGCCCACAGAGGAGGCGGCCAAGAAAGAGGCTGACGAGGCCAAGACCGACAAGGAGGAAGAGGACAAGGTGGAGGAGGAGGAAGACGACGAGGAAAAGAAGCCGAAGACCAAGAAGGTGGACAAGACAACTTGGGACTGGGAGCTCATCAACAGCGCCAAGCCCATCTGGACGCGCAAGCCCGCAGAAATCGAGGAGAAGGAATACGAAGAGTTCTATAAGGCCATCACGAAGGACACTCAGCCACCGCTGATGAAGACCCACTTCATCGCCGAGGGAGAGCTGACTTTCAAGGCCCTGCTGTATGTGCCGGCAGTTCAGCCGACAGAGTCTTTCAACCGATACGGTGGCAAGGTGGACCACATCAAGCTGTACGTCCGAAGGGTGTTCATCACCGATGATTTCCAGGACATGATGCCCAGCTACCTCAGTTTTGTCCGTGGCGTCGTAGACTCGGACGACCTCCCGCTCAATGTGAGTCGAGAGATGCTTCAGCAGCACAAGTTGCTGAAGGTGATCAAGAAGAAGCTCGTCCGCAAGGCCCTGGACATGATGAAGCGCATCCCTAAGGAGGATTACCAGCGCTTCTGGAAGGAGTACTCCACAAACCTCAAGCTGGGCATCATCGAGGACACTACCAACCGCTCGCGTCTTGCCAAGCTGGTGAGATTCCACTCTTCGCATGGCGAGGAGTTGACTTCACTGTCGGACTATGTGACACGGATGAAGGATGGCCAGCAGTTCATCTACTACATCGCCGGTGCCTCGCTGGACGAGGTGAAGCGATCGCCGTTTGTGGAGCGTCTGATCCGCAAGGGCTACGAGGTGCTGCTGCTGACGGAGCCTGTGGACGAGTACTCAATCTCGTCGCTGACGGAGTTTGAGGGGAAGAAGTTCCAGAATGTGGCCAAGGAGGGCCTGAAGGTTGACGAAGGGAAGGCCAGGGAGCGCCATGACGCCCTGGTGAAGGAGTTTGAGCCTCTGACCAAGTGGCTGGAGGATGACGTGTTCAAAGGCAGGGTAAGTTGAACGAGGCACGTCTATTGTGAGCATGTGGTTTTGTGCGTAGCTTGCGTGCGCAATGTCATTGCATGATACCGGTGGTCATTCCTACATGTTCTTTCTACAAAAAATTAATGGGTAGGGGGGTGATGGGAGGGGGGGTGAAATGTATGCTGCAATAGATCTAGCCATTCAGATCCTGGTGCACTCTTGTCTAAAGCAAGTGCAGCATGTCCCCCCCAAAACATATAGGCTGTGTTCCGAATCTTGCTCGAGTAACCCGTCTTCTACATCAGTGGGTAATACCACATGACATCGTGAGTAAATGATCGGCAACTTGATCAGTCTTTTTTGCATCTTTTTACAGTGACAACGTGGTGTTTTTTTTAGGTGGCTCCATTTGCTCGCCATCCTTTTTGACTGTATGTTAAGATCAAAATTACTTAATCCTTTCAAGAAACATTAAAAACTTGTTGTCATTAATCAGCACAATACTGCAATTCTAGTCCAGATGCCCTAAACGTATACATTCCACGCATTGTAATTTGCACCAATCGCGTTTTGCGGAAATTTAGAATCTGCTTCCACACGGTGTAGCAGTACGGCTCGGGGCCCTTTCTCAACAGTGATATGTAATTATGTGTTACCTCTGACGAGACTACGATTACAAAATATGCAATTTCATAGGCAATTAGGCAATTTAAGCAATTTCTTTGGGCACGAGAGGAGGTGGGGCTCTCGACTTGGATCATATACATAAAATCTTTGAAGCCTTCACTGCTTTACAAGCGTTGTCCTCTTGTTACACACACTCTGGGTAAAACGATGTCCCATTGTCTACCGCATTGAAACGTTTTCAGTTTTGAACGTGGGAGCATGGAGTTCACTCCAATGCCGAGGACGAGTAAAGAAGCTCCCGTTTACGCTCACACTTTGATAAAAACAACAGGTATACCTTCCTGTGCAAGGTGCACAATCTGAATGCAGCGTGCAGTCAATTCGTGCGTAGCAAACGGCAGATCGCAATAACGACACATAAATAGCTGCAGCTCATTCTCTGCCATTTTGAAACTTCTGTCAAGAAAGCCAACGAAACAGACAAGCTTTGACGGCTCTAAGCGCAGGAAGCAAATGACATGCACATTGCAAACAGATCACGTGATGCCTTTACTCGATTTGATCAGACGTTACCTGCCGATCGGAGGAGGGTAGCAAAAGTGATTACTCCAGTGTGAACAACCCGCTTCTGGAACGCGATTTCCAACGCTATTGAGTAAGCGCGAGCAAGTTTTGAAATGCCACGGCACGAAACTTTTACTCCAGAGTCGGATTGAGTAAATTTTGGAACAGAGCCAAAGTGTTTGTCGCAGAAATAAGCCACTTCTTGCCAAAACGGTTTTTTTGTACCCAAATGTAGCACAAGGGTGTTAACCAGTTTCGGAACAGACCATGTGCCGCCATTTTCCCATTTATATTTTCAGAAAATTGCGTTACTTTTGATAAGATAATGATTAGTTCTCAACCTTTGGGGTCTGGTTCGAATCGTTAGCGCTACGATTGGGCGGAGAATACATCGTTGGCAATGCATCGTTCATTTTTGTGATTAAAAAAAAACAACAAAAAACCTCGTAAGTTTTTTTTTTGGGACACTTTGTTCTAGAATCTTTTGGAAACAAGGTGTGCACTCGGCTGCATGGCCATGAGCGTGCTCGGTGATGTGACATTAATGCGAGCCATTTATTACCATTAATTTTTGCGTAGTACAGTTGTATTGTTTACGACCAGCTTGGGATTATTTAGGTATTACTTGTCAAATTGCCCAGAGTCATATACTCAATGAAAAGGGGACTAATATGGTAATGACTACTGTCGAGACCGGTTATAACGAAATTGGTTATAATGAAATACCGGCTAGAGTGAAGCGATCACGATTTCCCATTCCCTTTTGCACTTCGTTAACTGAAGTCGGTTATAACGAAATAGCAGATATAGTGAGGTGATTTCCGATTTCCATTGACTTCGTTATAACTGGTCTCGACAGTATTTGTGTTGGTTAGAAAAATGTAATTGTTGTCACTATAGTCCACTACAGCTTTTCTGGGTGGTTTTGAATGTGCCCTAGAAAGAGTAGGTTGTGAGATCATCTGCTGACATTTGGCACTGGGTATCGCCTCTCAAAGAGGACCCCATGCCTAATTTACACTGTGTTAATGGCACCCCAAAGAGCCTGGTTTGATTGCGGGACTGTTCTTTTCCCGTTCACGCTCCTGCAGATCCTGAAGGCGATGGTTTCCGAGCGTCTGGCCACTTCCCCCTGTGCCCTGGTGGCCAACCAGTTCGGCTGGACCGGCAACATGGAGCGGCTGGCCCGCAGCAACGCACACGCCAAGTCCCAGGACACCATGAGGGAGTGAGTGCCCCCACCGTCTTCCCTGTGCCGCATCTGACACCGCATAAAATGAGACCTCTATTTTTTTTTTACATAGAACTAAGTCTTTCTTCGTGCTTGGAAGGGGGTACAAAGTTGCGAGATCGATGTCACAAAAACTTGATCACGGAAGTTCTCTCCCAGAATGCATCACACTCGCGGCACTGAGAACCGGTCCCGAACTAACTTGCCCAGTGCAAACTGACACTGACTCTGTTGTAGGAAAACTAGCGACCTCAAACCGAAGCGACCCCCTGCAGGGGGCAACGTGAAACTGTGCGGTCGCTGCAGTGTTTATATTTGCGATGACTTAAAGAACTCTATTGTTGTGAAGGTATTTACAGGTGACGCATGCTCCCGCCACAAGCTGACATCAGAGCAACTGTAATAAATAACAAAAAGCGAGCGATCTTTCAATTCTTATAACATGTGTACACTGGAGAAAGCACCGTTGATACTATTCGCGCAAAAGCTTGATCAGTTTTCAGCGTGAACCCACCTAAAAGATTCGGTTTTAAACTATTCTGTTGGAATCTCCAGCAATGTTTCACGGCACCTTCGATTTCGGTCCTTGGCCACATAGCTGTACCAGGTTTTATTTCTAACGAGGACTGTGAGATCAGAGAGCTTTCTCAAATAAAAAAAACGAGGGTGTAAAGTTACTGGTGTAGGAAATGTTAAACGTGACAAGTTTACCCGAGCCTTGGTTAAAACCTATTTAGCTCTCTTGGCTGCTGATTGGACGTATCGTAAGTCCTGCTGGGCGAGCTTTCTCGACAAATGTCCACTCGAGAGTCCACAATCTGCCATATTTTGGCAATGACTTTTCACCCGTATACCCGTGAGAGATATCTCGCGGCCGCCGATTCGTTTGTCAAAATTTTCTAGTTAGCAAAGGCTTTAATGACCTATTTTTGATTATCAGCAAAACAATTTCAACTCGTAATTATTTGTTTTGGAATTGCTCTAAAATTGAATCAATGGTTTTGTTGCACTCTTTTCTGTTTGTAAAACATGCTGACACACTTCGTGCTATATTATCTTATTGGGTAATGTAAAAAAATGGGGAATTAACATTTGTGATAAAGTTGAGGTTTTCTGAAACTATGGTAGATAGGAAAAATTTATTTATGTTTGAGCTTAGCACAAGAACTTAAGCTTGCAGCCAGAACAAGCGGCCACATGATCTGGGGCCAATTATATACCGCCAGTGTTGATCACAGCCCCGCGCTGGGGTTGGCAAATCACAAGACACGAACAGAGTTCCAGACATTGTTCTGGTAAAGCTATTGTCATCATTGCAGCGATTGGACGTGGGCCACTACCCAAATGCTTGTCGAGCTATTGATTATCACGAGCCTTAAACGAGTGCTCATGCTGTGCTTGGGTCCAATGTACGAGCCGCATTCAAATATTCTCACTGGGGGTACTGCAACCGTTCAGCCATGTCATCAAGTTTTTCAAAGGAGAGATCAAAAGAAAACACTCTTTTGTCCTTGAAATTACACTGCAACAAAAGAATTCCTTGGTCAGTGGCATTGCTTGTGAGTATACTTTGGTCTCCCCAATGCCAGTAAGCTTGTGCAACATAAGGACACATGTCACGATACACTTTGCCATAAAAATATTGTTGGCGTAATATTTCTGTCGAATGGGGCATTTTAAACTTGGAGCGGTTTCGTCTATTTTTGTACGTCTGCTTAGAAACGGCTTCATGGATGTCACGGTTGCGCAAAAATATTGAGAGCAATTTTGCCAGCCTCTCGTTGGCTGCAAGGAGCATGGAGGAGGGGCACGCCCACTGTATACCTCCTCTCTCCCCCCTCCCTGCACCTAGAAGCGGCATCAGCGGTGCTCGCTCGACTCTGCCACGTCCTTCCCTCTTGTCACGTCGCCTTCCCTTGTTCCGCCTGCAGCTACTACCTGAGCCAGAAGAAGAACATGGAGCTGAACCCGAGGCACCCGCTGATCAAGGAGCTGCTGCGGCGGGTCAAGGACGACGCCAAGGACTCGGAGGCGCGCAACATGGCGGAGCTGGTCTACGAGACGGCCACCCTCCGTTCGGGCTTTATGCTGGAGGACACCCTCGCCTTCGCCACCCGGGTCGAGAGCCTCCTCCGCAAGAACGTGGGGCTGCCCGATGACGCAGCGGTGCGTTGGAGAAGTCTACCTACATTTTTTTTTTCTTGCTTCTTCTGCTGGCAGTGTGGCTTCGTATGAGCCTCGTGCCAGCCTCGGAGTGCAAAAAGCAAGTAGTCTGCTTCTTGCGCTGGAGCTGTGGTGACGTCAGAAAGACGTTGAGCTCAGATTGGCTTTGATGGAAGGATAGTGGGTAGACCTCAAAGCAAGCTGCCTTGAAGTCTACCCACTATCCTTCATTCAGAACCATCGGAGCTCAACTTCTTGCTGACGTCACCACAACCCCTGCTCTCCGCATAGACCCTTCCCACCAGCTGGTTTTGTTATGCTGGCAGAACGAGTTTCGGGAACTGTGGTCTTTCTGCACGCATGACAACCTTGCTGTCAGTTTACGCAAGCGGGACATGGGGTGGCATGAACAGTTTCGTGTGCTGGCACCTGGCTCCCGCAAACTACAGTTCTGCCGGCATCACGTGTGCGCGGAAAGCTTCGTGGCATCGGCGTGTTTTTTGAGCGATTATTTCTGGCAACGTAAGATCTACTGTAGAAGCTTCATCCTCCACTGAGAGCATCTTCTGCGGATCTTGCATTGAACAAAGTACGGAAGTTGATTACGCGCTTTATTTTCGGGACATTTAAATGGAATGTTGCAAATATCCTCATCTTCAAAGTAATGCTTCAAAAGAATATACCTTAAAAATAAAAAAAGCTTGTGGAACCAACTAAGCAACGACAAAAGTGAACAAATGTGGTGCTTGTCATGTTTCCCTATGTTTTCTAACATTGCCAAACCAATCGCATAAAGTGAAGGCCCAGTGACTTGCGCTCTTGACGCTGTTTGGTTGGTCACTTCGGTTAGTAGCGACGGCTAGCCTACTCGGTGGCTCCCAGACAAAGCGCCGGCCTTCGGATCTCCTGGTGGTGGGTTCGAATGCTGGCCGAGTTGCCCGGAATCTGGTGGAGGCTTATAGCGGAGAAAGCGCCGCACAACCAAGCTTTTGGTTGCACGTCAAATGATCCCTAGGTGGTCGAAATTAATGCTCAGTCCTCCGCTGAGGCGTGCCAGATGCCAGTCGTTGGTTCGGCACGTAAAACCCCCAACTTGACACGGTAGCATCGTCTGCATCCGAACTTGGGGTGAAACAACGTATAGTCCATTTTAAAGTGAGACAAAGCGGAGACTTTTGGGAATAAGTCTTGTTTGTGTGAGGATCTACTCTGAGCGTTCCTCAGCTGGCACATCTATGGCCAGTGTGTGGGCAGTCTAGTTGGTTGTGCAGCATGGAGTGAGGCCTAATGCCCGACTGCCCCCATAGGTGGAGGAAGAGCCAGAGGAGGATGGAGGAGAGGAGTTTGCCACGGAGGCCTCCATGGCGGCCGATCAGGCAGAGGAGGACGAGGGGGTGAGTGGATTGTTTCTAACGAGCGTGTTTGTAAGGTATACTAGATAACAGAAAGAATAAAACATGGGACAAACACAGGCAAGTACATTCTTTGTACTCGTCTGTGTATTCATCCTCTGTTTTATTCTTTCCATTGTCTAGTGGAGAGTGGATGTTCAGTGTCAACAAGTGGACATTAACTGACGAGCCGGGGCATCGCGATCGAAGTTATGGGCACTTGCAAAGAGCTCATTGGTTGACTTCATTGAAATAAAAGGGAAAACACAAGCGTTCAAAATCTATTGTAATGTATGCAGAATTTTGATACTTCCACGTAATCGCTGCACAAATTCCAGCAACAGTCCGATCTCGCCAGCCAGTTTTGTTATGCTGCCGCCACGCATGGAGGGAACTATACTCCGCGACAACTTTTCTTGGCAATGCAGTGGAAGGTACAGGCCCGCGTCCCCTCTCCCATTTTGAGTGTACGCAGGCTCTCCTCCTTTCCATTTCCGGGGAGAGGAGGAGAGCCCGCGCACTCTCAAAATGGGAGAGGGGACGCGGGCCTGTACCTTCCACTGCATTGCCAAGAAAAGTTGTCGCGGAGTATAGTCTTTCTGCACGTGCGACAACCTCGCCCGCGATGTAGTTTGTTCACTACGCACGCAACTGCAGTGCGTTGCAATTGAAGAAGGTAGGGTGAGGGAAAAAAGGCTGGGGAGGAGGAATCAGGTAGAACGCTGGACAGAAGAGGTTTCCCCCTCTCTACAGCGTTCCGTCTGCTTCCTCCTCCCCGGCCTTCCTTTCCCTCGCCCTATCTTCTTGAGTTGCAACGGACTACAGTGATGTGCTGCTTGCCTCGGTGGTGTCTTCGCCATTTGCGAAGTTGGGGTGATTGCACCTAAATCTTCGATTCAGTCAAACTTTATTATTTTATTTCTTATCGTATAGGGATCAGTAGGACACTTGACAGTACCGACGAACATTTTGTGTGGTGTCCTTGGTGTTTGACTCCTCCGATGTGTTGCCCTTGCAGGAGAAAGAACACGACGAGCTGTAAAGCAGCAGCCCGAGTCGCGGGTCACACCGTCACAAGTCATGCCATCGTCATCCGTGTATATTTATGCCGCACTCCAAGTGCCGCGTGTTTCGTCCCTATTTCTGTGAAATAAAACGTTTTTTTGCTTCGTTTTCTTTTGGCTACTCGGGGCTCTTTTGGCTACTCGTGGCTTTGTTTTAGCGACCGATGCGATGCCGTCTGCTCCATGTCTGCTCCCTACATAAAGGGGGCGTGGCGCAAAAAAAAAAATGGATATGACGCATTCCTTCCTTCATTCGGAGTCGCTTAGAACGACCCTCGTGTGCCTCGATCGTTGCCGAATCATTGACTGCAATGACTAGGGTGCCAATTTTCGTCCTAACAGGGTCGAAATGTGATTTTGTGCTTGCGGATGTCTCAAACGAACGGTGTGCAGAACTCTTCACTTCCTGTCAACGTAGTAAGCTATATTGCCGTCTAATCGCGCAATGAAGATCGGATCGTGTTTCATTTTAATTAATTTTTCGGCTCCGGAGAGAAAGAGCGGGGGGGGGGGGGGGGGGGGGCGGTAACCTAAAACACCCAAATTAAAAAAAAAAATAATAAACGGTTTGATAGAGAACGTGTTGATATCAACACGTTCTCTGTCGACATCACAAACCTGAATTAGGCGTCCGGAGAAACCGTGGCAATTTAGATTAAAGTTAAATAAGCACATTCCCTAGCCACTGGCAGAAGACAATATTTCGGATAAAGTCGCCACAATAAACTGTGGCCACAATCGCGGACAAAGAGAAAAAAAACAAAAAAAAACGAAAAACAGTTGCCGTCTTCGTTTCCGGTACGAATTGGAACGCACTCCCATCGGCGTGCGCTGCGCGGCGGCTCGGCGGCTGCAGCGAAGGAAAGCAAGCCAACTGGGGGGGTCCGTGTTTGGGGGGGGCAATCGTGTTCGGTGTTTTTCGCCCCGCCGCGAGCCTGTCACCCCTTCCGAAATGGTCACCTAGCAGCACGACAGCCACAGCCCCGACGAGTGGACCCTCTTCGTTCTGCGCGTTGGGGGGCTCGGACCCGAGTCTGTCGCGCAGCGGCCGCGAACGCTGGGCGCGATGGCGAAGGCGGCGCAGCCCTTCGCCCCCGCGGTCGCCGTCGCCCCCGTCACCAAGGTGGAGATCAGCGTTTCGTGCAGGTAAGCCAGTACCCAGTCCTACTTCCCGATGCAACCTGCGGACCCGCGAGTCCAACAAGTTTTTCCTGGCAGCAGCCGCGGTTCGGTCGTGGTCGATTACACAGGCTGCGTTTTCTCCCCACAGTGAGCGCGCAAACCTTGCCCCCGCCCGAGGACACCTCCTCGCCGCTTTCGATTGATCGGAGGTGCTCCACAGATGATCGCTTTCCGTTCGGTGTCTTGGGCGACCCAATGGATAAAAATAGGCGGGGATGGGGGGGGTCGCTTTCACCTCCGATATCGAGACACCTGCAGCGCTCATTTGGCGCGACTTTGCGAGTTTGACGGATTCCGTGCGCGAACGCAGTTCGGCGTGTCTCTATGTCTTTTGATGATACTCCTTCGGTCTCCACAAGAAAGAAAGAAAAACATCGCACATCTTCCCGATTTCGGTCGGTTGTAATGTGGTAATTGATGGCTACCATTTCCGTTTCTTTAGCTGCGTTAAGATGAGTCTTCCTTTGCGAGCCGTCGCTAACGATCGGTCTTGGCTGGCTTCCGCTGCTGGTTTGAGTCTCCGTACTCCTTCCCTTTCCTAAAAACAACAAACAAACACGGCTTTCTTTTTTTGTTTGTAGGATATAAATTGGGTTGTATGTTTCCTGGCCGCAGCCACACGAGCAGTTGCTTGTACGAGCTCTAGCATTTTCCCCTTGGGTCATCGATGTAGTTTGTTCACTACGACTTCCCTGGTTGGCTTTTGGTGGTGCAAGACACGGATATGGTGCCGATTCGGTTTAAATGGCAGCGTTTTTTGTCGCGACTCGAGGCAACACAAATTGTCATCAGAGCCAAATTGTAAGTTGTCCGCTCCATCCCCCCCCCCCCCCCCCTCTTCCTTTTTTTATATATCTTTTCGCCTTTTAGGAGGAATGGGAGAGTTGATTTGGCTGTAAGAAAAAGCAGCACTCTGTCATTTGTGCCACTGGTGGGGCTGTTTTAAAAACGCTTTTTGGGGGTTGCTTCCGTCAATTGACATCAGGAAGTCGTAAATTCACATATATTTTTATGCCCCATGGTAAAAACTCGCACACAGAGAACAGGGCACAAAAGCAGAGCATATAGAGCCTTAAATCGGAGATTAAAATGCTACAACATATATGGTATGTTTTATCGAACATAATTTGATTGAACATGCATTGTAGTGAATGCCAGTCATTTTGCAATCCATTTGTTTCATCTAACATTGTTTTAGCTAATGTACAGAAATCAGCTCTTCAGTATGCCTAGGTCTGGGGTCCTCCCTTCACCTCTTCAGGGCAACTCACTTCTCTAAAGGGCGACTTGCAGAATCGTCATCTGCCGGGCAGAAAATCGGTTCCAAGTCTCTTCCTTCCCTCTCGCAGCTTTTGTCTCCTTCTCTCTCCATAGGAGGGAGTCTCTGAGCTGCTCTCTGCTTGGGAAGGTCTCCCTCTTTCTCAGATGGAAAGGAGGAATTGGGGGAAAGTTTCCTCCTTTCTGCCTGCTCATCAGCCTTTAAGCTGGGCTTCTACAGCATACCCTACAATAACTTTCAATGAAATTAATGGCTCTGACAATGCTGGTGCACAATTCGTGGCCCTAGGGAGTCTAGGAGCACTACAACAATCGGGTGGTGCACAGGCGATCGCTGGTGAATAGTTGACATAAGTTTGAATTAGCCTTCTTACTTCTAAGCAATCACCACGAAAAAAATTGTGCCAAGTTTTGACAAATGAGAGAACTGAGATAGTAACCATAGAGCCACCTCTCGAAAACCATGGACCTCTCCTATAGGCCTTGCAGCATTGCAATACAAAGAAACTATGTCTTAAAACAAGTGCCATGCATTTGAAAGAAAAGAAAAACTGGGATATCCAGCACCATCATTATAAATGATGATGCAGCATATGGGTTTATAAGCTTATATCTGAACAAAACAGTTGTGGTTGGGAGGAGACACAAAATGTTTCTGTGCATAGCATTACCTGAACAAAATGTTTGTATCAATCTTCAGGAACTTTCAAGGAGAACCAGGCAAGTGGTGTCTTTTGCCAAAGGGGGGTGCAATCAGATATCTGAAATGAGCCCCAAACTTTTGATTCAGGTTATGCTATGGTGAAGGAGAAGAGTTACTGAAAATCATGTGACATACACCAAATGTTATTTCAAATAATTGGTGGATACAAGTACCGTGACAGGAGTTGGAAGCCTGGGAAAGTGTACATAAATTTATAGGGGACGTACTAAAAAGTCCACCCGTCCTTCTAAACTGCTCTTGAAGATTCACTTTTGTACCAAGTAAACTGATAGAAAAAGGAGTTTGGTTGCAGTTTTTGGATAATGTTGGCTTCAGTTGGGGGGGCTATTCCTTTGTAAAGCCAACTATAAAATATCAGTCATATACCCATGTCACAACACGCCCCCCCCTTCCACCCCCATACACACACTTGAACATTGCGGAGAGCAAGTCGTTTGCTTTTTGCGTGGGGGGTTACGGTGACGTCAGAACGATGCCGGGTTCTGATTGGCTTTGATTGAAAGGATAGTGGGTAGACCTCGAGGTCTACCCACCGTTTTTTTCAATCAGCCAATAAGAGCACGACGTTCTGACTTCATTGCAACCCCTGTGCAAGAAGCGGACAAACTTGCGCTCCGCATTAAGGACTACCTAACCAAAAGGCATGTCAAGCACCCACCTCCCGACTTCTGAGCCCACCTAGCACACCAAGGTGCTTCTCCTAGCACACCAGTGCAAAGCAGTGAAGCCCACCCTATCACATACCCCTTTCTGCATTTTTGCTCTTGTACCTAACAAGTGCCCAATCCCCCATCTGTTTTTCAAGGTTTGCTAAAGATGTTGGGTGGGTACTTGCTCAGTCTTTTATTGTGTATCTAAAGTGCTACCATGTGAGGCAAATAACTTGTACCAGTTCTTAAACAAAAAAACATTTTGGTGCGTGTTGAATTGTGTTGATGTTCCTGCAAAAAAAGTTTGATTGAGGAAACACAAAAAAGCAGAAAACACCTTTTTTTTTCATGTGTGTTTGTTGCTTTCTGGGAATTCATCCAGGTAATGAGGTCTTCTGTAATCTGTGGGCTCATAAATCGAGGTCTTTCAATAAACCACATGAATTCAATCAATAACTCAACAATTATTAATGTGTTATTCCTGGTGTGCTCTGCAACACTAACGTCGAGCTGATAAGAATGTAGGTCCTGGTTATGGTAACACTTTTTTTTTTCTAAGGGTATGCCATCAGAAATGCTTACGAGACCACAGCACTTATGTTTGTTTTTGTGCACCATTCTTTACTTCTTGATGCCATTTAGATAACTTTTTCAGATGTCAGTGCATAATAGATATAGATTAATCTTGATTTTATCTCAGTTGGACAAACACCGGTTGATTTCGCTGAGCCATGTAAAATATAGGTACCAGAGAATCTCAAAGGGGCGGTGCACCAATTTTAATGTTGCAAGAATCTGCAGCTTGTTACTTTTATTTTGTTTATCTTAGCAGAAGTAAAAGAAAACATTTATTTTTTCCGAGATAGTGGAATCACAATATTTTGGGGGAAATCAATGTGTTTTCTTTTCCTTGTGCTAAGATGAACTAGATGAAAGTTACATGCTGCAGATTCTTGATTCATTAAAATTGTTCCATGGCCCCTTTATCTACGGTCTAAATCTTTTTTAGATTGTTATTTCTACTGCCAGCCATATATTGAGTTAGACTCTCTACAATGCACAATCGTTTTACTCTGTGAAAGCTTGCCTTTCTTGAAAACAACCTCCATCTTCACCAGTTGCATGAGTGTGCTTTGCAAAACATTCATGACTCATACCTCGCCCTTCACTATTTCCAGACCCCTGTTAATTCTCTATCTCAATATCCAGAAGAAAATGCCTGCTTACATAAAAGAGCTTTGTTTCGTACAGTTCTATTTATGTATCTAGTAGCTTTCTGTAACCTCTGCTTTAGGTTTTGGGAGAGGAGCAAAGTGTCATGCAAAGCCAGATGAACAGTTTAATAGAATGCGAGCGGAACTCAGCATCTAATGCTCGTAGTATATTGTATGTTGGGCAGAACATACAATATACTACAGAACTCTGACCTCAACGTCACAGCGGTATGATTGAATTTCTTGGGTCATTGTCTCTTGAGAACCATTGTGAGGGAGAAAAAAATATTACTTTGAAAGACATGAAACTATTATTCCACACACTTGTGAAACTTAGTATCATCTTCGGCCCTAACTAAATTCCGAGATAACTAGAGTTCTCTTTTTCATTTTTAGTTATCAGTTGTATAGTTTGCTGTGCGTTATCTAACTAAATAAATACAAAAATAGAACCAGCTGACAAGTACTATATAAATATTTTCTTTACTAAAGTTGAATTGTATTTAATGTACTGTTTAGAGCATTAGTTGGAATTTACAAAAGTAAGTTATCTTTATAGTTAAGAACATCTTTTTTATATATATAGCTGCTTTCAGCGCGCTTTGAATTAAAGTAACTGACATTAAACAAACTACTTTCCCTCTTTATGTGTCAAATTAGGTAACTTGTATGTAAATTTAAAATCAGGATTTTTTTTATCAGAACACATATACACATTTCAAACTTAAAAAAAAAAAGAAAAAAAAAAACTATCGTTAACAATCAACTTTGGTACGAGCCACTTTGTGCAGCTCATGAACTAGGTTCAAAACTTGCTTTTCTTTTTTCTTTTCTTTTTTAAATTGATTTAACAACATAGATGGTTGAATGGATACCGCTGAACCCTTTTCATTGGGGAGCAGCTTGCTCCACCTAGCCAACAAGTATAGAAAGGCAGTGGCTCCCATGGAATAAAAATAGAAACAAAGCGTAAGCAAGTTATGGCTACATTCATCCATACTTAGCGGTAGTATTGGCTGACCCAGCTTAGTGCTGGCTGGAAGGGGTTAATTGCTGCACGGGGTGCCTCCGGCATGGTAAGCTGTGAAACCGAGCACCACATTGCAGCAATAAAAAGTGTGGTAGTCCATTCCACCCTCTTTCTTAACAGATTGGCGTACCCGACGTTCCCTGCAATGCTTTCGTATTGTTGCACCCTATATTGCCACACCCTGTACCTAAATGCGTTTATTGCTTTGAAGTGTTTCTAGCTTCCAACTCTTTCATTATTTTCCTAAGTTTGGAAGGCCAAAAAGCTTCCGTCTCTTATTTAATCAAAGTCCCAGTAACGTGTTGGAAAGGGACCGGCCGTACGTAAGCTTCTCTCGCTGATATTTAGTTTTGAAAAGCTATTTGGACGAGCATGTACCATTTAAAGATGTGCAAACTCGGACTCAGTGTTCCTAATTTCTAGGTTTATGTATAAAAAAATTTTCAGCATGGCTAGGTAAATCTTTCGTTCGTTTTCTCCCCTCCATCCTTCCTCGCCTAAATGTAATGGGTTGAGAGCTAATCTCTGCAGAAAGGAGGAAAGTAGGGATTTCCAATGGATTATCTGCTTACGATGGATAATTCACTTGATCCAGTTTGTTACCTTTGTTTCTGTAAGAGCAAAGCAAGAAAAGAAAATGCTGTAGCCAATAGCTGCTTCGTACCCAACTTCATTTGATGAGTCTCTTTGAATAAAGTTGATGATAAGGCACTTTAGTTGTTGTGGCGAATGGAGACACAAAAGCTACATCTAATTAAAGAAAATATTTTTCATTGTTACTGGCCCCATTATTGTCTTTCGATTTTGATAGGAAACAGTCATGGCATGGGGCAAAAGCAGTTTTGTCCCCATGTGTAACTTTTATTTCTGGCGAGTTCTTTTTTTAGACAATGTTCCAAAACTGCCTGTCGTCTAGTAGGGCTAGTGCTGTAAAATAGTGGTGTAATGGCTGAGCAATGTATAAATCCCGTCTAGTTTATTAAAAAGGCATAGTCAAAGAATGAGAGGAAGCTTGCTGCACTGGCCTTGGCCCACTTAGAATTTCCAGCCTCGTAATATTGTCTATAGTTTGCTCTTACTTGCACCCTCTCCCCCAATAACTATGCCACTCAATTAGAGGAGAACAAATGTGAGTCTTTTATTTATTAGCAGCTCTCCAAATTCTGGGGGTGTCAATTACCAAAAGTTTGAAGTAAGCGCCCTCTAAAAAGTTGGAGGTAATCACAGAAAAAATGGGAGGTAGGTGCTTGTTAGGTTTCAGAACGTAAAAAACCAAAATTTTGAACCCTTTGAAATTCAGGTTCATTTTGTAACAAGATTTCCACTTAAAACTTTGTGCCTGGTGGAAAAAAAAAATCCTAAAAATGAGCTTTAAGCATTTTGGAGTCAATTGGTCAACTTTATATGTTTAAATATGGTGGTACAATTGCTAAACCACTGTACCACACTGGATGAAAGCTGGGTGCAAAAGGTTGAAAGTTTGGTCAATACATTTACTTATTTGTAGTCAAAACAATTTAGAAATTTCATGTAATAACGTGGTCTGACGGCAAAGGTATATTTAAAGATTTAAAACAGGTGGAACTGTTGTCGGTGATGCGCAGCCAAGTTTTCTTTGGAGCTTGCTGTCTGAGCTCTCCGATTTTGAGAGTTCTGCAACACCTGTTTCTGTATATTTTTGTCATCATTTCTTGATTGCCCAGACCTCTCATCTAAAGGTGTGCTTTTAATTACAACATCAGAGGTTTTCTGTGGCAAAAGAAGGCATTTTCATCACATGGACACAACTATCAAAGCTGTGACAGTCGTAACTTTTTCGTATCAAAAATCAGGTTTACGTTATGTGCAAGAAATGCACTTGAGTCATCAGATTCCCAATGTTTATAAGCACATTTTTAAAATTATTTTGGATTGTGAAGTTTACAGGTTTCAATAATGCACCACCACCATTTTTTGCCAATCGACAGCTTATGAAGGACGGTTGTTATTAATAAAAGTGCTTTACTTACTTTTCGGAGCTCTGGGACAGATGTACACAGGCATTATTTGAATTTGGGGCACATATTTTATAACTGAAGTACTGACCATAACATGTTGAAAGCATATTTTCAGCGAAGTAGAGTGCGTCTTTAGGGGGGAAAAAAAAACAAAAAAACTTCAGTATTTTTAATATCTGCCGAGAGAGGGTGCTATTATTCTGAAAAGCGCAGTAGTTTCAGATTGATACCACTGTCCGTTGCACTCTTAGACCACATTTTTTTGGTGGTATTAAGCCCGATTTTGCTTGCTTCATTGCTTTGCATCGGAACCTGCTCGTAAAGCTTTGCTGCCTTGCACCAGCGTGCTTGCATAAAGCTTGCCTGCTTTGCACCAGTGCCTGCATCTATAGTTTCATTACCTTGCACCGGCATGCATGCATTACACTTCACTATTTTGCATTGCTGTGCATGCGTCAGGCTTCACCATCTAGCACCAATGCTTGCATGTAGAGCTTCACCGCTTTGCACCAGCTTGCGCACTTAACGCTTCACCTCTCTGCACCGGTGTGCACGCGTGAAGCCTCACTGGTTTGCGCTGGTCGTGTGCTCGGAGAAGCGGCTTGCACGGAAGAGAATCTTTGTTAGCTCAGTGGGCTCAAAGATTTGCTGGGGTGGGTGCTTGACATGTACTTTGCTTCTATTTCCAATGTTCCGAAAGTCATTTAGGGGGCTTATGCGACATGGGCACATGCCTAATATTTTACTGTACGTTGCTGTAAAGTGCAAATGAATCCCAAGTGACACTGTAATGTGTTGTAGGTCTGTCTGGTTGCCTTCATCACTGACATGAGCACGAGCGCATGATTTTCAAAAGTCTCTTTCATGTGCTAGTGCTTGCACACACAAGCACTTGCAATCACTGCACAGCAAGCCTCTTGTGCCCTTTCCTTTGCCAGCACTGAAGACAACTTGTCAGATACAGTTTAGACTGTTATCGTATTATGCCGATTCGGTCAACCGTACACAACGTGAAATGTAGATTGACGTCCTGCGGTGTTTATGGAATCGGAAAGAAGTTCGACTCGGTGTGGCGTGGATGGTACTGATGCCCATTTGCCCCCCTCAATACTGTCCTGTGCAGGCAACTCAAGGACAAGGACTTTTTCTCCAAGTCCGATCCCATGTGTGTCTTGTTCATGCGGGAGTGCGACAGCGACACCTGGAGAGAGGTACGATCCAACACCATTTTTGGGGAGGATTGCTGACAGACCTGTCGGTCATCTGCAACCCTATCAAATCTTCTCTTTTTTTTTTTTCCTCTTGTCTTAGCCATGGGGAACTGGTTGTTAGAGTTTAGAGATTACTATAGTCTTCACCTAAGTAAATTTATTTATTTATTTTCCCACTCTTAAAGTGGACAGAACAATAACGTTTGAGAGTTGCCGCAACTTCTGGTCAAATTATGGTATAACACCTGATTTCATGGCAGACTTTTATGGTGTGCTAAGAAGCCATCTGGTGCTTTATTAATTTTGTTAGTAATCCTATTTAGTTGCTTGACATACCATAGTCTATTTTGTTATTATTGTTTATAAGTGCCTTTATATCATACTTGTCTCTCTGTCTATGGTGCTTTATGCTTATATTGTTTCGAAGCCAGGGGTCCACAAACACTCAATTCAGTACTTTTTTGTCAGTGTAATCAAATAGGTTATTGCATTAATTTTTGAAGTAATGAAGGCGAGGTAAGAGGAGCCTTTACTTGTGGGGCCCACCTTAACCTCTTTTTGCTTCAATTAGAGCCGAGTTTATTACTTTTCAGTAACTTCCTGTAATTTAGAATTTGGCTTTGAAATTTAGGTGGTGTACTTAGTCAAATATATTAGAAAGAATATGGAGCTGCAGTCCCCACTGGACCTTGTTGAGTTGCAGAAAGGGAAATGGTTACTAAGGTCATTGTTGAATTACTCTTAGTGTCGAGTAATAGAGTAATTGAATTCATGACTTTTTGATGGTAATATACAGTGCAATCCACTTGTAACGATTATGTGAAAACCCAAAAATTCAATCGCAATAACCGGTTCTCATTGTATCTGGACTTGAAAATGAGTATTTCTCGTCTAGAAATTCGAGAAACTGGTCGTTATAAGCAGTACATCATTGTATATGGTATTGTTACAAGTGGAGTGCACTGTACGTAGTGCAGTAACGTCTCGTTAATATGGATGCCTCTGTTCCCGGTAAAAATCTTCCATAGTGTGTCGTCCGTAATAATGAATCAGGGTCAAAGCGCGCACATCAACGCAAACGCTACAGCCCCCTCGAGCCAGTCAGAGTGACGGAGGCGAAACACATGAAAGCACTTACCAAAAGGGCGAGTGCTTAGGTGGTTTTCGCGTAAACCAAGCAGTTGGAGAAGAGGGGAAGGAGGAACTCCCTTCATATTCCTATCCTCTTTTGTGCGTCACAGACGTCGCTTTGTCCCCCCCCTCCCGTAAAATTGGCCCGCCGCTCAAAGTTTGTACAAAGGCGGCGTCCTTCTCTCTCCCGCCCGTGTCTTTGACAGCACTGCTCGCACCTGGCGAGTCGCGCAACTGCCTCCGACGTGCTGATTGGCTCGCTTGGTCCACAGCTTTCGCCGTCTGCCGAGTGACGATGAAACGAAGTGTAGGAGCAATTAGCTTCGTTGGTTCGGGGCTTCTCTCCCGTACCCCATACGGTGACGAGGTCTACAGTGGAAGGAACCTAGCTGCTTTAGGGTTCATTCTTCTTTGTTCCGAGTTGCAGGTCGTACACAATCTCAAGCAACGATAGAATGCAGGTGGTAACGACCAATATTTTATGTAAAAGACAAAACAAAAACTTCTTTTGGTGCTCAGCTCTTATCGCAAGACCCGCAACGAACATCTGGGTGCACACTGTGACATCTTGGGAACACTGATATCTCGGGGACGTTTTGTGACTTTTTTTAATCTGGGGTACTGGCGTCCTTAATATTAAGACGAAAATGCTCGTATCTACCCAGTTCATCCCCGAAATTGCTGTCCATAGTCCGGATCGCAGGTTTCTATATTAATGGGGCAGAATTGCGGGGCAAAAGATTGGTCGCCGGAAATTTCACCCGTATTAACGAGACATGACTTTACTGGTCCATAGGGATTTCTGATTTGAACATGTTGCCTGTTTGCTACATAACCCGCGATGTGTTCTATCCTGATTTTACTTTTTATTGACCATCGTGCTCGTTGCGAGCCTGCTCTGGACCTAGTCGAGAAAAGATTACAAAAGTTACGCAAGAATGTCAACCTCAGATATACAGTGTGTTCCTTTTTAATCCGCCCAGAATTTAAAAAAAGAAAACACGAAATTTGCATTAGGTTTTTTTTCCATGGGGCTTGGTGGTTATGGCACGAACTATAGAGGATAATTGTGTTAGTTAGATAGCTAATTAATTAAAAAATATATCAGTAACTTTATAAAGTTTTATTTTTGGGGCAATGTATTTGAAGAGTTGATGCTTGATCTTAGTACTGTGCAACTGTGCTGTGAAACATTTATTTAAAAACGTTCAGCCTTTCCACTCTCGTGAAGAAGGAAGACCAGGAGAGCTGTAGTCGATACACTGCCGCAACGCGCACGCGCCCGATTCCCGCTTCTTCTTGTCCAACACACCGCCGATCGTGGATACGTCTCCGGCGAACCCGAGTTGATCGCACACGGCGCACATGATGCCAAACGGGTTTTCCATGAACTCTCTCCGGAACCTCGCCGTCGCCGGGCCTTGTGCTTGCACGTGGCCTCCGTGGCACGATCGTCATCCGTAGCGTTGGCTTGCCGGCACCCTTTACATCGCTGGTTCTGTTCTCGGTGGCGGCTTTCCAGGCGAGGGATGTGCTCTTTGGCAAGGGAATCTGAAGCGCTGGACGTAGTGAAAGTCGAGGCGACAGTGGCTTTGCGGCGGTTGCAGACCTATTCGCGCTGCTGCGTACGTCGCCGCTCCTTCCGCAGCCTGTCTCCTTTCCCCAAAAGTGTGCGCGGCCGACCCATCGCGAGTCCGAACCGAAACTGATAGGAGCGCAGGAAACAGCGTGCAAAACAGACGAGGACGAAGAAACAAACATGACAAGCGCTGCGCTCGTTACGTGTGCTTCTTTGTCGTCGTCTGTTTTTCGCGCTGTTTCCTACGATGAATTCCCACCAACGCGCCCAATTATCCATTCTGCTATGATAGCTGGAAAGGTTGCTGCCATCCACGAGCGACGGCGGAAAACATACTGGTTGTGTGCTTGCTGCCGTCGCTTATAAATGGCGGTAGCTGTCCAGTTGGGTTTGTGTCGACATACCGGACACTATCCTGGGGAACCTAGCCCTTAACAGCTCCTCTGTAAAAACTTTTTAGTGGGACATTTGGGGCGAGCACAACTTAAAAAACAAATCTAAGCGAGCAAAAATCAGAGCCGTCGTAGACACCTTCGCTCATGAAGACGCAAAGGGCAAAGCGACCGACAACGTTGGTGCCTTTTGCCCTCCTCAGACTCCACCTCATTTTTGAAGCTCCACACACGAGCAATTTTTGGGTAGATTGTTTAGCTATTCCTCCGCGTCGAAGCCTTCCCGAAACGTCCATCGACGGCTTCACTGCAGTGCCCGGAACGAGTCTTCCGCTGGTGTTTGGCGCCCAATTTTGCCCACGTGTCGAAAGCGGTCCCGAAGCGCCAACGAACGACGTTGCAAAAGCCGTAGTGCTACGCTATCGGACGTCGCGACTCCTGCCGTCGGTGGCGGAAGTCTTGACAGAATGTACAAGTGAGCTCGAGTGCTGCCACTGTCGTCGAGTCCCAACTCCCGGCTGCCGAAACTTCCACGAACTGTTGAGCCGAAGAACGGCCTGCGGCAGAACGAGCACCCGCCGCATCCACCACCGCCGCTGCGACACCACAGGGGACGCAGTAGGCGATTGCACCACACTTCCGTAACGTCATCGGGTGGAAATTAAGGGACCAGTTCTTAGGGTGTGGTGAACAGACCGGTCGGAGACGCGTTCTGGACACCGCGGCATCGGAGTGGGTTTCTGTCTGACCGGCTTCCCTTCCGCAGGTGGGGCGCACAGAAACCGTGGACAACTGCCTCAATCCCGACTTTGTTACCAAGTTCCTGGTGGACTACTATTTTGAGGAACGCCAACAACTCCTCTTCAAACTGTGAGTGTGTTTGTTTGCCTCCTCGACTTGTCGGAGCAAGTTGTCGACGGAGTGGTTACATTCATTTAAGGAAATGTTTCATAAATCCTTTTTTTTCTCGGTCTGTTAGCCCGAATAAAGTGAGTGTCGTCCCTTGACCTTTGTGCGTCATAGGTGATAGAAAACTACCTTTGCTACAAGCCTGTCTATCTAAATGAACTTAAAGCTCCGAGTCCTTCAGGCTGTCGTTTGAGGTATAAGGCCATGGTGCTTAAACAGCTTCTTACAAAACCGTTTTGTAACTCACTGCTAAATAAAAGAAACTGTTTTCATTCCCATTTCATTAGCAAGAATGAAAGATGCCTTCCCCGTTTCCCTTTGGACAAGTCAAACAGCAGGTGACAACAGAGAGCATTGATCTCATAACTTGTGAGAAGGTTGCTTTGCTGCCTGCCCATCCCAGACAAACAACACAGAACTAACATTTCTTAAGCAAGAAACTACATTTTACGTTAGGCAGATGAACAATTATAGATTGAAGCACGAGGCACGAGGCACTCAGCCTGGCAGTCTTGGCCACTTGTACTGGCATCTCATACTGGTCTTTCATTATGCTGGTGTTATGCTGAACTCTCATTGTGCCGGCCACTGATACCGACCTCTCGTACTGACTTCTCGTTGTACTGGCTTACTTATAGTGACCTCTCATTGTACTGACCTCTGGTACTAACCTCTCATTCCGGCCTCTCATTGTACATGTGTTGTTATAGTGGGCTTGTATTGTGCAGGATTCTCATTGTATCGACCTCTTATTGTTTTGGTCTCATTATAGTGGCCCCTCATTGTACTAGACTCCCATTCTACTGACCTTTTGTAGCCAAAGCAATGCCTACTTGACTGTGTCAATTTGTTACAGTACATCACTGCAAGTGCACCACACATACTCGGTACATAGGTACTCTGGTAGTCCCTGCACTTTGTCACCGTAAAGGGCGCCCACAAATTCTATGGCCTTGGCAACATTTCTCTTGAATTTAAGTTATACACCATTCACACGGGCAGCCTGAAGGTACCTATAGCGTAGGTCCTTTTGCAATCGACGAATTAGCCCGCACTCTTGGATCGCACGGAAGATCGCAAACTGACTCGCCTATGGCTGCGAAGGCTCTGTGTTTTCGGATAAATCCGAGAAACACCCGCCGGTAAAATTTTGGTCGATTCGGATTTATCCGATAAACTTTGAATATTTATGTGTCAATGCCACTCCCTCCCCCGGCAAAAGAAAAAAAGTAAAAGACTTTTTTTTTTACAGTTTGATCAGCACAGAGCCAATGGTCCTGGGAAAATTCCACCTTAATTATCTTTCAAATCTCGGACCGTTGTCAAAAGGGGTCTTGCCGCTTGTCTCTTCAAGGTTGAGTCAGGGCAACAGGTCGTTCGTTGTACATTCGGGTCACGACAAAGGCCACTCTTTTGGTTTCCAGTTTGGGCCATGCAATTTGTGATTTAGAGAAAGGAAAGGGTATGCTTTAGTAACAGTGAAAGCTATGGACCATAAGGATTGTATAAAATTGAGAAGAGGGGCAGTTCAAACTCTCTATTACCTCCTTAACCACTCCACCTCGCGCGGCCGCGGGCTAGATTGATGAAATAGGATGGGATCACTACGAGCTTCCTAGCGACTACCTCCGGGAGTTTTTTGATTTTAAGGTATCGGCGTTTATAGAAGCACCACTTGCGTGTGTTTTTTGTCGTGGATAAATTAGTATTGCCAATGGCAATGGCACCAATGCCAAATTCAACTGAAGATATTTCAGTTGATACAAGCACATTTTATTTTTTTTTCTGGCATACGTTTACATTCGATTATTATTTATTTATTTATTTTTAATAGGAAACACAGTGAAATTAAAGTCTGAATTCGGAGAATTGGGAATCAAAAATATAAACTCCGATAAAGTCTGAATCTTCGGCAAAAAATAAACTCCGAAAAACACCCTCCGAATTTGACGAAAAATTAACTCCGAAAACACAGAGCCTTAGCTGTAGGTGCCTTTATGATCGTGCAAATGGGGTATTAAGCAGCAGCTCCTGAAGAACACAAGCTGACTCGAGGACGTATTTTCTTTTCTTTTCTACAGATATGACATTGACAGCCCCAGCGTGGACCTGCAAAATCATGTGGGTGTTGCATCCTTTTTAACCCCTTGCCTACTAATAACGAGTGTCACTCGTGCCGCCATTTACGGACCATAAAACCCGACCACGAGTGTGACTCGTGTTTCGGTTTCAGAGCTTGTTTTGTGAGCTCTGCGGCAGATGGCAGCACTATCCCTGTTGCTCCTGTTTACCTTGGGTTCTTTTCTTGTTTGCTTTGCCTTTTGACAGAGAGAGGGCGCTCCATTGACAAAAAATAAGCGCGCTATTGTAAGCAAGCGCGCCAAAAACATGTCTTCGGCGCGGAGGTCTGCTTTGGCGGACAAAGATATACAAAGACTTCTTTTTGAAAGTGATGAATGCGCCAGTATTTCTGACGACGAATCCTGCTGCCTTTCCGATTACTCGGAATCCGATGAGAGTTCAAAGGACAGTGAGAAAAGTGTTGAAAACGATGCGAATCCTGGAAGCATTTCATCGACTTCGGCGTCTGCACGTCAGTGGAACTGGGGAAGAGGGACAACCAGCCTGCTCAGTTCACCTTTGTAGAAACCCCAGGTGTGTCAGCAAGGGTTCAACGCAGTCTTGGTGAGAAGACAAGCGCCTTGTCGACCTTTTCCGTGTTTGCAAGTCATGATTTTTGGGCATCTGTCTCTGCTGAGACAAATCGCTACGCCGAACAAGAGATGGGCGACGAGGACCGTCCCAAGAAATGCTATGAGGAGCAATGGTTTGACACCACTCCTGATGAGATAAAGGCATACTTTGCCTTGTGCATCATTATGACGCTAGTGAAAAAACACACAGTCAAAATGAACTGGTCCAAGAGGTCCATAGTGGAGACCCCAATTTTCGGCAAAACGATGTCCTATGTGAGGTTTCTGCTAATCTCTCGATTTCTATCATACTGTGAAGAACTGCTGAAGAAGAGGAGACGACCAGAAGTCCTGGTATAGAGCACGAGACTACGCCTGAAAGCCAAGGAAACGTTTTTCTTTATTTTGACGCAAATTGCTTGATTTAAATAAGGCTTTCTGTACGATCTTTAAAGAAAAAAAATGAGTAGGCAAGGGGTTAATAAGCGCTTGGAGTTAGGCCAGGAGTGTCCCCTGGTGCTGAGTTTTTTCCTCATTGCCGGCAGGACTTCCTGGGGCAGATCAAGTGCACCTTGGGGGAGCTGGTCGCCTACCAGGGGACGCAGGTGAAGCTGCAGCTGTCGTGAGTACTTTCCCCATGCTTATCCAGTTTAGTGCCGATGCTGAGACGTGGTGTGGGGCCACACCCATCCACTGCCATAGAAAGTTGCCAAGCATGGCGTAAAATACCGAGCATGCTCCCACACTATAGATGGAGATAATCACGATAGACACTTGTTTCACTTCTTAGATCCGAGAGCAGAAAGCAGGTAGGCTAGGCCCTTGTTTTGTCCGACGGAATGGTATTAGCAAGTTCGAGCAAATATAGGGGGCACTTCGAAAATCAAAGCTGGCGGTCAGATTGATGTGTTTTGCGACAGTTAATACTGTGAGATCGACTTCAGTATTTCATTAGTATGTTTTTTAAGGTTCACGGGCAGCTAGTCAGACGTCTGAAAACACCATGTAGCTGCAAACCACGCGAGGCAAGGATGAAAAAAATATCGGCACCGGCACGGTCCAAAGGGGGATCGTTTCTCCGTGGGTACTGCATTTCAGCAAGACTAGTCTTCCGAAACAAAGCGTGATGCGATAGACGACCGATTTTTGTTTTATTACACACACTCAGCCAGCATATTAAAGGACAGCCACTGCCGACTGGTCGTGCAATGTAAGCATGAAAAAATGAGTGCTGCGACCGCTTTAATACACCGCTGTTCAGCCGTATGTCTCATGGATACCGTATTTACTTGCATAATGAATGCACTTTCTTTCTCAAAAAATGGACACAATTCTTGCCAATGTCATATTAGGTGTCAATATGACACGTTAAGGTTCTGTGGCACGTCGCCACTGATGGAGGCGCACCCATTTTTGGTCAAGGCCGCGCCACAGTAAGCATGCTTTGAAAATTGCGAACCTTTTTAAGGCACTTTCCGCATGCCTTTTGCCGAAGGAAAAGCGCCCTACGGAGCTCACTTAGCATGGAAAGCATTGTGACCTTTTTTCGGTGATACATATTGCTAGTATCCGGCGGTGTGCTTAGGTATATACCGCGACTACGCATGTAAGTACAAGAACTCATGTGAAGTCCAACCGCCGAGGCCCGCTCGCACTGATCAGGTTTCGTTCACGGAGGCGGTTGTCACCAGGGGCTACCAGACACTCTCAACCTACGACGCAGCGTACACCTTGCTGCGCGGTTCTGTTACGGATTAAATAAACGCATTTACTTATGAACGTACGTGAAATTAGGCCTAACCACTTTCACGATTTCACTGTATGAAAGTAAACCACAGACAATGACGTGTTTGGTGACTTCATTGCATCCGATAGATTAAGAATGTCCGTTGCTGGGCAATTCTTCGATCCAAGCTTCGTCAAGCGTGTGCGCCGCTCGGTTTCACGGTTGATCACTTCCGCAACTATGCAATTACAGCCATTATGAGAGCGGCTTGGCTTGGCTTGACTTGGCCTGACCGCTTGTCAGCAAAAGAAAATTGGCTCGGTGGCTAGCTAAATTGGACGCAATTCGAGACTCGCTGAGCCGAAAATTAGAGTTGCGTTGGTTACGCGTTGAAAAAAAAAAAAAGTCCAAATATTGGTACTCGTGCGTTCATTATGCAGGTAAATACGGTACTTAACGAGGTGCTGCTGCATTAATACGAGTTGTTTTATTATGTCGCGATTTGTTTGATGTTGTAAGCGTTGATCGCCAACATGCAGTACCGTACCGAAGAAGACAATTGGTCGGAGATATTCTTGCGAGACGAGTGAACAAATTTTGATTGATGACTGTCTTGGGTAAGCGCCGAAAACATTTGGAAACAACGAACCAGACAAGCGGGCTAAGATAATTTCAGTTTCATGAACATCATTAAAATCTTCTTTACTTTGTTTACGCTCAAATTACAGTATGGTGGACCAAAATTAGGTTTCGCTACATTGCCACTTTGCTAAAACAAATAGTTCTACTGAAGCTCCGAATCATTCGCATATATTTTGCTCGGTACCACAAACATTGTGCATTACGCACTGCCTGATTTTGCACTCATTTGCAATTATTTTACACTGGTCCAAAAATGATGAGGAATCAATCTCTGAATTTGTAACACTTTACTGGACGTCAAACAGCATAATTTCGAGTCACCAGGGGGTTATTTATGTTACGCTTGGAATCGAGCAAACTCAAGACGCAGCAGCGATAGCACTTCGACCAGTACGTTTCGACACTCCTCACACAGAATAAAAACAAACCCTAATAAAATAACTCCATTAATCGCGAACGAAGGAACAGGTCAGCGGCAAAGGAAACAGTGCAAAAGCTTTCAGGCAAAAGCAATGGAGCAGATTTGGGATATTCCTTATGCACACGCACTAAAACCGCGATTAAGTCTCCCTAATGCACATAGTGTACCTACATTTGTTATGTCCAAAATATAGCAATGTTTAATTCACCCTTGTTGTCAGAATTAATCTTCAAATTCTACACGGGAGCACTTGTGATAATTTTTTCACAAGTCAATTGTGATAACTTATTTCTAGGGCTAGTGGTATCTCGACAAGCTAGGAGCAGCGACGATAATCACATCAACTTTTACACTTTTACGGCCACTGTCACGATTGAAGACAGCTCCATTCGAATCATCCAAACACCGAGCACACACAGATCGTAAAGAATACGTTCTCAGTGTCTAGTAGTAGTGAAGCAGCGAAGCTTCTTGAACAGGAAACCTGTGACACTGGGCCGGCAGAGCAATCATCGTCGAGTGGCGGATCCCGTGACGAGCGGATGCAGGCCGTGCTTCCTTCGATGTCTTGTTGCCATGTGGGGTTTAGTAGCACATTGTATTGCCCAATTATCGTACCGCTGCCACGTGATATTAGTTCTGGCGGTGTTTGTGAGCCTCTGTCACCTATGTTGCAAGCCTACTCAGCTAAGCGATCCCCCTCTTTTCGTTTCTAAGGTTGGCCACCAGTGCGGCAACACCCTAGACAGAACTTGCGAATAGGAGCAGTGTAAGGGTCTGGTGAAGCCCTTAACGTTCGAAGCAGCCTCACCGCTGCCATCGAGCCCGCTTACGCCAGAGCTCTCGTGCCGAGCTTTACCGCTTTGCTCCAACGCATGCGCGTAAAGCTCCACCTCTTTGTACCAGCTTCTTGGAGGAGCAACTGACACAGAGGGGCATATTGGTCGGCGCGGCAATCTGCTGGGGCGGGCCCTTGTTGCGACGCGGGTGCATGCCCGGTATTTTGCAACGGCATATTCTGCTCAGCTGAGCCATGCCTGCGTGGTACATTGGGTGAGTGCACGCAACTGCAGAGGGTTCATCGTAGTTTTCATTTCCTTGCAGCGGCCTACCCGGGAACTGTGGCTCCATCCTCCGTAAGTGTTGTCCGGCTGCGGAGGCCGGGAGGAAGCTGATTGAGGTGAGGGGAGAGCTGAGAGAGAAGGAGAGAGTGGCGTCCCCTTAACCCCCCCCCCCCCTCGGTTTCCGGGTTCAGACGGGGCAGCTCCTTTCTGCCAGAAGTACATTAGCAGGGTCCAGGGTGTCGGGTGAAGAGAGGCATGCCCTTGGACGAGGGACTTCACCAAACAATCATGTAGGATGTATGTGATGTTGGCTGGACCTTTCTTTTTGTGTAGATTCCGATTTGTTTGTAAACGTGTGGGACGTGTAGAATTACACGGGGACAAAGACATTAAATGTTGGCTCCACAGTGAAAGTGCTAGAAGAGTGCAGACCTGGTTTGGTGACAATGCTGGCACAGCTCCGAACCCTGATACTGTGAAAAAAAAAAAAGAAAAATGAGTAGTAAACACTGCATGTCCAGACTTTGAACTTGATGGTTTATTTTTATTGTGCTTGCAGAATTTTAAATAAAATAACTTCCCATCGTCTTTAGATAACTACTGTATATCTAACCTCAAGCCAACATTGACACTGGGTATGCTGTGCACTTACTAGTAGCAGCAAAATATTTCTGTTTTGTTTTCTTTCTTCACCGTACTGTTCTGTACCTCCACTTTGTAGTGTGCTGCTTTGTAGTTTGAGCATTTGAATCTAAATAAACGAAATGAGCCATTTTTTACAGCGGAGCTGTTAAGGGCTAGTTTCCCCAGTTTTATGTCCGCGGACAAATGAATCTCGCCACAAAACTCTGGACAGCTGCCGCCATCTATGAGCGACAGTGGCAACCAGACAACTGGCTTGCCGGTTGTCTGGTTGCCGCTGTCGCTCATAGATGGCGACAACCTTTCCAGCCTTTCCACTCTGGTTTTCACCAGAGTGGAAAGGCTGAATTTCTCTAGGCGTTGTCCTTGAGGACGTCCTAGACGTCGTGCTTGAGGTTGTGGAACGGGAGGTTCACCAGAATTTATAGAAGGATATATTAACCCAAATTTCGAGAAACTCTTTCTACATCTGTGAATTATGCAGGCTCTTAGTTTACCTGTACCGGCAACGTTATGTGAAGCACATTATGCTACCAGAATGTCACTTGGGAGGTGAACATGGGGTAGGTGTAACAGGTTTTAACAACAAGGGCCAAGAAAAGGAACACACAACACGGGATGAGTGCTGACTCGCAACTAAATGCTCACCTTCCACCAACTAGTTCAGCTCTCTACTTTGTCACTGGGGAAATCGGCCTACAGTGCATGACTCCCAGATCGAAGGATTTCCTGCTCCTTACGGTGTATTCGCACAACAAAGTTTTTCTCCGAAGAAGTGAATAAACGTCATCAAGCTTCGAGGTCATGTGCGCCGTGTCACGGTCGTTTATTAATCCCCCAAGCCCGAGGGTAGCCACGGAGAATCTGCAACCGGCCCACAGGATATCTGTCTCCTTGAATTGACTTTTCGGGAAAGGATCACGGTAGATAGCATTAACCTGTGGGATGCGTTTCTTTTTTCCTGCCTCAAGTTCGATGACCCCCCGAAGGTCACAAGCACGTTCACGAAAGGAAAGGCTTCACCGACTAAACTACATGCGACTCCATTGTGCGAATCCATCGTGCGAATGCCCACACGGATTTTCTGTACTGCTTCCATCATTTCCCTGCCTTTCCTCCTCTCAGTTTCATGAGATACTCAGTTTTCTCTGGAAATAAATATCTGTTGTGCAAATACAACGTTAAGGGCACAGATGTGTGCATGGCCGCCATTTCCCCCGTTATGTGGCTTAGTTAGTTAAGGGCATGCCTTTGTGAGGACACCTTTTGTCTGCCCTTCGGGCTTTGTGCGACTCTCTCTCTCTCCCCTCTCACAGCCTTTCTCTCCCTCTCTTCTTTGGTCTCACCTCCTTAGGTCCTCAGCTTTGGAAACTGAAAGCACAATTGCCAAAGCATGCTGAGCTGGAGCATGGCAGCGCCTTTTTTGCCGGCTTTGGGAAGGATGACGATGCCAGGTTACTTTGCATGGATGCACTCAAGTTTAGTTACTAGGATAAACCGTAGCACTTTCTGAGAAAGAAGTAATCGAATCCATTTGGAACTGACTTCTACATTTAGTGTAGCATCTCTATGAGGTTCAGTGATGATGCCTTCAAGAGTTGCATCCTCACACAGATAAAATGGAGAGAGCTTTGCGGTGGCAGCTCTAATATTCAGCACCTAAACTTTTCTAAGTTAATCATTTTCAAAATGCTGTGTTTAAAGATATGTCGGACGTATCTCGATCTTAGAGTCTAAAAATACGTCGCACCTAGCCAATGAATGGCCACCGGTCCGTCGGACACACCCGCTCCACGCTCGCAGGTCGCGCTTTTCGTACTTGCATTTCAGACTGGGATAAAAAAAAAAAGTTCTATCAACTCAAGCTTGTTACAAATCAATCCATTCCAACCCAGTTCGAGTAGCCGCAAGCCAACGAGCTCTGGCGCCTGTATCGCCTTAGGGCCTCGCTTCGCCTTCTAGCCTGTGTGCTTAATGGCCCGCCCACGCCCCTCCTGGACTGTGTGAGAAAGAATCGCTCTGGTGAACTCCAACCACTCCTTGGACGAACAGAACGTCATAAAAGTATGCTCCTCCCTAGAGCCACCAAGCTCTAGTGCTCCCTCCCAAGCGAAGTTATGCAAGGGCCTTTGGAAGAAAAAGAGCACATACACTAAAGGAATTCTGCTAGTGTGCGACCCACCACCTGAAAAAAACTATAAGACTATCAAACCATTGTACGCGGGTACAGTGAGCCTCTATAGTATGGGCAAAAGCTTTTTGTCTGTTATCCGGGTTTTATAAACCGAATGAAGCATTATTATTACAGTATTATTATCACCCACAACAAAAGTGCTACAATTGCAAACAGGGTGCATGTGCTTTGCACTTGTGACCGATGCTTCCATGGGAAATTATTATTCTGTATGTAGCAGACCAACATTGGGATAGTCTAGTCTGGTATACATGGCTTGCACATGACGCCAATGCAGTCCTCCTTGTTGGTGGTAGAATGCATTGGTAGCTGAGCTGACTTGTTTCCAGTTTGTACTATTAGTACAGCACCAGTTTTGAATTTCCAAGGTCATTAATGGCGAAAAAACAGAAAGCTGCTCGGCAGTGTTCGCCCCTTGTTGATTTTTTAGTTCAGCAGGTGCATGTAAAGGAACGCATCATACAAACGCAAAAATCGGTAGGCAGCAGCCGTGACCCGCCAATCCTTTTTCACGCAGTGCATGCTTCGCATATCTGTACGAAGCAAAACTTGGAACGCCAGCAAAGGAAACAACCGGAAACGGCAAGCGACGTCTCATGTTTCGTCAGTTTCATACTTCGAACATTGCTCTCGAAACTCGACAGTTCAGCCCGCTGAGCTCGGGGTCGGCGACGCATACGGCATACTACTTGGTGCCCGAACGCCCAAATGCGAATCGCGGCTACGTTCACTGTCTCCGGGTCCTGGGTACGTCCAACGTATCTTTAGACTCTGGGATCCGGGTACGTCCGACGTATCTTTAGACGTCGGGCACCAGATACGTCCCACATACCTTTAGACACAGCGTTTTCAAGAAGCTTTACATCTTTTGGAGAATGGTTGACGCAAGAATGGTAATGACTAGTAATTAGTCCTCAGTACCCTATTAAAGTAGTTCACTTTATTGGAAAGTTACTTCCACTGAAATGTAGTAATTTTCCACATCTAGATTAGTGCAATGTCTGGAGCAATGCATTGGAGTTGCATGCTACTCAATTTGCTTATAGGTGCCTGTAGCAGTGAATTAACCATTGGTATCTTTTTCTTCCTATAAAAGACTATTGAGACTGCAAAGTTCAGAGAGAAAATTGGCTATCTGGGTGTTTGGTTTTAATTTAAACAGATTTATTTTAATATATTTGTGAAAGGTCCAGTAATGCAGTTTATGCAGGAGAGTTGTATGGTCACGGGGCTATAATATGTAAGATTATTCCTCACGTTGTGTCGAATAATTAACTTAAATGTGTTGATTAACTTTTTAATGAGTGCAAATGAACATTTGTTGTTCCAATTAAAAACTTGCGAAGCGTCATCAAAAGCCCCCAAATCAGTCAATTTTGGATGGACTTGAAGTGTGTCAAAAGCGCCGAAGCTACCACTCGCAAGGTTAGTGGTGTGTGAATACAGATAGCAAGATTATCACTGGCATTAACGCACTGCTGGCCTTTTGCTTGTCGCACGAGTAGTAACTTTGGTGCACCCTAGCACTTTCCACATGCTTCGAAATTGACTAATTTAGGGGTTTTCGATGACGCTCTGCAAGTTTCTAATTGGAACCATGTGTTTATTTTCGCTAATTAAAAGATAATTAAGGAATTTTTAGTTAATTACTCAATAGACTGTGACGGTTATCCATTCCTCTAATGTCCTCCTAACTCGAGAAACAACTAGCGAAGACGTCACTCAGCTAGCAGTTTGCACTCTTTTTCTGAAAATATATGTTTCCGTTATAAAATATCGCCCTGTATATGATGCGCAGTATCCAACTAGTAGCAATATGAATGGTAAGTTATCATTATTCAATTAGAGAAACAATCTACCTCATACCTTTGCTACGCAGAGCAGATTTAACTACTGCGGTGCTACTTTATTACTACTTGGTAGGTAGCATTATTAGGAGTAGTACTACAGTAGTGGCAGCAATAGTAATGTTGAGCCCGATTATATCGAACCCAAATATTTAAAATTACCGTCTATTTCAAACAGCAGAAACATCCCCACGAAAATTCCTCGTAAAAGTGTAGGAGCCACAGGCATCTGTATTGAACTCCGACCTACCAGGACGTCGAATACATTGAACCGGGCGCTGTGCTCCCCCCTGGTAGGGAGGCTTTTCCCGAATACACTGCCATCGCTGCTCCCGCGATCGGTATGTGCGCGCCGAGGCTGCACGAGGCAAGATGACGGGGCGCGCCGGCGGCCACCGAGCCACGCAAAGAGTCGCGGGGAGCACGCTTGCCCATTGGAGTTAGCGGCGAAAAGCACGAGAGAGTGGTGGGGAAAACCGGAACTCTTCTTCAATGTCGTTAGTTGCAAAATAAAAGAGAAAAAGTCTTTATCTGGCGGAATCCGTCAACAACGTTTGCGAAATCATGCTTCGTGCTTCCACCGCCTTGTGTCTGAGTATCTTTTTCTTTCGCTCTTTTCGTTTTGCTGTTTTATTTTTTGTGCTTTTTTTTTTTTTTGCCATCTTTGATTTTATGTTAGTTTTGTTGCTGATTTTATTATTTTTCTTAAGATAAAAAAATGAAAAAAGTGAAGCTTTTTTATTATGCGTCCCACTTTTTCTTTAACCTTCCGCTATCTCTTTTATTTTTTTTTTCTCGTTTTTCGTTGGCTGTGTTGTAGAGGTGGCAGCATTGCGGATGCATACGCACAGTGAAGTGCGAGCAGCAGTGCTCGCAGTTCTTGCCAACTATGCTTTAACGAGGTTTTACAGTATTTAGTGGTTCTTGGCAGCGCCATTTGGTAAGCTTCTGTTTTGTCACATTATTCAACAGTTATTGCTGATGCACGAAAATTTAGTTTGGAGCTTAGGCTAACATTATTTTGTACATTGATTTATTGGCATGTTGCACTATTCTGCGATCCTCCTGGAACTCGCTATCCCTGGAATTCGATATATCTGGGTTCGACTCTAACAGCAATAGTGGCGATAGTGAACTGTTGATCTGGCACCTATTGAAAGTCGTGACATTCTGCCATCTTTGATTCCCTAAAGCTACGCGACAAATCACTGGGAACGAACAAGATTCGCATTGAATTCTCGATCTGACGCTTGTTTCACACTTTTACAGTGACAGTGGAAGAAGTCCTAGACTGCAAGGTAGGTAAAAACCCATTTGTAATGCATTCCTTCTCGGTACGGTGCCTGGAGGTCATCTCTGACCGGTCCGTTTACCACGCCCTCATTTGCGGTTTCTTGACGGCCGCTCGACGTTCTCGCAGAAGTGTCACACAGGGGAGGCAGATGTGGCAGGTGCCTGTTCTGCCGTAGGCCCGCGGTTCCAGCTTGACAGTTCGCAGAAACTCGAAGCGACACAAGTCGGGGCGCAGATACGACTAAGGCGCTCGCGTTCACTTATCCATTTTGTCGGAACTTCTACGACCCACTTCGGGATAGCGGCATCCAACAATGCGGACTCCTCTTTCAATGTGCGTGCCGTACGGGGCGCCAAACGCACCGGTCAGACGTGACCTAGGCAACCTAGTCTCGGCGTTACGTCTGCCGAGGCCGCCCTCCTCAGACCTGCTTTCGACGCGCAGAGGGTGATCGACATGCAGTGGTATGGCCAGAAGCTGGACAAGAAGGACTGGTTCGGCAAGTCGGATCCTTTCCTCGAGTTCTATCGCATCAGCGAGGACAACAGGTGAGTCGTGTTGTGCTTACTCTGCCCCCGACGTTGACTCTATCTTGCCAAGGAGGTTGTGTGAACTGTTTGCTCGGTCTTGGATAGAGTTCTTCTGATGAATCGTCCTGCCCAAGTGGACGGGGAACTTGTCTATCGGAATTAGCAGGACTGTGCCTTGCTGATTCTTTCAAAAATATTATTTTGAAGCTAATATTACGATGCTACTGTGTTATAAGAAAGTGGTATGCGAAAAAAGTTTGCAGCTGTATCGAGCAAAATGCTACTTGCAGAATTCCCCTTTGTAAGGAACGCAGCTGACGCTCTCGTTCTACCTCAGCCTTTCTGGCGCGCGTCTTTACGAGGCATCGCCTCGTTGTCCTCTTTTGTCCTTTTAGGCAACACAGAGGATGTGCAGGCTAAGGCTGAGGTGCATTGTGGGAGCGACTCACAGGATACTGACATGCGTCTTAATTGTAATTTATGCAGTTTATGTGCCGCCACCCAAACTATGAAGTGCCTGGTAAAGTTACAACCTCCAAGATAGGTTGTGCCCCAGGCCGCACCAATACGTTATGGACATTCCCCGGACATACTTCCGGTGGCTTCACACTTGCGTGCTTGGTGTGCCAACCAGCCCTCTGTAATCACTAACAAGAGAGAACAGCAGGGAGGAGTTTCAGTCAACGCATATCTAGAACAACATTGGCTTGGGCGTCTCATGCATCATAAGCATGAGTGCTCGAGGTGTATTGGTTTGCACCTTCGCCTCGCGTGAGGGGTCCGTGGGTGCCCGCTCCCTGAGCATGTCGTCATCTGTTTGCAGCTACACGGCGGTATTCCGGACAGAGGTGGTGAAGAAGTCGCTGAACCCGACGTGGCGGCCCTTCGCCATCCAGATGCGGCAGCTGAGCGGGGGCGACGAGGACCGCACCATCCGCGTGGTCTGCTACGACTGGGACTTCGACGGAGGGTGAGTAGGCTGCTGGGGCCCGGCGGTCTGTGAGCGCCCACGCTGGGTTGCATGCCAGCGTCTCTCGCAGCCACGACCTCATCGGGGAGTTCTACACCAACGTCAAGACCCTCGCCCAGGGGCCCGGGCCCGACAACGAATACGAGGTGAGGCTCATTCCCCATTTACTCTCACGTAACCAAAGGGGTTTCCACGCACCCCGGAAAGTAAAAATATTGGCCGTCTCTTTGGTGTGTGTCAAGAGGGCTCTAAATGCCTAGCATTCATAGGTCCTTTGTGACGTCACGTGACATCACGGTGTCATTTGACGTCGTGTCTTCCTCGTTGCAGTGTCACATGATGTCATGTGACATTGCTGTGTAATGGGGATCACATGATATCATGTTGTCAGTGTCATGTCATGTCTTAAACGATGCAGTGTCTTGTGATGTCATAGTGTCAAATGTTGTCATGTAACATTACTGTGTCATGTGATGTCACATGATGTCAATTTTCAGTGTCATGTGATGTCATAGTGTCACACAAGATCATTGTATCATGTGGCATACTTTTACTTGGGATCATGGTGTAACATGATGTAATAACGTCACATGACGTAATGGTGTTATGTCATGTGATGTAAAGCGTTGTCAAGGCAAGTGGGCTGATGCTGAAGATTTACGAGAAAGGTTGTTCCGAAATCTCGGTTTTACGATCAAAACATGTAGCCAAGGCATTCCAGGCAATGCTGTTCAATTTCTAGCCCACACAGATGATTCTCTGCTTCCCAAGGTCACTAAGCTCTCTGTGTTGTTTGTACCAGCGCAGCGGTATTATGGCAGGGGAGAAGGGAAACGTGCACATTCATTCCCCCTTAGATGCACGAACTGATATGATCTCAAATTTTTTGCAAAACTTTCAGTTCCTGTGGTTTCTTCTACTAGTGTTCATGATCTTTGTTGTGCAATGAAGCATTTGTTCAGAGATGCTAGAAATCAAACAGGATGCTAAGTGCCATTAACTGAAATCAATCATTGTTTAGAAAATATTTGTCATCATCTTCAGAGCTTTCTGCAGTGTGTCTCCCTCTTCTTTCAGCTGGTGAACAAAAAGAAGCAGGCCAAGAAAAAGAAGTACAAGAACTCTGGCATTGTGAGTAGAAGCTCTGTCCAACACCACACTCTTTACTGATAGTGTTGACCTTCAATGATCAACATCATCAATATTTTCAGTTATAAATCTCTGATTCGGGCTGGAGGTGCACTCTAATAAGTAATACATTATGCAAAGCTTAGAGTTGGCAGAAAAGTGCAAGCTGTGTCATGAAATTAAATTCTTCGCAGCGGGCAAATAACATTTTATGCATTGTGTGGAGAAGCTTTCCGGGAGCTAATCCTCTTGTGTGGAACCGCAGGTGAAGCTCATGTCCTTTGGCATAAGGGAGGAGGCCACTTTTTTGGACTACATTCGCGGCGGGTAAGTGACAACATTTCCCCCATGAGGCGGACAGTTCCTATCTTCCTCTTGCTTTATCTGCTTGCCTCTTACTTCTTTTTGTTGAGCCTCGTTTACTTCACCTAAATGGACGTTCATTCCCCAAAAGCCAAGGGATAGGCCTCCAATGACCAGTCCTCTCCGTGCAGACGACCATCCATAATCAAGAGACATGCTCGTGCAAACACAGCCTCACGAATGGGCACTAGATAGAACTCGCCGATTTTATGCTACATAGAGGCTTTGAAAGACTGAGCCGGCACAATCCAACTGGAATCGATTGGCCTTATCTAAGACAAGCTCCAGGGCAAATTCCTGGATTAAAGCAGTCGACGAAGGTGCGTGCGCACGGAGGGATCAGCGGAGTCTTTCCGGATTTCAATTCTGCCCGAGTAGTCCCAAGCTGCCGCCACCTTGGACTAACTATGTTCCAGCAGCTGTTCCGTTTGCGCGAGTACGTGATGGACATTCGCAATCTGATGCCATTAGAATTAGAAATCCTTTGGCAGACGAGGCTGTTTATACTCCAACGTCAACGAAGGCAATGCGCGCCAGCGCAAAATCGCGAAATGACGTTCGCAGGGCACTACTTTGCACCGCGTCGTGCCGAGAAGCACTTGAGCCACCGTTTTTACAGTCCAAGGAAATCCAGGGCGCCCAAACGAACTGCTCTATTTTGCGCATGCGCATCTTCGTGGCAACCGTGCCGTCTTGCGCAACCAATTTCCACTTCCTGGTCGATACCAATGATGCGATCGGTCGGTGTGGTCTGTCCGTGTGGTCCGTCCGTGTAGTGTGGTCATGCCTCGAAGCAGTGATTTGGGGCAGTAGCTAGCAGTTTGAAAACAGGAGAACGAAGGGGATAACGGTCGTAAACCAGCATTTATGTTCTCGGAAATGTCATGCAAATGTTGACGAAAAACCAAAAAATCACAAAATTGTGTTCGTCGAAGCTAGCTGCTTGGCAGCTCCACCCGAGTCGTGTCAATTCAACTCTTTTGAATTTGCCAGGATACTTGGATGGAAGCAAAGCACTCGACATTCCACAGCGACCTCTTTGACGAATGGCCAGCGTGCCATCATCACAGCTAGCTTTTTACGTTGAGTAAAGAAACTGACACCGAAGACGGCGTACAGTGCCTAAGTGACGCAATGTATGTGTTCAAAATTCTAGTGCACTTTACAGAGCCGATGCAAACATTATGGGATTTGGTACCATTTTCATCGCCTGCCGCTACTATCGTTCACGAGCCAAGACACCCCAGTTAAAATTTTCTGGCCGGCTAAATAGTTCGATGTTTCGCCAAGTTAGCCGTTCCTGTGCATTCGACGTTGCTCCTTGTTTCAATCGGGAACGTCTGCTGTTGCGTACGACCAGCACATGATCATATATAGCACACGCATTAGGTCACCCTTAATCATATTTAACCTTTGGCTCGTGTTTGAGGTTACAGCTTTTGTTGGCACAACGTGCACGCGAGTCCGGTTCATTAGACATACAGAGCGTCTCAGGGGTAGTGCATCGTCGGACCAGTCCACGTCCAAGCACACTCTCGCCCGCTCAAGCGCACAAACGTTAAATCTGCACACCAACACGAGAACAGTGCGCGACACACCACGAACGGCAGGTTCAGATTGCAGAAATGAGCGTCTCACGCACTCTGACTGGCCCCGACGGCCCCAACATCCAGATTCCCGAATGGGGCGCTCACGCAAGGGCTTTGCGCGTCGGTTTGTGCTCGTCGACGACGCCAACAGAGCAGGCTCTATTCCGTCGTGAGCTACGCTGACGCGCGCTGGGTTACGCTGCACCACGCCGCCTCGTGCAGGACGCTGGATTAAAGACTCCCGTTCGCAGCAAGCGTCGGCCATTGCGATCGGTTGCATGCGCTCGTCGACGTTACGACACCGACAAAGCGAGTGCAGTGGAGACAGACCGTGACTGCCCTCTGCAGCTGGGTAGTGTAAGCTACTGCCTGTCATGAAGGATACGATCGATATCCATCGACCCATCCATACATCCGACGCAATCAAGGAAACGCATTGCTCCAGCTCCGGCAACCGAAGGCAAGGAGAAGTATAGTTCTCCGGTTTCAAAGCGAAATTTTAGTATTACGTCTTTTGCACATTAATAATTTTGCGTCCTTGTCAAAATGCCATGCACAATCTGCCCATAACTATGTGTATTGATAACATTCGTAATCTCCATTGGTCCAGAAAAAAAAAAATGGAACGCGAAGGAAAAGAGTTTTGATGATATTTATTGTTGCGAGATCAGTAGGCAGTATTGTAATCTGGTACTATAGACCAACACGCGGCCCTGACGTCACGCAGCTGTGGTGGCGCTGTCGACGGCACTGCACCAGAGCCGTATATTGGGAGAGTTTGGCCAGTGGGTGTGGCGACGAAGGCGCCGGAGAGGAGAAAAGTAAATGAAAGGGAGGAGAGCGCCGAAGGAGCGAGAGAGAAAGAAGGGAGCAGAGAGGAGATGACCGCCATTTTTTAGCAACGCTGTCGGAGACTTCTTTTTCGCCTGAATAAAAGTGTGTGGCCATACGCCGAAAAATCTTCATTTATTAGCTTTTTAACCCACCGAGGAATAACAGAATGTTATTTTCTTGCCAGAGCCAGCGATATAAAAGGCAGTAATCGAGATTTAGATGCCGATCCCCCGCATTCCGCCAGGAGAATGATCGAAGATGGCGGCCCTCCCCACTCAGCTGGGAGCAGCTGGGAGTTCACGCGCATGCGCTCATGCCTCTCGCTCTACGCCTCGTGCTGATTGGCTCACTTGGGAGGAGAGCGTTGCAGCGGCGAGATCATAGACTGATCAAACTCTCCCCATATGCGGCTCTGCACTGCGCATGCGCAGAAGCTTTACTTCGTGCGAATCCAATTTCTGCGCACGCGCAGTGCCCACACCTGGTGTGGGCAAACGCGGGCTTGTTTCTAAACAGCGTGTCGGTCTATATGCCGTTTCACCTTGTGTCCGGATGCTACGATCTGTCCTAGCCAATCCTGCTGCACTCTCCAAGGTCACGTGATACGCACATGTCCTTGGATTGGCTCCGATGGCTTGTAGCAACGTCTGCGCTCGGACGTAAGGTGAAACGGCGTATAGACATAGTCATTAACTAACGCCTATTAAACAATACTACACACAAAAAAAAATTTCAAAATTTTTTTTAGTGTTTGTTTTGAAACCTTGGCATCTGGTTCGAACCATTAGCGCTACGTTTAAGTGGAGAATGGGCGTTCGGCAATGTGTAGTTTATTTTTCAGTGAAGAAAACCTTGTAACTTTTTTGAAAGGGCACCTTGCAGAAAAGGGAGCACTGCAGCCCTGACACCTAGAATGTGTTGCAAGTGCACTTGCTCTTGTGGCAGTGGAGTGGGCAGAAGGCGAGGAGGAGAGAACAGGCAGCTGCTGTGGAGCAAAAGGGGAGACACGCGAGAGCAGGGTCAGAGCTGGGCCGGACGTGCAACCCCGAGAGACACGAACTGCGCGTTCCGTTGCCGCTGGAGCAATTTCAGAGACACTACACGGGGGGATGTCGGTGCCATCGAGGCATAAAGTGCGTACCAATTTTCTCATTGCAACATCGCTGCAAAGGGACACACAATACGTTCATTGTTACAGTGTAAACTCGTTATAGCAGACCTTGATGGCGATGGAGAGTTTGATCTGTTGTAAAAGGAGTACGCAGAAAGCAGATATTCTTCTACAAGCTTTGATGTGGATCATGACAGGAGTCTGTTCTAACTAGTGAGACTGACGGAATGTGAATGAATATTGGAAAAGAACTGGTTTCTAGAAACTTTTGAACTTAAAAAAAATAGTGATTTTTTTATAAGCTGTACCGTCAGTCGTCATCACCACGCGCTTTAGGTCGTACGAGGCTTGCAGGGTGCCAAGCCCAATGGAAGCAGTTCTCAAAGTGGACGCCACCGCTACCGAACTAAAGCCGCGTAATGTCCGAAATAATGACTTTTGTCGAGGAGTCTGCCGTAGTTAAATTATGAACTACTTACAAACTCCCTAATATAGTCCATTATATCCGAATGTATGTTATAACAGGATCTGTAATAAGCGAAGTTGGCTGAATTGCATGAATAGCAAGACCAACCAAGCTTCACAAATCGGTATGTTATAACTGAATGTTTGCTGTAATTAGATCTGTTGTAACCAGATTATTCGCATCTCCAGCTTTTTGCTCGCGCTCCTGCGGTGGAAATGGGAAATGGGCTCTAGTGACGGCCCTTCAGTTCTCTTGCTCAGCGGGCACAGTGGAACTGCTCGCGATCATGGCTTGCGAAATGTCATTTCCGAATGCAAACAACTCTTCGCTGTCCCAATGTAGCGCTGAAGCTTGTATGGGATTGTACCTTATTAAAGAGTTTTAGTGTTGCATACAGAAGCAAGCGCTGTCCATGTGCGTTAGAATGGTGTGCTCTACGCTGCACATGTGCGTCGTCACTCCAACCCAAGACCGCACTTTTTGGCTCTGCGCACACGCAGGGGGGAACATTGAATGCTAACGCAAACGCACAGTGCTTGCGGTCACTCGTGTATGCAACGCTAACACTCACTTAGGTTTCACCAGTTTCCAACGCCAACGAATCTGCTGACGAGCAGGCAAGTAGGCGTTCCTTCGAACTGGAAAGGCTGAAATTGGCAAGACGACGACGCGTAAAGAAAACTAATGTTCTAAAAAACTTTTTTTAGGCATTTGGTAGAATTGTTGCCAACTTTGGAAGTTTTGCCGATTGTTGGAAGTTGCGACTTTGATAGCACCACATGCTTTACCCACAATTAACATAATTTTACATGAATTTCTCAGATTAGCTAGAATATTTTGATTGATTTTACACCATTTTTAATTTAGGACTTGTGAATTTAAAATGCTGCAATTGGCACCAGTGATAATTGGCACGCTTTTGATTGGCATACTTGTTTGCACATTTGAAGTTAGATCATAAGCAACAAATTACATTAGAGCTTGAAAAACTACAGATTAAAATATCTTCATTGTACATTTGAGTCGCGTTAATTCATACTCTCTTAATTCAAACTTGAGGATAATTCAAACTAACATGCAGGTCCCATCCTATGCGTGTCTATGGGAGGAAACTCCCGGAAATTCAAACTTTGCTTTATTCAAACAAATTTTCGGTCTCCCTCGAGTTCGGATGAACGAGATTCGACTGTATTATTTATATTAATACATGTTGCGGCAATGTAGGCCCCCATTTAACGCCACAATCACAAAAATATGCCATTTAACCATAATAGTCTTTCCAGAAAGGTCTAATTATGTTTTCTTTTAAGCATATGGAGAGCTCTGACATAGTTATCAAGATTGACAAAAAGTCACGCACTGGATGTAATATAAAGTCCTTTACATCCTGTGTTTCTTTAAAAAAAAATGCACACACCATATTCATCACTCCTGGCAATATTTTGTAAAATTTTGATTGGTTCTGTTATTCTTGTGCTGGGAATAATGTTAAAGCAATAAATCATCTAAACACCTCAAAAATGCATTAAAAGGCCCGCAGTTCGTTCTTTCACAGGACAATTATCTGAGCGGGAAAAGGCAGCGAGGACACACAAATATCAGCGCTGATTTTATCAACAAATACAATATTCTACATGTTACCTATAAGGTGTATGAAAGGCCCTGTCTTCAAAGGGGCACTGAACTTTCCAAAATATTTTGAAGTGCCTTGATCGGACACACATGTCACGAAATAAAGTTTCCGCAAACAACTGCTTTAGCTTGATACTTACACTGTGGGACACATCTTGAGTTATGAAAGAATCCGAAATTAACACCTATACCGAGAAATTAAATCCAAAATAGAGGTTAGTTTCAATTTCGTTCCAGAATTAAAACGTGCCTCCTGGCGTAAATGTTACGCCAGGTTACACTAGACACCGTTTTTGTTTTCAGGAAAAAGAGATGACCTGCACTCATAATACCCTAGCTTCCTCACATAAGCAAGAATAATTTGTGTTGCTAAGTCAGGCCAGCACCCCAGACAGGCTCAGTAACTGTTATACCGGCATGCATCTCCGACCCTCACTACACCCGCCATTTTGGAAAACGAGTGGCGCCACCTACAGTGAAACCCGTTTAGAACGAACCCCCGTACAGCGAATTATTGTCGATATCAAACTCACAAATAATTTCAATAAAAATGCATGTAAAATACACTTTTTATAATGAAGAACACATTGGCTATATCAAACTTTTTCCGCCGGGAAAGCTTGCAAAAACGCCCAAACAATTGTCTTCTAGCCTGTCCCTCCCCCCCCCCCCCTTCAAGAAAAAAAAAAGTAGGAAAGAAAGAAAATTTAGAAAGTTCAAACCGCGAGCGAAATTGGGCGAAGAGGAGCGTTTCAAAAAGGGAGAAAGCTAAAAAAATTTAAAAAATATATATACACTGCTCGCATGCACAGAAAAAAAACAAAAAACTTTTCATCCCAAAGCGGTTGCCCACAAAGAGAAGCGATTCAGAAGGGCAGATAAGCTAAAAAAACAAAATCTGCACGCATGAAAAAAAAAAAAAAAAAAGTTACAATGCGGCGTTACAAGGCGGAGGTGGAGAGATGAGAAAGAAACAGAAACTCTCACCTGACAACGGACGCATCGTGGAAGTTCGTTGTAAATGGTTTTTGCTATATCAAACTGATTGCAGCGTTTCCTGCTGTTCGTTATAAACGGGTTTGACTGTATAGTGAATTGGAGTCGTGAATACTGTACTGCCTTTGCCACGGTAGGGCAGGAAACGGGTGATTTCCTTCTCAATGCAAAATGCTTTTTAGGGTTGGCGTCCCAGTCAAGTGTGCCGCAAGAGGGTTTTAACGAAAAACACGACAACACTGTTTCTCGGCGGGTATTGAACCACCGACCTCTCGCTCATCAGCCCAATGCTCTACCACTGCACTGCCCACGCAAATTGGGGAAGCGTTATTTTGGCCGCTAATGTGTACTCGCGGGGTTGTCGAACATGATGCCTTGGAAGAAGACTGGTTGCCAATGTTTTGATGCTTGCCGCGAGCTTAGAAAGGAGGGGGCAAAACAGATTAATACCTACATGGATATTATCTGTAAAGCTGACTGGCTGAGGATGTGTCGTGAGTTTGTGTCGCATGAACACAAACAGATTGACGTATTTTGAACAGAATTGTCTTAGCCAAGGTTTCCGGTTGGCTTCATTTCGAGCGAGACGACGGCGTGAGCATCAGGTTTTGCGTGACCTTATTTGTGCGCCGGCGTGGCCAGGCTGCAGATGCACTTCACGGTGGCGGTGGACTTCACGGCGTCCAACGGGGACCCCCGGGACCCCAAGTCACTGCATTACATGGACCCCTCACAGCCCAACGCCTACATGATGGCCATCCAGGCTGTCGGGGAGGTCATCCAGGACTACGACTACGACAAGATGTTCCCGGCCCTCGGCTTCGGCGCCCGGCTGCCACCCGACGGGAACGTCTCGCACGAATTTTTTCTGGTGCGTGTCCGTACGTCCGTTTGCACGTGCATTGCTATATCACAGATGAGAGACGTTTGAATGTACTACCTACCCGGCTTAGCCCTTTTATTCGGGCAGCGGCTTGCGCCACCTAGCCTGTGTTTCTAATCTGCTGGTGCTACCAGCCGAGATGATAGACAAAACACTTCGCACATCTGACAGATCAATTATAGGCATTTTCAATGCCTCTGTATGCCCATTCAACACACAGCAATGCAGCTGCAGTAATGGAAGCAAACAAGGCTGTTTACCTAGTCTATTTTGTTGACAACTTTACAGTGGTTCCCAAACAAATTGCCACCAGGAGATGGTTCTTTTGTGGAATTTTTTGTGCTATTCCTGCACCTACCAGTCAAACTACAAGGTGAAGTCTTGAATCTTGATCACAACCCAGCCTGGGGAAGAAATTTTAGGTGCTGTGGTACTTATCCTTGACTAGCTGGAGATAGACCAATATTGGGGTAATTGAGTGGCAGTGTCAAGTGGAGTACGGCACATGTTCACAACATTGTTGTCATCTTTCCAGTAGTGGCAATACAACAGTTCAAGGGACTTTGAAGCGGAAGCCGGAAGTGGGGAATCAAACAACATTCTATCCCACGTGTCTTGCCACAACTTAACATGCTACGTTTGGAGGCGGCTGTGGACTGCAGTGTTTGCTTATTTATTGTGATTTGCTACTTGCGAAGTTTAAGGCTGCTCCGTGTTCATTCTCTGACAAGTGCAGCTAAACAGATTCGTCCGTCGAAGAAGAGATAATCCTCGCCACTTTCCATTTGTACAGCGAAAGGGTCGTCTAACCGGAGGAAAATTGAAGAGCCTGGGAGCGAGGGGAACGTCATAAGCACACCCTTTTTGAAACCTGGCGTGTGTAACCAAAATCTAATTTTAGATTCTTAGGCACCCGTTTCCGGCATGAGCAGTGTCGCCGTCGCTGTACGTTGCATTATGAGACGTTTCCCATAAGACGTCATACGTGACGTCACTAGGGTTGCAAGTGATGTCACGAAGGCCTTCACGTGACCTTCACGAGTGATGTTACTAGGGTCACGAGGGAGAGGTCACGACCCTCACGTCACCTTCACTCGTGAAGGTCACGAGGGAGGAGGGGAGGAGAATGAGAGAGAGAAGGAGGAGGGGCGTACCCCCTGCCCTCCTCAAAAACTGCGCTCTTATTCGGTATTACAGGGAATTGTAAACGTCTTTCATTTTTTTGTGCAGTGCTTTAAAGGGGTAGGGAAACAAAATTCCAGCGCTCATTTTCCAGCTTGAGTGTGTTGCATGTTGCACCCTAACCTCAAAAACACCAGTCTTCCGTTGAAAGGCACAAGAAAACTAATTTTAAAGCTAAATAAACAATCTTTTAATGTGCACCTGGTGGATGCTTGCAGAGCCTATTTGGGAGGTAATCTATAGTCGGTTACAAGTCAAGAAGGTAGGAGAAGCTCCTCCCACAAGTGTGATCCGCCCGTTTCAAATCTCTCCGCAGTCGAAAGAAGAGTTCACTGGAAGCGCTCCTTGTTCCGCTTCAATGGATTCCTACTAGTCTCTGATCCCACTTTTTAAGAAAGGGACCTTTGTATTCATCGGAGAGGGAACCGAGCCCCTGAAAGCAGCCTTTGTATCCATCGGGGGGGAAGCTAATCCCCGAAAGTCGTATTTGTTTCCGTCGGTGGGGGGAACTCTAATCTCCCTCTCGTGGCTTCCACAATGCTAAGTCAAAGTCGAAAGATAAAGCAAATATGCACAGAAAGGCAAGACCCTCCTCGCGCGTTGTCCGCGACGTCACGGAAACGGTGGGACGCTATTGGATGCAAAGGTGGCGGAGGGATATCTGATTCCCTTTGAGGAGCATTTGCCGCTACCTTCTTAACCTGTAACTGACTATAGCAACGTTGAAGAACTTGCAGATTCTTTTGGAGCAGCGTCGCTCTTTGGAATTTCAACATTTTCCTTTTTAGCTTTCCCCCTCAACTCACATGTCGCGCATTGTACCAAATGGTCCAAGAAGACGGAAAGGAAGGACTCCCCTCTTTCTTGGACCCTCGTTTGTGCAACCGGACACAGCCACTCTCCCCCTAGAAGATTAGCCCGTCACTCAAAACTTGAACAAAAATTGCTTTCCCCACCCCGTTCAGCCGTAAGCTGACAGTGTTGTGGAAGCTATGTGCTCCTTGGGCCAGCCACATGGTCGTCACCCCACAGGTACTTCGAACGGCTCAGTTGTAACACATTGACGCTATTGACACCATCACAACGCTGACAACGCCACCAAGGGCAAAGTACATAACCATGAACTTTTCTTTCTGTGTTTGTTTGCGCCGGATATCCCATGACACATCGTGCTCTCCGTTCGCTTCTCTTCGAGCGCTTGCTCGAGTGCACCAATTGGAATGAAAAATATAGCCTGTCGTTCAAAATACAAATGCGCGATTATCATTTACAGTTATTATCCGTCATGCTTGACTCACTTCCAAATGAAATTTGAATATTTCAATTTTTGTTTCCGTGCCCCTTTAAGAATGCAAAGCGTTTATATTCCGATTGCTCGACATCCCTAGTGAAGAAGTCGTCTGGAATTCCCCTAAACGAAGCATTCCCCCGTGCACAGAACGGGCATCCCTCGGACCCGTACTGCGTGGGCATAGAGGGGGTCCTGGAGGCCTACCGGAGGACCCTGCTTTCCGTGCAGCTGTACGGACCCACGAACTTTGCACCCGTCATCAACCACGTGGCAAAGTGAGTTGGATGAATGGATAGATGCTAATGGCTGTACCTTTTATGGCGGGCAGTAGCCTGCGCCACCTGGCCCAGTTTACACCCAGGGTTGTCGCACGTTCACAATCCGTGAAGATCCCTTAAGTTCCTACAGTCGGCGACGGGTTAAAAACTTGGTCGGTGCTCTGCCGCAAGCGCAAGCTTTCTGCCTTTGATAACGCTTCATCGCACATGCAGCCAACTCCCATTGGAAAATAATGAGTGTGTGCCGGAGGTGATGCATTTACTGGGTTATCAACCCAGAGACGAAGGGGCTGTGCCAATTGCGCCATGAGCAAAAGTCTGCCCCGTCTTGTGCCAAGGCGCCAAGAGGTATTAAGTAAAATGTTTTATTATCAAAGAAGGACCCTCAGTCATTATCAGATAGAAACTCATTTAGCAATTCGATCATATTTTTATTTTCGAATGACGTGCCAACAGGTGTCTGTGTTTGCTCCAAAAGGTTGAATGCCGCTTCCATCACTGTTAACCTGTTACTGATTAAGGCCATCATTGCGTTATGATGCAGGTATGGTTCTGCTGTCAAAAGGGATCAATTGTATTTAAGCAGTTAAAAAAAATTGGCAGGGACCTCTATCTCCAAGGTTCTATTTGCAAGACGCAGGTATGGTTCTGCTGTTTAAGGGGATCAACTGTATCCAGACGCTGCAAACATTTGCAGTGACATCTATCTCCAAGGTTCTATGGGCAGTATTTAAGCAGAAATCATTTAGATTTGTTTAGAAGACATTATAGTTTCAAGGGTGAAAAAAAGAAAACAATTTCTTTTATTAATTTGTTGAAGAAAAAAAAACAACCTTCACTCACGGACAGCAAAGAAAGTGGTCTGCAAGTGTAGGTGGGTTCAGAAGCCCGAAGTGGGCACTCGGCATGTCCTTTGCTTAGCTTTTAAACAAGACAAAAGTAGCAGGTGGGCACTTACTGTAGCTTGGGCACATACCCTGTATTTTACAGAGGGTTACGAGGGCTTGCGTCGAGTTAAAGGAGCTTTGCAACGATTTTAACATTGAAGGAATTTGTATCTTCTACTTTTGACATTGTTTATCTTGTCACGAAGGACAGAAAACACATCTTCCTCCGAAATGTTGTGATTCTTCCGCTTGGTCGTGAAGCGAAAATGAGAATATTTCCCGACCTGTAGCCACGAGCGGCGGCCACGAGAACCACGTGGCGTGACGTCAATGGGGGACTTGTAAAAAGATAGCAAGTTGTGCAAATACCTGCTCGATAAAAAGTAATTTCTCTATAAATCTTGTCGTTCCAACATAGATATATATGCGTCAAAAACCTGGTATCATCAACAAAATTTTTATTTTACGGAGTTTTAGTGGCGCCATCTATCTGAGGTCAACAAAACCATCAGCACTATCTGCTACCACAAACAGCCGCTAGAGGGGGACGGGCAGAGCCGGACGTGGGTGGCCGGTCCCGGACATTGGCACTTTCTTCCTTTTGCCATGTTGATTGCTCTGCGCAAGCACATGGTCACGTGGTCGCAAGTGGATGAGTTCTCGCTGCTCACTGATGGCTCTAGAGAGAGAGCTTCACCGGAACTGCGCGCATCGCCCTTTCACGTCACAGCGCACGTGACTCGGAAGATGGTGAGGAAGTTGAGAGGTGCCGAAAACCTCAATCTTTGTCAATTTTTAAAATAAAAACTAGGATATGCAGGCAAAACCATTTTTTTTTTCTTTACTTCAGAAAGGTCGAGACGCCAGCTCTCATATTATTTAAGCAAAGCACTGAAATTGTTGCACAGCTCCTTTAAGATAGGATTGCAAGTAACCGGGAGTTCCCATGAAGCGTAGCCTTCGATTCTAGGAATAGCTTAGCACGTGCCATACAGAGCACGGACAGTCCCAGTGCCTGTCTGTCGTGTAACTTGACCCGATGTAGTCGGACGTGGCCAAACGCAACTGCGTCGACAGACCTTTCTAGAATATCCCATGATCCTCTCGTTGGCCCCTTATCGCCCTGCACGGGGCGGGGCATTGTGGGCCGATGGGGCGTACGTTCGGGCCGGCTTTCACGTCCTGGAAACAGCTCAATTCCTTTTCTCTTACCACTGCGAGTTCACAACTCAAAGAAAGCAGAGCGAACGCATCGCAAAGCCGACACATACCCTGTTTTGTCGTCCTGCCTTCTTTGCACTCCGAGATCTCAAAACGCCAAACCGGCGTGAACCGCTCCTTCCGTTCATAGGAATGGGCCTTCACGCACCGCGCATTGGATTGCCGTAGTGCACGGGTTTTCAAACAAAGTTCCTCCGGAGCAGTGGTTCTGACCTTCAATGTTGCGGGAACCCCTTTTGGATCGGCAGAAACGATGGGGGTCCCCGTCCACCAGTGGGAAAGGGGAGGGGGGTAATGGTTGATTGTACAATTACAATGACAAAAGGGTAAATGAAGAAAACTAAATGCATCCAAACCAACTTTGAAGCTCTGAAATGGAGAATAGTCAGTTGTACTCACTCGGCACACATGGTTTGGTCTATTTAGAGTTAAGGGGAGACACTACCCAGAAAAATAAATTTCTGCAAAAAAGCTTGATTTTGAAAAATGGCATATTTACATCCACCAACATCTAGATAGTATTCCCAGAAAGTTTAATTAGTTTACACCACATAGATGTTTTTTATAAATTATTTTCTGTCCACCGAATCTAAAGAAAAGGTAGGATTTGGAGCACTTTGAACGCCTTTTTCTCCGTTCCATTTTTGGGGATAAATTCCATTTTAGTCAATCTATCGTTTGGTAATGGCAATACAGGGAAAGCTCGTTCTTCACTTTTCCTGACTGAAATTTAATAAGGAATATGGCTATGGAATTTTTTTGTCACTTTATGGATGTCTTTTATAAAAAATGTTAACGTTTTGTCGAAGACACAGAAGACCAAAAAGTTGACCAATTGTGCAGAAGAGAAAATTGATGGAAATAAATGACTTTTTTACAAACAAAACTTTCCATAGCCACACCCCCGAGGCGTTCTACTACATATCTAGCGAATAAAAATCTTGAATATTGTGATAGTTTTCCAACGATAGATTAACTAAACAATGTAGGTGTGTTGCTGATAGAAGCTGCTCTAATTTCCTTCCTATTTAACCAACAGCTGAAATTTTGTTATGCACCATCTAGCATGGCCACCAGCTTATCCTGTAAATTTCATTAATTTTAAGCCAAAGGTTCTAAAGTTGACCCTCTCTCCCAAGCACCCCTTAAAAGAAAACCAGCATCGATAGACCTTTTGCAAAATTACCAAAGCATCAAAGAGTATGCTGCAGGCACGTAGCCAGGGGGGGGCCCAGGCCCCCCCCCCCCCCCAAAATCTTCCATTTTGCTGGGACCTTCTCTCCCCCCTCCCCCTCATACAGCATTTCGTCATGGACGCCCCCCCCCCCCTTCCCCCCCCCAAAAAACAAAATCCTGGCTACAAGCCTGGTATGCTGGAAACGTAGGTATGCGTGCTGCATGCGCTCGCTTTCCCTAAACAAAAGAATCAAAGTAAATAACCAAAAGAAAGTGCTTGTGCAACGCTCGTACGAGGTGCATTTGTTTTAGATTTTTGCTTTCAAACAGTGATAGCTGCACATACTGTAGCACACACAGCATGTGTACCTATGTTCCCGGCATTCTCTTTGATGCTTGCGTAATTCGGCAAAATGTCCATTGAAAACAAGTGTTATTACCTGTCTTGATTGATGGTCGAAAACTTCGGGACCCGAAGCAGGCCTCCAGGGACGCCAAGATGTCTGCGCACCACGATTTGAGAACCACTTCCCCAAAGGTTCCCCAGAGGCCCACTTTCCCAGAGAGAACCACTTCCCCAGAGACCATCCCAGCCTGTAATTAAAGCGTCTTCCCAGTTTAGGCACTATCTTTGTAGATCTGAGCCACCTGTAGATACATAACTTCCCTATTATGTGTAATATTGTTTACAAGGTCTGCAGGCTTCTACGTTGCCTCGTAGCATCAACGTCGAGACCGAAAAGGGTTCCTCGGGATCACAGAGTTTGAGAACTCCCGCGGCATGGCACGTCAAAAATATGACGGGAGGGGCTGCATATTTTAGTCTATTTGCTAAATGATCCCTTCCCCTGTTGGTGAAGGGTCAGCTCTAACTTACCAAAATGAACCAAGGGACGGAACAGGACGAAACGACGAAACACGTGTGTTGTCCTGTTCTGTCGTTTCTTCGTTTTTTTCTGTAAGTTCAAGCTGACCCTTCACCAAAAATTGATGGCAAATTGTTAGGCAACTGTGTTGCACATGCACATGAAACATTCTAGCATCACAATCATTCAGCGATACTCCGAGTTTCCAGACGCCCACATCCACAGCACTCTTTATCAGGTGGTTTAAATAATGCGTGCGATGTGTACACTGTATAGTTTTCTTTAGAATGAAGCAATACTACCGCTTATCAGGCTGATAAACCTGGCAGTCTTCCAGGGCCTTTCAAATGCCCGAGCCCCTCTCCCTCAGTGCGCACAGGTGGTGGCGCTCTTCCTTGCCTACCCCTCTGGTCACACGGCGTTTCCGTTAACCAATCGGCATCGAACCTCTCACTTCTCTCTAACCTGTTGAGCCTCGCGGCCACGTTGACATTCCCCGTTAATACGTACCATCCAGCTCAATTGAAGTCCGAGGCCCTTCTCCCGCAGGTTTGCGAGAACGTACCGGGACGGCACCAGCTACTTTGTGCTGCTGATCATCACGGACGGGGTGATCAGCGACATGCCCCAGACGATGGAGGCCATTGTCCAGGCCTCCTCCCTGCCCATGTCCATCATCATCGTGGGTGTCGGCAACGCCGACTTCTCGGGTGAGAGGGCGTCTCGTATTTCGAAGGGAAAATCCGGGGTTAACCACAAACTGGATGGCAAACATTTAGCTCAAAACATATGACCTTCATTTTTAATAAAGCGTCACTAGCAGTCTTGGTCCGCCTGTGCTATGGTGCCTGTAGACCGCTCCACCAAGGGCTCCCTCGCCAGCACCGTTTTGTTCGACCGCAGCGTGATCCACGGGATCTGTGCATTTCAATGGATTTCTTGGGGATAGAAGAGGGAAAGGGCACGCGCCATTCTCGTCGTTTGGGCACGTGTTCCAGAGGCCCAGCCTGTGCCACGTGGTCGGGCCACACTTGCCCGCTCGCAGCTTGCAAGACGCCGAAGTGTCGTCGAAGTTAAGGAGACCGCGCTGGATGTGGGATAACCGAAAAACCTCCCCGCCTTTCTCGTCCCATCGGTAACCGCGGAGGACGTCTCTGAACGGTGCGTTTAGTGTCCCGTACCATCGGTGCACCGGGAGTGGCCCCACAGTAGCAACAAAGAACGTCGCAGAAACTGGCCCGTCACGCCACTGGACTTTGCAATCCTCACGGTTGGTCACGGAAGTGCCAGCGAATGGTAGGAGCTAACACGAGCATTGCCGTTGTTGCAGCGTCCCAACTCGCGGCTGCCGGAGTTTTTGTGGATTGTAAGGCCGAAGGGCGACGTAGAGCAGAACAAGCATCTGCTGCATCCGCCTCCACCACCGTGTCGCCGCCGGAATCGCGGCAGTCGATGCCACGACGCGAGCAAGACAGCATTGGGCAGAAACGGAGGGACTGCGAGCAAGGGTGCGGTGAACGCGCTGGTCGATGATGCGTTTCGGGCGCCATGCCGGTAGCGCCAACGTCGACCTCTCCGCTCGGCTGTTCCAAGGCAGCCCAAATGCGTGGCTGTAGACCTTTCCGGCGGCAGTCTCGAATGAAGCGATTTGTGGCTCGCGTTTCCGGTTTCGAGGGTGTGTCGGGCAAGTATGTCGGCATTGCCCGACAGCGCTGGGCCGTGGGTTTTCTCCTCGCAACTGGCTGTGGCAGCCTGCATAGACGCAATTCCGGACACTGGTGGCTGTTAAGTTGCTGCACTTCATTAATGCAAAAGCATTAACTGTCTCGTGGTGCGAACCGGCGTTATCCGTTTGTTGTGTTCGTGCCGACAACAGCTACACCACCAAATAATAGCTGGGTTTTATTTGGTGACGGCCATCAGCGACTGCTTGTCCTGCTGTCGCTTGAAAGTCCCTTCACGCGCTCTCTGCTCGTGCATACGCTCATCGTCGTTGTGCGCCAGTTCAGTCGCGATCGATTATGACGCTGTTCTATAGCAGAGGTAATTGCGGCACCTAAATTTCCATTCGCTGAGCAAAACGACGTTTAAGTTTCGATTGTAGCAGCAAAAAACAGCACCTAAATTCTCCCTAGCGAAACAAGACCTAAATTCCCATTGGCAGTGATGTCAATTTACGTTATCTGGCTCCATAGCAATGGCATCATCGTTGCTAAGGAGCCACCCAAACTGCTGGCAACAGATCGGGAGGGGGACGCGTGTATGCGCTGTCTTGACGTTAGGCCTATCATTACGATTTGAGGTCTAATATCGTCAACCGGTATGCACTGGCCTGATGTTAGGCCTAACGTAACACCTAATGTTACGCTTTGGGGTTAAACGTCGTCAACCGGTACCCGCAGCTAAGGCGATGATAATGATCAGAGGACACATGATTTCAGCATATATCCCGCCGACAGGACAAGAACGCCAGGCAGGGCGTCTGCTTTAGATGCCTGGCCTCGTTGCCTCCCGCCGTGGTTGGAATGTGCGTGCATGCGTGCTTGAGGTTTGGAACGTGCCGAACGCTTATCGAGGGTAGGAAACTTGCGCCGGAGGCAGGACAACCGAAAGATCTCCCTGCCTTTCTAATATTGTCGGCGAGTACACTCTATCGCAGGTTAAGGACATCGGGACAAGCCCCTCCCACAATGTTCTCTGCTCGCCATGATTGGCGGCTCCCTCTTTTCTCTCCTGCATTTACTCTGCTAAAGTGGCAAGAGTGGAGGGCTTTGTGGGAGTAGTTTCTTCCTGTATTCTAAACCTGCAACATACTATACAGATAGAAATTGAAGGCGAGGAGATGAGAATGCGCGGAGACGTCGGCTCACCGAGCTCCAGTTGAAATGATTAGTGGGTGGATGCAAAGCTAGCTGCCTTTGTGTCCCCTCACGAACCGAACGCGAACGCCGGCATTTGGTGTCGTAACGTGTCCAAACATTGGGTACAGACGAAGACCTATGTGTCTATCCAACCAGAGACCTAATCATTCCAACTAGAGCCGGGTGTTCCGACGGCCTCATGGTCTTGTCTCCTCCTGTCCCTCAGTTTTTATCCGTACAGAGATGGTGCACCTCTCCTTCCGTATTTGTCGCACGAACCCCAAGCACCCCCTCTCGCAGCCATGGACGTCCTGGACGGAGACGTGGTGCGCGTCAGCTCACGGGGCCGCCAGGCGGAGCGGGACATTGTGCAGTTCGTGCCCTTCCACAAGTTCCTGCAAGGGGGCCCCTGGGAGCGGAACCAGATGCGCCTCGCCAAGGAAGTGCTCGCCGAGATCCCCGACCAGGTCACCGGCTACATGCTCAAGAACCACGTCAAGCCCGGGGGCGGCGCCCCGCCTCCGGGACACTCCCCACAGACCCCAGACGCCCCCGCGGGCCCCTCCTGAGGCACGCACCCCGCGGGGGGCCGTCTCCGCGGGGTGCTGACGCCCCTTGGGTGACGAGGCCGCGGCGCCGGATCTTCTGCGGCTGCTATCAGAGTCCAGATATCGGACACGAGCACCTCATTGGCGTCCAGCCGGGACTCCGCTCCAATCGCCGATCAAACACGAGTTGAAGCCAAACGCCGACGTAGCACTCGCGACCAATGTGCGTCCCGCACTCGCCTCCGGCAGGGGACGTAGAGGATCCGAGCGGCCTCGTCGTCTAGGGGGCGTCGGCGTTGCGGCGCAGACACCCCTTACCCTCGCCCCTCACCCTAACCCCCCCACCGTTGCTCATGCGCTAGGCCTAATCTTGTCGCTCACCGACTCTTAGCTCCGGTCGTCGGGAAGGAAAAAAGGAAGCCTCCCTTAGAAATGCGTCGCCCTCGCCTCGTCGCCTCTGTCTGCCGACCTTGGTGCGCCCCTCCGACGCCTCCAGCACGTCCGGGGAGCAGAACGTTGCCAAAAAAGAAGTATTAACACCGTCGTTACCTTACCTCGGGGTTCCCGGGATTGCAGACCCCTCACCCCTTCCCTCAGCCACACCGAACTTCGAATGACGGCCGAGCGCCTACTGCACCGGCTGAAAACGTGGCGCTCAGGTGAGAGTGGGCTCGATGCGAGGCTCAATCGCGCTTGGAAGCGAACCAGAGTTTGTGGACGTGCGGGACACAGAAGTGCAAGCGATCGAGAACCCTCCACCTCACCCGACAGAAAGGACGAAGTCGGCACCTCTTTCTCTGTTGCGTTGCGCAATGGCTTTTGCTCAAACTTACAATCTCGCCGAACGTTTCCGACTATGGTTGTGCCTACGACGACTTTTGCGTTCCGTCCTTTCTTCCTCCTCGTCCCGTTCACTTTTGATCCTCGCCGTCGGGACGCGTCGAAGACGATCGCCACCAGGCGTTACAGACGCTGCACCGTAAAGCGCTGCAGGCATCGGACAGTCGCCGAAGCCGGCAGACGGGGCACGGTCTATGACGGGGTCGCGTTGGGAGCCTCTGACGGAGCATTGTGCCAAAGGGAAGGAAACCGTCGATCAAAAATAAACTCGCGCACAGATGCGGATGTCTACCCCAACCTCCCCCCACCCGTAGCTCGCAGGAGAAGCAAACTAGCAGAACACGGTAGCAACAGCGCAGTCTTTCAGGTTAGGCGTCTCCCATCGTCGGTGTGTTGTCGTAGTACGCAGAAGCAAAAAAAATAATAAAGTGACACGAGATCCAAACACGTAAACTCCCCCTTCGAGTCTCGAAATCTAGCCTTCTTATGCAAGCTCCGCCCCCCTAGGTTTCCTCCGACCCCTTCTGTTCCCATCTGCCAGCCAATCACGTGTGATATTTTTGGTGTCGCCGCGTCGTCGCGGTTGCAAATGAACAACGAACGAGGCCAGCCGGTTGCGCACCCTCCCCGTTCACCCGTTTCACCCTCGCGGTGCGTCCGGCCCGTTGCCGTCACCGCGGCAACTCCGCAATAACGGGCGCACCCCCCTCCCCCGCGTAATCCTGTCTCGCTTTCCGACCGTTTGTTGCTCTTGCGTTGTTGTCGGTTGGTTGTTGTTGTGTGTGTCAAGAAGGAATACCTGTGGGCCCTTTGTCCACACTGTTTGTTACATCCGGAAGGGGGAGGGATAGCTCTGCCTGCACCTCCTCCCCCTCTCCACGTTTGTTTGTTGCAAGCTTCGCGATTATTTTTGTATTGGGCCGGCTGGCGGCAGCAGCAGCAATCCAAAGGGCACCGAGATCAACAATAATATTACAAATGATGATATAACAATAATGACGATGACAATAAAATCCACGAGTGGTTTTGCAATACGACGGGCGTCTTTATTTACACCAGTTATTGCACCGGACGGCGCTTCGGGGCGGTTCTGGGCGTAGCCGTCTGCTTTTTGTCCTTTTAGTGCACTGCAGAGTCATGGGCATTTTAGAAGACGCATTCAATGGGTGCTCGGACTGGCTCTGTGAGCTGCCTTAAAAATATCTCCGGACTGGTTTGTGAACTGGACGGAGGAGAAATCTTGCTTTAGGGCAGGCCGAGTTGCCTTTCGAAAAGACACCATTCACGTCTGAAGACTGCCTGCTTTGCGTTTGGCTCTGGAGCCAACTTGGTAGTTCGACGTGCGCACTGAAAGTTGGCTCCTGCGACTCCTTTGTAGTAGGCATTTCTCAAGTCTACGCCCACACCAACTTCAGAGGAAATTTCCTGGTCTAGTCTGCAGACCACATTGAACGTGGCTCTTGAGACTGTTCTTAAGTCCTGCTCGTGCAACTATTTGGTACTGTGACCTGAAACTAACTGTGAAGATGGCCCTCTGGCCGACTCTGCAATCTGTTGAGAACACTCTGGAAGCTGCTTAGTAGCTGGATCTGAAGTTTGCTCCGAAAAGTTGGAAGTTGGCTCTGAAGTCAGCTCTGGAAGCTGCTTTGTAGCCGAGTTTGAAGATGGCTCTGTAGACAAGTTCACAGCCTCATCTGTGGACTGTTCGAAAGTCGGCCCTAGAAGCTCAGTCTGCTCAGAAGTAGCAAAAGTGTGCTCTGCAGGCTCTTTTGAAATCTGGTCTGAAGTTGGCTCCCAACCCTTGGAAGTTGCCTCTGTAGACATTTTTGCAGCCTCATCTGTAGACTGTTCAGAAGTTATCTCTAGAAACTGAGTCTGCTCCGAAGCTGCAGAAGTTCGTTGTGGACACTTGGAAGTTGATTCACTAGACATTTTCGTAGCCTCATTTGAGGACTGTTCAGAAGTCGTCTCTAGAAGCCAAGTCTGCTCCGAGTACTCTGGAAGTGTCACTGCAGACTGTTCTAAAGCCAGTTTCGACGTTGGCTCTGTAGTCAATTTAGTCACTTCATCTGTAGATTGTTCATAAGTCGGCTCTAGAAGCCGAGTCTGCTCTGAGCGCTCTGAGAGTGTCTCTGCACACTGTTCTAAAGCCAGTTTCGACGTTGGCTCCGTAGTCAATTTAGTTACTTCATCTGTAGATAGTTCATAAGTCGGCTCTAGAGGCCGAGTCTGCTCGGAAGTTATAGAAATTGGCTCTGGAGACTGTTCTGAAGCCAGGCTTGATGTCGATTCTGAACATTCTGAAGTTAGCTGCTTTAGGGCTGGCTTTGGAGACTGCTCTATAGCAAGCTCTAAAGTCTGCTCTTGAGGCAGCTTTGTAGTTTGATCAGGAGACTGCTGCGGAGGAAGTGGTGCAGTCTGCCCGACCGGCTCTTGAAGGGATTCTGGTTGCTTCAGAAGAGGCTTGCCAGGGACCTGCCCCACAAAGAAGTTGTTCTGCACCACATAGTGAACACACTGCAACACAATGTTGCGCTCGTGGCGTATCTCGGGTGCGAGCAGCCTCTGCAGCAGCGTCGGCCTGCGTGGCGGCACCGGATTGGGGTGCGCCTGCATGCCTCGACGCTGCCTCTTTGGGCCATGGTTTGAAGCGGTCGGCATCTTAGCCGGTCCATTTGTCCGGGCCTCCGAAGGAACTGCGACGGATGTACTTTCGGTGGTTGCGGCACCTCCAAACGTAGTTGCAGGGGCTGCCACAGGTGTCGCCGGGAGACAAGCTGGAACCGGATTGCAGGGTGGAGCAGCGGGTACAGGAGTTGCGGTGGCTATTGGAGTCTCCGTAACAAGTCGCTTTGCCGCTGGTTCCCCATCATCGGAATCGCTATCGTAGCAGGTCATCAAAGAGCCTAGGGCGCCACCGACCGCCGGTGTCACCACTTCTGTAGGTCTAACCTCGGCGTCCGACTCCGAGTCGGTAATCCGTAACTTGTCCTCTTCCATTTCGACCGGCTCCGTCTTCACCCGAGTCTCGGCCGCTCCCACGCCGCGAAACGGACTAAGCAGCGGCGGCGGCGTCGCTTCCGCAACCGCCGTCGGTTCGACGACGACGCGTGGCGCTACAACCGCGCTCTGGTTCGGCCGCGCCTCGGCGGCCCTTTCGCGCTGCGACCTCCGCTGCTGCCTCTTCCGCTTGGGTCGGCGGGCCGGAAAGCGTTTCTCCGGCCCGTGTCCCAGCATTTCCCTTCTGTCCCGGAGTTCGGCCTCAACCGCTTTCTTGGCCTCGATGTTGCGGAGTGTCGGGTAGCGGAGCCGACGCTGTCGTCTCCACTCTGCCGCGTCTTCTTCGGTGGCCGCGCCGCATCGCCGAATCAACTCGGTGTCGTGCTGGAGTTTGACGTGAAGAGAGACGAGCTGTGGGCAAGCCTGGAACGCACACCCGTCGCGATCGCACGGCACGTGCTCCGAGATGTGGCCGGTGAGCTCGGCGCCGTCGGCGAAGCCGATCTCGCACGCGTCGCAGTAAAAATCTGTCTTGAAGGCGACCCGCCTGCCTTTGACGTCGCCGTTATTGCGGTTGTTCGCTTTTCTCGATTCGCGGAGGAGCTTTCCGATGTGGCATCGCTGTCGCTTGAAGGCTTCCCAATCTTCCGGCGATCCGGACGCACGGGCGGCGGCGTAGAGTCGGTTTTTCTTGGCTATTTCTGCCGGGATGTCGGCGGGTTGTTCGGTGTGGGCCTTGTTCGTGGTCGTAGTGCGAGACGAGTCGAGGTACGGTGCTTTGAGCGACACCGGCGCTGCGTAACAGGAAGGGTAAACTTGGTCTTCCGTCGGGACTGGCCGGAACGGATTGTCCAACAACGGCCGAGAGGGCCGTTGTACGACGGACATCGCGCCTGCTACACTGGCCTTCTGCACTCGACGCAGGCAAATGGAATGGAAGCGTCTTTCTGTCTGGTAGAGTTGAGGACCGCAAATTACAAACAGCACGTGTACGAGAGAGCGTCAACCACAAACACGAGAAGCACACCACTGTGAAGCACGCATTTCGGAAGTAGTTTCGGCGCCCCGATCAACGCCGCAGGCCCGTATCTGGCCGTATTTGTCAGCGCGTTTGGCTGATAAGCTCGTTTAAATAAATTTTAAAAGTTAATTTTAACAGATATAAATTGTTTGAAGCTCAAATATTATATTTTAATCTAATTTGTAGCTTGTGGTTTTACATTATCATTGCAACGTTCTTAATGTTGCAGTTCACACCTCACCAGATGGCGCACGCCGCCGCCTAATTCAGAGAACTAAGTTGTATTTATATGTCTATGTATACATCCCCCAGAAATCCGCCGGAAAGGCCAGAAATCAGTGATGGCCGGAAATCAAGTTGGGGGAAAATGTTTGTGTTGTGTTGTTTTTCCTCGAGTGGGTGAGATGTGAATGGTGCACCGTGCTATCCGGGTGATTCAGCCCCCCCGTTCTGGCGGAGTTTGTTCCACGATGCATTATGATCGGAAGAGGCGCACGCTGAACGCTCTACGAATCCCAGCGAGCGTAGGATCCCCGGTGAACGGCGGCGGCTTTCGCCACCGAGAGTCCGCGGGCCGAGAGACAGCTAACCCTACTTGCCAGCGTCAAGCGATCGGTCACAGGCCGCCGCTACAGTTCACGCTCCGCTAACTTCCGCGGTTCTACGTCGACGTCGTGACCCATTCCTTAGTCCAGTTAAGCCAAGCTTTAAGCTCAGCTAACAACTAAAAATAGACCGCTAAAGCAGGCAGAAGAAAAACGGTGCGCGGCAAGCTCAGACTTCGTTTTGCTAACTCGCCGAACGCGGTTCACTGGGTGCACCTTCGTTTTTTTGTATGACTATTTTAAACGCTTCCATACGTTGCCGAGCCGAAGAACCTTTCTTTTTAGAGTATAACATGAGATAAAAAGGCGACCCAGCCATGCTGGTGAACATAGACATTCGGACGTTCTGCCAGAACCTCCGCGCCACCAAACCGCCGTACGAGTGCCCCCTTCCAAACTGCGGCCGCATTTACAAGACGTACTCGGGCATTCAGTTCCACCTGTACAACTTCGAGCACGACGGGGCCACGCCGCAGGCGCCGTCGACCAAGAAGGGCAAGCGGGGCCGATGGCATCACCGGCAGAACCGGCGCTCACCGACGCCGCCCGATCTCGGGAAACTGCCCGCGGCCCGCGAAGCCCTTACGTACGCCGAAGCGCAAAAGATCGTCGAAGTGGACTTGGACGGGAACCTGCACCGCATCAACATCTGCGAGCCCCTCGACCTGGTGTTCTCCGAACCCGGGGAAGAGGCGGGCGACGCGCCGGTGGGGACGGCCGAACCCGCGGCCAAGGGGGCATCGGGCGGGAAGCAAGCGGCCGTGCCGAGCACCGTCAAGCTACCGGAGGCTTCGTTTCGGCTCGTGGCGGACTATAATCCCGCCGATGCGCCCCAGCGGCCCGCCTCCTACTACCGCTTCATCGAGCGATCAGCCGAGGAACTGGACGAGGCGGTCGAGTACGACATGGACGAAGAGGTGAGTCGTCGTCGGTTTTCCTTGAAAATTGGCCTTGTCGCTGATGCGGCAGGGATGTTTCTCACGTTCCTTGGTGGTGTGGGATGAAAAGCCCTGCGTCGCTCGTGTTTGCCGATGTTTTAGTTTTGCGGTGGACGTCAGGGAACGTACTTTCGCGTGGATTCCTCTTGGGAAAAAAACGCTTCCGTCAAACGGATCGCAAATTTAGAGCGGTACTACGGTACTACCATAGAGGGCATTATTGTGGTTAAAAACACTGGCTAGGAGGCGCAAGCACCCACCAGTGTTTTCCATTCATTCATCCTCAAGCTGATGTGGTTGTAAGCAACATTGGTTGTGACAAGACCCTTGTCGCAACCAATGTTGTGACAAGAGGAACTTCATTGGTTGAGGAACATGAGGAGAATATAGTTAGAAATGGGGAAAAAAACATATATTATGAAGCTCAAGGCACTATATAATAGATATGAAGTAGTCAGAGGTATATGGAAAGGATTGATGGTACCAGGTCTGGGTCTTTTGGCAATAGGGTACTTACTGTACATGAAATCAGAGGTTCAATTAGGATTAGAAATCTGACAAAGAAGCGTAGGCAGATTGGCACTGGGTACACATGTAAAGACACAAAATGAGGGAGTACAAGGGGACATGGGCTGGTCGTCTTGAGAGCAGGGAAACAATAAATAAGTTGAAATTCGAACAAAGGCTGACCAACTGGACGATATGCGGTGGGCATGGAAGGTATTCAAGTATTTATACATAAACAGTTTAAACACAAAATGGACAAACCAAACCCAAAAGCTTATATTCTAATACCCTACAATAGTGATGGGGCTCAGCGGACTACTTCAGGGTAAATGGGAATGAAAGAGGCAGAAAGGAAAATGTGGAAGGTAACAATGTACAGGTCACAAAAACAGGGCATAAGAAAGGAAAAAGTGTTTGCCAATTCACTGGGATGTATTTTACTGTTAGAGGCGAGAGCTGTAGTTTTGTGGACGAGGACGTATCGGGCTAAATTTCCGGAGACAGACACATTATGTGCTGTCTGCCATAATGAGAGCGAGACACCAGAGCACTTGGTATTGAAGTGCACGGGGCATTGCCCTGCCCTCCCTGAAGGTGTTACAAATTTGACCGGAGCCTTGGGTTTTGCTGGCTAGATGGAAGGACGGAAGGGAAAAGGATTAAGGCCCGTTCAAACACTTGCAGCCGAGTACAACTGAGAGAGACGAGGGCGGTTTTTAAGCCTCTTGCGATCTCTTAGGACCAGCTCCGTGCTGCAGCGGAGCCGGTCCTAAAAAGTCGCAAGAGGCTTAAAAACCGGTCTGGTCTCTCTCAGTCGTACTCGGTCGCAAGAGTGTGAACGGGCCTTTAGATTCACAAAGAGGTGATTAAAAAATTGGTGGAAATTACCTAGGGAAAATTGAGTGATGCACAACTAACTAGCACAGCGGGGGCAGGCGGGACAGAACAAAATTGGGACTCCCACCCCCGTGGCTCCGGTCAAAACTTTCAACCCTATCCCCCAGTGGGTCCGGTGCTGGGTTAATGCCGACAAGGTTTGACTAGAGGCAGGCAGCAGCATGTTGCCCTACCGTTGTTGCCGCAATGTGACAGGGTCGCCAACAACGTGATTTCCTTGTGTTGCCGGATAGAGTTGTCCGACTGTTGGCTCAGTGTGCCAGGGCCTTTACCCTCCACTCTTCTCGATTTCTTTCCTCGCCGTTTTTCCCGCAAGAGGAAAGGAAAAAACCCCTCCTTTTTATGTCGCCGTTTAGCATTACAAAAGATTTGTCTAGCAGCCTGTTAGTAATCACGCAAAGAAATGCAGAAGCCAAACTTCTCTCTTCCCCACTTCCCCATTCTTGACTTTCACTTTGACCCTCGGACTTGAAGTACCGACAGTGCCGTGTTGGTCAGACCAGTCATATCACGCCTACCTTTTCCCGCGTGGTTACACCGCCCGCCCATACATACGCGCAGAAAGCAGGGTCAGGCAGTGAAAGAAAGCGGTTGAATGGTCCGTTAAGCACCGCACCGTCAACTTTGGGCTGAACAGAGTATGAACTAAAAAGCAAGAAATCCAAGCGGCTATTCTTCTCGCATGCTGGCACCTGCTTGTCCCATTGGGTTCCTCACATGGTTCGTTATCTCAACAACTGTCTAGAAAGCATCTTACCAGCAAGGGAACATTGACGGTTTCTGGTTTCTTTTTTTTTTTCTGTCGGAGCTTTTCTAGTTTAAATAACTCACGATATTTTTGTTTGCTTTTTACCTTTTTCTGTTAGAGATAGAAATATGGTTCTTTACTGTTTCAGCAACCGCATCAAATACTAAAACAGACTAATTTTTTGTGAATAACTAATTTTGACAAATCTGTCGATTTTAAAATATTGAGAAAACTTGATTTCGCAAATACATCACAACCATCGCAACCATTACATAGCAAACCACTTTCAATCGTCAAATGTCGTGCTCACTAAATATTTCCAAAATTCATATTTAGCGAAATTCATGAAATTATGTGAGCACAAAAATAGTCATTTACGGTACAACAAACGTTGAGATTTCTGAGCCTTTACTTTATGTTCTTGAAGAAAAGAATGCAAGGCGACGGCCTAAGAGAATATGCATATCAAAGGAGGATACTGTGCCGGAGCATCAGCTTAGCGTTTCCGGCTGAGGTTGGCACAACAAGGTTCGACATTCTTCTAAAAGAAGCAAACGCTGAAAATGAAGATAATTCACTAAGTTCCATGACCATGAGAGCTCTGCTGGGCCTCTGCAAGATGCAGAAACCTCTTACAATATTATCATTCTCGTACAGCCTCAAAGACGCTGATATTAAGTTAGAAACGCTAAAATGCTTTATACAGCCTTGTTTACCCCGAGCTAAACCCTGGTTTTGGTTGTTGGGAATTCGCTGCTTTTTAAGCAATTCCTGCTCAAACAACAATCACAAGAATGATAATATTGTAAGAGATTTCTGCAGCTCAGCCAGGTTAAAAGGTGGATTGCGTGCACAGTATCAAAAACGCTGACATTGACGAGAAATTTTAAAACTCATATGACAGGTCCTTGGACCCTACATAATGCTTGTTCAGGGTGACTCCAGACGACACACAAAACTGTGTATCCATCAAATTGGTCGAAATTGCCAATCACTATAGAGCTGAAGGATCTACATTCCCATGATTCATTGAGTGTGGGCCGGGGCACTTGGAGATCTAGCAAAGAGTCTATTACTGGAAGTGGGCTATCTTTCGGTGTTTTTGGACAAATAGCAAATGATGCCAGAAATAGGAGTGGGCTATCTCAGGATATTACGGTAGGCAAAATTTGGTTGTAGATAGTTTGAGTGGTCTTCCAGAATGATACCAAAGATCTCTGCATTGTTTTCTTATTAAAAATGAAGCAGAGCTGCCTTCTAAAGAGCTGAAGGGTGTTGGGGATAAATTCGAATGTACATTGAAAAATTAATTATGCTTGCTGCCTGGCTCCCTGATCGGTTATAACAAACTCGAAACATTCGCTTAAAAAAACACTGAAAAGAAGAAAAAAAATTTTTTTTTTTTGTACAGTCTGGTTGGGACAGTGTGTAAAAAAATTAATTTTACGTAAAAAAAAATTTTTTTTTTTTTTTTGATGGTTTGAGATTTATTTTGAATTCTGCGCGCAAAGTTCATGACGTCACGGAATGGTCATATACTCTTTCCACCTTAACGTGATGGCCACAGCTTCCCTCCTTCAAGCGCCCGAAATGCCGAGAGAGAAAACAAGTGGAAAGGAGGTGACTACCAACTAAATTCCTTCTTGCGCCGTCAATAATGCTCTAAAATTTTTTTTTTTCGCTTAAAATTTGTTTTTTGGCGTGCGTGTCCCAAACAAAAAAAAAGAAATACTTGTTTGTTTTTTTTTGTTGGTCTTTTACTTTGACAATGAAAATATAACTGTGAAATCGCATGAAATTTTCAAATATTCTGACATGCACACATAAAAAAGTGCTCTTGTTCTTTTCTTGGTCTAGCGTTATGAAGTCCTCACAAATACCTTTGAGTGTTTGAATGTGCACTGCAAGTCATGCTCTGTCCAGGACAAGCCGAAATATGCGTTTATTTTGCATCAATTCTGCCGTGACTGTGACCTCCCCGAATAAGTGCTAGAGTTTCAGCTGCTTCTCGACAAAATATTCAGCAAATACCTTCTGTTTCTTGTCAGAACAATATTGGATCGTTTATTTGTTATTCCACCGTGCTGCAGACGGTTTCTGGGGCCAAAAACTGAGAGATTGTCTGACAAAGGTGCCGAAAGGCCAACAGTTAAAAAGAGGCCATTATTTGCAGCACATAAAAAAATATAAAGCCTGACTCAAGGAATGTTGTGTATAACTCAAAAATGCACAAACTGGGGAAAAAAAAGGGATTACAACATATACTTGTTCTTTTTTATGACATCAAATACTTTAGATGTGCATAGATATACACTTCAATTGTGCAGGCAAAGAGCTGAATGTTACGTTCTGTTGAGATAAATTGTCCGGCTATGTTCTAAAGTAGTAAAGTAGAATGTTCCCGCAGAAATTGCAGCTTTCTATAATAGACGGACTCTGCCTGCTGTTTCAGCGAGCCAAGTTGGTCCGTTGTTCTAACATCTTTTCGGTTCTAACATATTGTTCTAACAATGAGACATCGGGGCCCATTCCCGATAGCAGACGCTATTCATCTCCAGATAATCGTGGGCTCCACAGAAATTTTTGGAAATTGCTTATAACTCTTTAATCATATAACGGTTAGTTTGAAACTTTAGCATCTGTTCCAGACTGCTAGTGGTACATTTGGACAGAAACTGGCGGTTCTTCGACACACAGTTTGTTTTTGAGGTGATAAAGGATGCGGTTTAAGGATGGTCCGCACATTTGCTCTTCAGCATGATACACTGTGCCGTAGCCACTTGTAACTGCTTGTGACGAGAGAAGACACTGGCGCCATCTGTTGGGTAACCCTAGAGCACTTCCAGTGAGAACATATTTTATGCATTATTCTTCCACCGTACGCTTGAAATAATTCTGACAATGTTATAAGCGACTATTTCTCATAGCTGGTGCGTAGAATCAGTGTCTCAAACTATTGTGGAACCTTTAGTCCTGTTATATGGAGTTGGGAAGGGCATTTTCTCGTGGAAGGCGGCTGCAAGCAGCAGCAGCGTAACCGATCCAGCCCTCACTTTTCTTCCCAAGACAGCCCATATTTCGTACGGTCGGCGGCAGTGCGATCTGGCCCAGTTCATTGCTAGCCGGAAGGAGTAAAATGCCGCACCGCCGCCAAGCCAACTCATATTGATGCACCCCATACTATGGCGGACGGTACGAGCTGCAACAGTCCTTCGTCCTTTTCCACCGTACCCGCCGCTTTCTAAAGAATTTTCGGTCCAAATTGTTTGATGGAATACAAACCTCAGGCCCCACTCTACGACACATGGAGAGATGAGGAAAGTGTCGGAACTGTAGACGGAGGAAAAGGCCATTGCAGCTTGTCTCAGAACTTTCCCGCATTCTATGCCCGTTCCTGCTTCCGTCCGTGGATGTTTAGGGCGTTTCTACATCCTCATCGTTGCCACCCCGCAGGACTGCGCCTGGCTGCAGCTGATGAACGGGCGGCGCCGCGCGGATGGCCTGGGGGAAGTGAGCTGCGACACCTTCGAGCTGCTCATGGACCGGCTGGAGAAGGAGTCGTACTTCCAGAGCCAGAGCTCCGGCCGGGACCTGGGGCCCCCCATCGACGAGGACGCCGTGTGCGCCATCTGCAGTGACGGCGAGTGCCAGAACTCCAACGCCATCCTCTTCTGCGACATGTGCAACCTGGCCGTGCACCAGGTCAGGCCTTTCTCCGTCTGCGCTCTGAGGGACCGGCTAATCGGAGGGGAATGCAGCTAGTGCCGCCATTTTGGTTCTTGCAGCCATTTTGGTTCTTAAAACCGTGGTTTCCAGTCGTCTGTCGTCGTATGCAAAGCTCTGGAAGCTCTATCTTCAAATCATAACATTTGCCAATTGAACCTGCTATGCAATAAAAGAGAGCTCTTGCGAAACTTCATGAGTCAAGAATTGCCCTCAAAAATTGGTTGGACACAAAAAAGAACATGTCTGTACTGGTAACCCCAATTTTTTAAGTTATGAAGGTTTTATTTTGGTCTGAGTGGTTGTATTGGCAATACTACTAATGAGACGTTGAATGTTGTAATATGGGAGCAGTGCAGCTGGCTCCCGACGGGTTGCAAGGAATTCAATGGTGTGAAATGAATGCTAGAGAAGCTTACGCTCGCAAAACGAAATTAAAAATGTATGAAATACCGTTTTCTAGACTGCCTGCTTGACACAAGTTATACGACGTGACGCCGCCCCGCCGGAGAGTGCGAGAAAATTTGAATGTTGGTTTTGGAATCCCCTTCATTTGCCGTTTTCTCACTAGCTATTTGAAATTTAGAGAATATAAATAGCATGCCGGCAAGAGTAAAGCCCGGGAATTCAAAAATGTGTTTAGTTTGGGTAGCTCGGAATGCTGCCGGAGCTCTCCTTTAGGTGCCGAAACGGCGACAACCATCACGAAATCGGAGGGACAAAGTGTTGGTACTCTTGCTAAGGGGCTCTAAATGTAGCCACCACTGGGGTAACAGACCTCTTGTGAAATCAAAGTGGTCCTAGCGGCGTACTGTTGCTCGAAGCATCTGGGGAACCCTTTGGCACTAATTTTCAGTTTCGATTCGCCGACCTCCTTCCCAACATCATGCCCAGGAATGCAAGCAGTGGGCTGTTGCGTGTCAATCCACTAATGCTCCACCACCCTGCTTCCGAGTGCAAATGTTGCGCCAAAACTGACTGAAACAGCTTTTTTTCGCATCGCTGGATTTTTTTAAATGCTTTTGTTTAGTGGCCACCGTGCTGTGTTCATTTATACTCAGTGTCACTGTAGTTGTGTGAAGTGCAGTCGAAGAGACAAAGGGAAAGCACTAGGGTGTGTATCTCAACATGTCTCATTCACATTTGAACCTTGCGCGTTTTGTCGCATTTTCATTTGGTTCCTCTCATTTGAATCTTCTCACAAGATCCGAAAGGGTTTTTTCGCAGCTGGGCCCATTCTCATTTTGCCCGTTCACATTACGACCGAATGGCACTTGTTCGACATGCTTTTACCGTCGTTGTGCCTTTGCGTCTTTTTTGGTGAGTATGGGCCCTCAACATACCATCAGATATATGAACGGTTCTTCGTTTTCGGGTGAACTCCAAGATTTCCCTATATTTACACCCTGAATGTTTTCTTTTTTTTGAAAATCGAATTAAACATGGTTATTCACCGAGTTCGGAACAAAAATTCTACCATTTTCACGTTTTTTGGCATTGTAGAAATATGGAGCTCATTAACGAAACTTGTTACATATGCACAAGACAGAAGCAATGCGAAAGATATTTGAGTAATATTTTCTGGCGGGGGGGGGGGCACTTATTTTTGTGTTGGCAGTTTTGGTAAGAAAGCGCTACTTCAGGCTACCCAATGCAGTGATGGAAGTGCTGTGCCTATTGCGCCAAGGACGCAATCCTGCTACATGTAGCGCCAAATTGTCATTTTACCGAAGAATTGCGCCATGCCTGCGCCGAGATGAGATTAAGCAATAAAAAATAAAAATTGAAGTCTTATCAGAGCGCGTGGCGGTACCGCGGTATTTTCCGCGCCGCAACTGCGCAAACCGAAACTGCGAGGGCACATTATTATCATCATCATTGAAAACAGTGGGGGTCATTAGATGCTGCTGCAGATACCTTAAAAGAAGTGCAGGCTGATTAAACTAAATATCCTGTACCATCAGAACTCAGTGTGACATATTTAATTGAATTTTTTATCTGACGAGCAGATAAACTTCATTTAAAAAAATGTTTTTTTTTTGTGTTTACTTTGTTGAATTTTATATATCCTGCCTTAAAAGGCGACAGGCGCTGTGTTACAATAATAGAGATGGGCTTTATATAGCAATGCAGCATTATTTCATTTTCGAGTAATATGCCAACATATGCCGGACCCTGCTCCAAAAGGGCCACTACCTGCTCCAAAACAACATTTTGCCTGCTACAAGGCCTGCTCCAAAAAGTCAAATGGCACTTCCATCACTGCCAATGGCTCCCTGACGTTGCTGTGTGTTGCAAATAGAAATTTTCATGTTGAGAAAGCATTTTATCAGTTGAGATATGTCTGTGAAGACTGTACAAGTCAGCTGTCGGAACAGGAACTCTACACGTGCAGATGATTATGTGTGTCAACAAAAAATTTTCAAAAATTGAAGAAAAAAAAAAAAAACATTTATCTGCACATTTATGACTGGTCTGTACAAATAAAACATTCCATGTCCTGAAACTGATCAATACTTTTTATTGGCAGAAGGCAACGATTGGAGTGCTGGAGGCGGAACTTCTGCTTTCTCTACCTGTCACAACTATAGATCTCTCCAATAATCACCTTCTATGCGCCACCATCTTTGTCTACTGGGTTCTGGCAGGCATTCTGCATCTCGCATCACGAGGCCAATGTTGCCAGACGGGGCAGAAGTTTCGATTTCAATTTCTGCTCGTGTTCAAAATGAGATTTAACAATATATATCCCATTTCTTGCGAAGCAAATGACATTGTGTCTTTTATTAGTGCTTTTTAACCTGAAAACACTCATTATCCTGAAATCCTTGGAATTGAGTGAAGTTGGAAAAGGTCTATTGGTGACGATAAATTCGTGCTCCATTGCCAACACCTTTGTTTTTTGGCAATTTCCTTAGGCAAGCATTAACACAGTAGGTGTTTTATCAGCCGATTTTCATGGAGATCTGTAATGTTTTACTGTAACAAAAAAGCGACACCGAACTGCGTTACATCTATAGGGAACCATAGGTGTCAAGTGAAGAAGGTCAAAATGAGAATGGGCTCATGAGGAGGGTTGAAATGCGATGCACAAAACAGGCAAGAGCCAAAACTGTAAAGGTCAAAGCAAGGAGGTCTTTTTGGAAATGGTTGTTTTGAGAAAGGCCAAGTGAGAAGGGCAGAATGAGAACGGGCTCAAATGATTACCATCCAGCACTAGAAAGGCGGGACGGGAGAGGAGGGCAATCATCATCATCATCGTCATCAGTTTATTTTATGTGCTCATAAACAGCAAGATTGCCTTAATTATGACTAGGGCTCCGCGTTTTCGGATAAATCCGAAAAACACCCGCCGGTAAAATTTTGGTCAATTCGGATTTATTCTATAAACTCCAAATTGTTATGTGCCCCCCAACAACAAAAAATAAATTTTTTTTTTTTTTTTTTTTACAATTTGAGCAGCGCAGGATCAGTGGTCCTGGGAAAATGACACCATAATTATCTTTCAAGCCTCGGACTGTCGTCAAAAAGGGGGTCTTACGGCTCGTCTCGTCAAGGTTGGTTCAGGAAAGCAGGTCATTGTACCATTCGTGTCACGACAAAAGCCACTCTTTTGGTTTCAGTTTGGGCCATGGGATTTGAAGAAAGGAGAGGGTATGTTGCTGGGGGTAACAGTGAAAGCTATGGACCACAGAGATTGTATAAAATAGGGAAGAGGGGCAGTTGAAACTTTTCTATTACATTCTTAACCACTCCACCTCGCGCGGCGGCGGGATAGATTGATGGGATGACTACGAGCTTCCTTACGGCTACCCCCGGCAGTTTATTGATTTTAAGGTATCAACGTTTAAAAAAAGCCACACTTGTGTGCGACTTTTGTCGTGGAAGAAATTAGTGATGCCAATGACACCAACGCCAAATTCAACTGTAGACATCTTAAATGATAGAAGCGCTTTTTATTTTTTATCTGGCATACGTTTGCATCCGGTTATTACTTATTATTTTTTTATTAGGAAACACTGCGAAATTAATTTCGGAGAATGGGGGATATACGAAAAATAAACTCCGATAAACACCGAATTTTTGCTAAAAAATAAACTGAGGAACGCCCTCCGAATTTCACGAAAAATAAACTGCAAAAACACGGAGCCCTAATTATGATGCACAAAAAAAGGTTACACGTTTGAGATCTGTAAAGGGGGGGGGGGGGGGGCAAGGGGAGAGAGGGAGAGCATAGGAATGTTAGAGAGAAGAGGTTTTTCTCCTCCTCCCGAGCCTTCCTAGTGCTTGCCCTTTCTCCCCTCGCCTGGCGTTGCCTCCGCCTGTGCTGCACACAACTAGTGACATGGAGTGTAGATCATTCTGAACCGGTATGGTTTGTTGAACATCAAAGTGAATGGCCCTCGTTGACTTTGTTTGAACCTTGTGAACTTTGAAATTATCGCACGACAAACGGTTCAAGCAACGTCCTCGTCTGCTTCGTACACCCGAGAAGCGGAGGAACGGAGAAAACTGGCTGGGGAGCGATAGCCGCGTGACTTCCAGCAACTCCCTCCTCCGAGCCTCCGTGCACATGTTTTGGTTTCAGTTTCAAGCAGTTGAGTGGTGGCTTTATTAAACATATATGTGACTCTCTGGGGAAACATTGATTGCATAGTCTCCTGACACCATAATAAATTGCCTTGCAAAAAATATAAAAAGACGTGTTTTTTTTTTAGGGGGGGGGGGGGGGGGGGGGGGGGGAGTCAGCGCCCCTCTAATTGATCTGCGAGCTGGGAGGGTCATGCTATGCTGGAGTGGTACTGAGGCTGCCAGAAAGGTATGGGGTGCGGCCGGTCGTACTCCATACTCCTCGCTAAGCCTAGGAAGGTCCTTATGATTGCTGGAGGTCTGTGTTTCAATGGGGGCTCTTATGAAGACTAATGGGTGCAATGCAAGCGAGCACCGACTTTATTTTCATGCAGTGCCGAGATGCACTACTTCGTCATTGAGGCAATCGAAACCACAACCACGTCACTCTTCTCCGTGTCCAAACAGGTCCCGTAACACAACTTGCGCAGTGTTGTGTGCAGGGATTTTTGTTTTGGGCCTGCCATCTGCACGACGAGCCTGCTGTCTTTCGTAATATTGCCGCCCGCAGAGCCGAGAAAGCAACGCTTGGTCACGGTCTTCTAGAAGGTTCCCGTTCATTCTCGCACCAGACGTAACTTTCCCTCTGCTTTGTTATTCTCGAAACTGCCTGTTCATCCTCGCCGGAGCGCGCGACGCTCGAGCCTTCTTTGCCGAACTTTCAAGATAGTGACGCACAGTAGGTAAGCAGCTACCCGCGACCTTGTCGAGTCAGTTTCGCTCGCGCTTTCTGTTTCGCCGCTGAGTCGCCGCCGCCTTTTCTGCTCCCTCGACACTCTTTTGTTACTTATTTTGTTGGCACGAGTTCGCCCATTAAATCTTTATTTTCAGTTCAATTTTCGCCTTCTCGTCGCCTTAATTCGTGACAATATCTCTATGGCATGCACGTACCTGGAGCTCGTAAGCTCGACAACGGTGGTCCCATGAAGCCCAGATTGCTGGCGAGCCTTTTAGGGATACAAAGCTGCTGTAAAATGTTACTTGCTAGCTAGCTCCCTGATCTCTTTAAGTGTCAGCTTGTAAGAGAACACGTGCCTCCAGCATGCTATAAAAAGAACTAAAAGTTGACTAGCAACTGGATACATCTGCGGAAAAGGGCTGTCTCACAATGTTTGGCTAAGTTTTAATGGGGTTGAAGGGCACGCTTCATCATAATCTTGGATTTTCCTAGGACGCTTAGGGCATGTGGTTGAAAGTAGAACTTTAAGTGCCAGGACATGGACATGGTAAAAGAGACTGACGAACACCAGCGCTAATTTATAGCTTTCATTATCAAACGGGGAGTGTTGCTTTATAACTCGGATAAGGTCACCTTGTGTGAGTGACTTTAGGAGCATGTTACCTCTATCTTTTGTATGTTTTCTTTCCCTTACTTCTTTGGTTGTGACATGTGTAGTATTTAGGATGTCAGTACTAATGAAGATTAGTTGTAAGTCAGCACCGTTTATTTGTTAATTTTCTTTTACTCTATTCATGTCACTGAGTTCTTAGTATTCTTAAGAATGAAACGATTCCAATCGTTTAAGTTATTTAACTTTATGTCGTTGAGTTTTTGTCATAAAAAGACAAAACTCAAAATCCACCCTAGTGCCCCTTTAATTTGTGTCAACGTGGGTTGACGCACCTTTTTGTCAGTCCACCTTCAAACTCAATCCCAGCACCAAGCAACCTTTACGGCGATTGAAACACGACTGCGGGAGGTTGGAAGGGAACCGAGGAGACCAACGACGGTGGGTGTCACGTGCCGTGCAGGAGTGCTACGGCGTGCCCTACATTCCCGAGGGCCAGTGGCTGTGCCGCCGGTGCCTGCAGTCCCCTTCTCGGGCCGTGGACTGCGTGCTCTGCCCCAACGTGGGCGGTGCCTTCAAGCAGACGGACGACGGGCGCTGGGCCCACGTGGTGTGCGCCCTGTGGGTGCCCGAGGTGTGCTTCGCCAACACTGTGTTCCTGGAGCCCATCGACTCGCTGGGCAACATCCCGGCGGCCCGCTGGAAGCTGACCTGCTACATCTGCAAGCAGCGGGGCGTGGGCGCCTGCATCCAGTGCCACCGGGCCAACTGCTACACGGCCTTTCACGTGACGTGCGCCCAGCAGGCGGGGCTGTACATGCGGCTGGAGGAGGAGGCCACGCTGCACGTGCGCAAGGCGGCCTACTGCGACGCGCACGCGCCGGCCGGACCCGTGAGTACGGGGGCGTCCCTCCCCGCGACACCGTCCCACCCGAGGCCCGTCCTGCCCACCCCGCCGCACGCCCGGGTAACGTGGTCACCTCCCCGCCTGCTTACCTCCTCGCTCTGCCCTCTTGCCTTCTTGCTGGAAAGGGACCATGAAACGATCAAAGAGGGACTGGCTTGTTGAAACATGCTTTATTGCTCCGCACGCCTGGCTTAGTCGCCTCATTTGGTGTGAAGGTGGGACAAGCACTTGGCCTCTCTCCTTTGGCTTGTTTTTGTCTTTTTGTGATCCGTATTTAGTCCTGTTCGACCATCTAGCCCATCAACTTATTTTGACTCTACCTTTCATTAGCCCCTGACGCAACTTTTCGTTTTTGATTTTGACACAAGCTTTCGTGACCCTGACACACCCTTTCGTAAGCCCCTGGCACGGCCTTTTATATGTAGATGCGATGGATAGCATTTATTTTGGCAGCCCCCCCCCCCAGAAAAAAATCAAGTTTGGTAAAACAAAATGAGAACAGATGCACGGGAGACTGATTTGTAGATAAATTGAGAAAAAAAGTACAAAATTCGGAATCTACCCGAAGGGAAATCAAACCCAGGTCCCCAAGGTCGTGAGCCCGGCGCTCGATCTCTGCGCCAAGCGGGCAACATGTAAAGCGCCAGTTAATAAATGCAATAACATTCCTTTCGCCAACCGAAACCACGAAACGTCATAGTAGTGCAAACGGGTAGCTTCGAGTTTTGCTCACACTGCACGAGGGCTTGTGCTATCGAGGCGCCATCGGAGTACGTCGCTGAAGGGAAGGGGCAGCCTACTGAGGCTCAGCACGTTTGTCGTGTCGATGAGATGCCAGAAAGGTGACAACGGCATTTGGCTAGAGGGAGAGAAGGAAGGTGGGCTCGTTCTGTTGCCACCAAGGGCCAAATGAGAGACAAGGTTTGCCTCAACTTGGTGGAAGATAGCCTTCCTAGAAGAAACATTTCTTCTTATAAGTCTACAGCAAAGCATTGCGACAATGCAGCACCGTTTTTTATTTTGATTTTGAGACAGCCCTTTGTGAGCCCTGACAGGACCTTTCGTAAGTCCTGACACAACGTTTCGCGAGTCCTGGTGTAACCTTTCGTGAGTCCTGGCACAAGCTTTCGTGAGTCTTGACAGAACCTTTCACTAGTCCTGACACAATCTTTCGTGAGTCGAGCTCGTGCTCCTACATTTTGCCAAGAGATGGCTTGCCTTCTTGTTTTCTGCAAAATTTGTTTAGCCTGAAAAAAAAAAAAAAAATGCAAAACAATGCCTGCCCCTATACATTGCATTGTTATCTGGGTTCGTGCAATTTCTATGGTGGAGTGAGTGATAAGAGCTTTGAAGCCAGTAGTGACTGCTCCTTTCTCAACTTAAAGTACAGTTGAATAAACAACATTCTTTTTGTTTTCCCTAAATTTAGCTGCATACGCCATTTGAGGCACACCAGATTAGTTAGACTAAAATCTTGCTGTATGACACGAGCACCTTGAGTACAAGTAACGGTTCAGTATAAAATGCAGTCTCTAACACTGCCCTTTCACTAATATCATAAATGTATGTTTTTGTTTGTATCCTCGATTCAAAACAAAAACATAACTTTTCAATGGAAAATGTTGCGTTTTTCACCAGACCTGCTCTAACGGGTTAGGTACAGCGCATATATTCCCAACCGAAATCGTTTCATGGTCCTTTTAAGGTACCGTCACATTAGGTTAACGTATCAGTAGCACTAATAGTTAGTTCCATTTGTCGACTTTAGGTCGGCATGTTCGCCTCTTATTCCGTTTTCAGAAGCTTTTATCACATTGTCTCGGCAACAGCTGGCCAAGAAGACAATGCTGCCACATACAGTCGCAGCCTCTGGCAGCGGAACCAGGCAACGCGTCCTGTCAAAAACCGAATGTCATCTATATTAGCCTTGTCTTCTACAGTGGCGGTGGGCCGGCTGTGGCCCTAATGTGACGGTACCTCTTGTTGCTACGTGCTCCGTTGATTCTTTCCCGCATGCTTACAACCTTAGTTTTGATGTGCTTGCTTGCGGTGCGGCGTCCCGTCTCGTCTTGCTGGCTCCGGCTTGCTCAGGGGACTGCCTCTTCCCTAACCCGCTTTCGGAGGATGACTTTCTGGGGCTCGGGGGGACGTAGCTTATCTACTAATCTGGGAAACTGGGAGGAAAGTCCCCCCACTCGGAGCCTTCTCGTGTCCATTCTTTTTTTGACGGTGGGAATTGGTCACGAAGGACGTTAAAGAACTCTCTTTACTCGGAATCGTTTATTTCGTGCTACATCGTCGAGGCTAGCGTATCTTTCGGAGTGCTCCAACGCCCACAAAACTATTTGCGCACACGCGTGGCTTTGCTTGCCGTCCCATTTGCAGTGGAGCATGTGGGAACGAGATGGAAGGGGAAGCCATGTGTTCTTGTACCGGTGCAGAGCTGCAGCCCTGTAGACTTTACACTAGCCTCGACAATGTAGGCCATGATAGTTGACACCGATTACGGAAGTGTTGGTGTGCTGCTTCCCCAGAAACTTAACATGTCGGACGAATTGGGGTAGGGGCACGGTTTCCCCACCGAGTCACTTAAAACCGGTTCGAACGTCTAGCCAAGCTTTGGGTCAGATCTTTCTGGGTTGTTGCACGTTTTTCGCGGTGTCTGGCCTTATCACCCAATTATGTTAGCCATCGGTTGTGCCACATTCGAAGTCTGTTCTGTTACAAGCTCTGATTCAAATTGTAGGACTTCCCTTCTTTCTAGTTCAGATAGGCCACTGTGGTATCGATCGGGCGGGGGCCGACGAACCTTTAATGCGTGTACTTTAACAATTGAGTTTGTCAAGTTAAGCTAAGAACTTAACTTTGTGCTCGTCGGCAGAGTGGGTCAAACGCGGCAACCGTGTAACCTCGACGCGGCTAGTGCAGGATGTGCAAGCCATAGCTAACTGTAGTCGTGTTCTGCCTTCTTGTTGTTTTTATTGGTTGAGATCGTAATCTCGTCACTATCGAGCGAGTCGTAATGAGGGAATCGGAGCTGGCTACCCACTACGTTTCTTATCCTTCACCGTCGCTTGTGCTGGCTTAGAAAGGGTACAAAGTATGAGACAGTGTTTCTGAAGCCGTCTTTTAAAGTGAAATTGAACTTGCAAAAAAAGCTTATTTATAAATTGTCTGGATAAGAAAGATGTATATGTAATGAAATCCATCTTTCCAAAAGAAAAAAATAATTGCCACAATATTCGCTCCCTAACACACAACGTGTTTCATGAGGTTAATAATTTTGTTTGTTTGGGAAAACGTGTCCCGCATACATTACGCAACATTATTAGGGCGAATGTGGTATTAGCGCCAGTCTACCTTTTACTCAGATAGAACAGCACCGAACTTTACTGCTAGTTTACTGCCGGGAATCACGACTGCTTGCCGCGCTCATAGTTTTATTTGTGGCAGACATTATTTTTAAATAAAAACGGTAAAGACTGGTGACTGCTCGTTCGCACCAACAGTGTTGTCTGGTGTATGTGACCTATAAGGGCAATTTTTAAAAATATATCTTCTTTTATATCGCAGCGTCCCTCTAATTTGGGTTGCACATATCTTACTCGGAAGTCGAATATGATGACGTAACCGGTGCAGGACGTACCGAGGAATAGTGGAAACAAATGCCCGGGGGGTGTTGAGGCTGGTTTCTCAAGGCGGGGCTCCTCCTCCCAGGGGGACAGCGAGGGGGAGGGCAAGGTGGACGTGGTGAAGAAGGCCCAGGCCAAGGCCAAATCGAGGGAGAAGATGCGCAAGGCCCGCAAGATCCTGGCCGAGAAGCGGTCGGCCGTGCCCGTCGTCTCCATCCCCACCCTGCCGGGGGACAGGTGGGTGCACCCCTTCCGGCCCCGCCTCCTCGTCCTGCGCTGCTTGGGGGCCGTTTCACGTTCCTGCGTCGTGCCGTGTTAAAGGGGCACTGACACCCCCCAAATTTATTTATTTATTTTTTTTTTTTTCATTTTTTGCCAGGCGATTTATTATGGTGTCTGAAAACTACCCAGTTAATATTTTGCAACAGAGTCGCGTATATTTTTAATGAAGCCAAAATACTGCTCGAAACCAAGACCTGCGCACGGAGGTTGGAGAAGTGGAGAGAGGAGAGGGGGGAGTGGCGGAAGTCACGTGGCTACACCCGACCTTGGGCTTTTTTCTTTTCTTTTTTTTCCCCCCAATTTTTTTTTTCTTTTGCACGCAGAAGACGACATGTGGGATGGGGAATCGTTTGCTGTGAGGTTCCTTTGCAGTTATGTTTGTCCTGCTCGCTGTTCTGCGCATCAAGATGAGTTGTTTCGTACATTCAAGAGTTTGAGATGGGTAGTGAGTGCCAAGGTGTTGCGTGGAAAGCTGCGTCACATGTCCTGCGTCCCAATAAAAGTGGCATTGTGCGGCAGAGTTTGCACATGTTTCCGAGTGATCGACGGGATCGGGACCAATGGCTGACTGCAATTCCTCTTGTGGAGAATCAGGGGCAGATTACGTACCTTTTACATCCGGGGACCGGTCAGTTCTCAAAAGGGAATCCGATGCCCGTCCCATCAAGTGGCCGACGGCTACCAGCAAGGGCGGTTGCCGCGCCGGGTTCGGTAAACGCCATGCCAACAACGATAGTCCCGGTATCCAACAGGGTTTATTGAGTATCAGGGGTTCCCAACAAGACACTGCAGTCAAGCAAGCCGTGGACACAGTGTGCCCGCAGCGCCTCCCGACCTGAGAGCTAAAGGGGTAATTGCGAGCGGAGTCATCGCCAGTCGGCCGAGCTTGGGCCGCTACCCGTCGTCAGAGGAGTTCGGGGCCAGGGCTCTCGGCAGATGGACGTCCACTACGGGGAGGGCACGCCGGCTGTCAGAGCCAGGGGTAACGCTAGCATTGAATCATTGCTGGTCGTACGAGCTCGTACGCCGCGACTCGGCCTGTCGCCCGGAGTCCAATCCAGGACTCCTCGACCACACGGCCATCTACTTGAGGGGCAGGCCTGACTCTCCCCCGCGATCTTGCTCATCTCCGAAAATGAGAGACGCGCGGAGGAGTGCGAGAGAGTAGGCCAGCAGGGGTGATGTACTCTCCCCGACCCGATATGGAGCAACCGGGCTCGAAGCCGTCTCGGATTCGCCCGGAACTTCCGCAGCTTACGCCTTCTCGGGGGAAGGAAACCACTGGCTCCCACACTGTAGAACATTTACGGGCACTTCGGGAAGCAGATGATACCCGATTTATATACTCCTTGCATTTCGTTGAAAGTGATTACATTGAGTTCGCAGGTGTCAAAAAGGGAATCCCATACCATTTAGTTCAGCAACATTTCGGCCACAAGATTTGTGTTTTTTAGTGATAATTGTACAAAAAGAAATTTAAATATCGCAAAATGTTTTAAGAGAATAAAATAAAATTAAAAAAACTTACGCCCACGCGGGATTGAACTTGGTTCCGCCGCGTGTGAAGCGGACGTCTTTCCTCTAAGCTACTCGGGAAATTTTTTTTTTGTCTTTATAAGAGCTGCTGGGGAAACACTTTCGTTAGTAGTTAGTTGGAAAGTGTGCTGCCGATTTTCCTCCAGTAAAAGCACTCTCGACTCCTGGGTCGAAGTCAGGCAGCATCATGCATTGGCCACATTCACACCTAGTAAAGAAATTGTACGCGTGCATATTCAACTCGAAGTACGCACTTCGTGCTTGACGTTTGTGTGAGCAGTATCTTCAGCCACGAGAAGGGGGCGACAGGTCGGCGGCGTCTTTGTGCAAATCGGCTTGCTGGTCGGGCGTGTCGCACGGGATGAATAGCAGTTCTTTTAAACGGTCCAAAATTTCTCTTTGAAAGGAAGATAGAATTCGCCGGTACCACGAACGACAGTTCTGAAGTAGAGGTTCCACGCTCGTCGTCCGCTGCCATCGCCATGTTGAGAATTACGCAGTAAACGCACAGAATGCTTCCAATTCTCTGTGCAACTTTTTTTTTTTCAGTCGACGTATTTGCAGCTTTTTAAAAGCCACGAGAAATGGGTTGAATATTTTTTTCTTTTTAATATTGAGTGTGTGCTTTCAATGACCAACGACTTTGATTAAATTTGGTGGTTGTGTCTAAACCTTAGAAAACGGCACGTGACCTAAAAAAAGAGAGTGAGCGCGACTCATACCGGCCAGTGTTTGATCGGCGGTTTTCGGTTGGAAAGGAACCGAATTTTGAGCCGCAAATTCTCTTCTGGGTAGTTGGGCTCTCATTAATCACATACAACTAAAAACCTCAGCGAGCAGGGGAGACACTACCCAGAAAGCAGTTTCTGCAAAAAAGTATATTTTTAGAGAATGCCATATTTACATATCCACCAACATCTGGAGAGTATTCCCAGAAAGTTTCATTTGTTTATGCTGCATGGTAGTTATTTTTTTATAAATTATTTTCAGTTCACCCACGCTAAAATAAAGGCAGAGGTTCGAGCAATTTGAACGCATTTTTCTCCGTTCCACTTTTTGGCATAGGTAAATATCACTTTAGGAAAACCATTGTTTTGTAACGGGACAAAAGAAAAGGCTCGCTCATTGTTTTTCCTTACTGGAATTTAATGGGTGATGCAACTGTGGAATGGTTGTACAACAGCCCCATAAAAAATTAAAAAATAGTTGTTTTTTTTTGGTGCAACGTTAGCATATATTAAATTACTTCTCAAAAAAAGGTTTTTCACAGTTGCATTTTTTGGGTATTTTGCTGCACACTTAGTGAAGAAAAATATGCTGTTTACATTTGTTTTCTTACTATAGTATTCGTAAACAATGCCAGTGTGTTTTTGATAAAATTGAGTTTAATTTATATTACGATTCATGTCCACAAATTAAAGTTTGCACTGCATTCTGCGTTGCCACTGCCAGTATATGCTGCAAATTTCATTCATATTAATCCAAACGTCGTGCCGTTTTAAGGCCAGTTTGCAGATCAGCGTCCGAGTGACTGAGCGCTTGTCAGTCCCTCACGATTGCTTTTAATATTTTAATAGGAGAGGGCATTGGCACCGCCGTTTTGGTACCGCTAAAACACTTCCTCACCCGCACATATTTTATGCATCATTCTTTCGCTGCTTGCACGCGATAATTCCGAAAAATTTAGGATTGATCGTTTCTCATAGGTGGTGCATAGGTTTGATCTCGGAAGTACCGCAGAACCTTCGGTTTAGCGACGCACAGGTCGGAGGTGCTCCAGGGCCACTCGACAGGCGGTGCCAGCGTGTTGGCTCCTCTCAAGCACTTGCGAGGGCTTGCAGTGCGGTCGGCCGCGCTTAAATGCAGGCGGAGTGAACCAGCACTTGCCACACCAAGGCCAGTTGACCAACCAATGAGAGTATCTCTCGTGGCGGTCCACTCGTCCGCAACCGCAAAGGGGCCTTGGAGGCCGCGTGATTGGCTCCTCGAGGAGAGAGCGGTACCTAGCGTTTCAGCCGATTCCGTTGGGCGGACGAAAGCCTTACTCACTCTTTTTGATAATTCTCGCTTGACGTGGCCTTCCCGAGAAATGCAGCAGAATTTCCATCCAGCTTGTTCTTGCCCACCTACTAGCTTTTCTCGAAGATTGCTGGCTGGCAAACCGTGGTGTACCACAATGAGGTCGTTGCGCTTTGGTTTCCGAAAGCAACCGTGGCCACGAGCCTATTCGTCGAGAAAAAGGCTGCTATCATTATGTTCCCGACGCTCGACCTCTCAGTCTTCGGCGGAGGAGTCTCCCCGGTGAAGGCCCAAACACACGATTGGTGCTTTGTTTCTGTATGGTACCTGTAGTTTCGGGTCTCGTCTTTAGTTACAATGTCCCGAGTGCTCCTCTGGACCATGTGTTGCATAGTTTCCGGAGTGTTCCCTTATCTACTGGGGACTGTTCGTTTGTGTACGGTAGCGGAACAACAGATTTTAAAAGGAAACACGAGTTGTCGACATCTTTAACGTGAAATGGCCGACGATCACAATTTCGGCTTGCGTCCGGTGTCGCTCCACCGCAAAAGCCAGTCCGTAGTAGACGATCCACTTGTTTACGGTGATACCAGTTACGGGCTCTTGCCACCACTGGAAATGACATCTGTTGTTAATGTTGTAGTTGTAGTTGTTTCCATTGCCATTGTTGGTGTTACAATTGGCGTAGTGAGGAGTCCACCTTCAATGTTGCCTAACCCTTGACAAAGATCGCCCGACACCCGCGGGAATCAAACTTGGGTTCGCTGCGTGTGAAGCGGAGTTGTTACCACAGCGCTACACCACAGCATAAACAACCCGCTATCCGATACCACTGCTCACGCTTTTTGGAAAAAATTGTAAAGCCCATCCACCTCCTTGTGAAGATGGAGGACCAGCGAAGCTGTTATTTTTACGACAACTATACGACATCTTTATGATTTACATATGATTGCAATGAAGGCACATACACAACTTCGTTGTTTAATTGTCTTTATTTAATTCTTAGTGACCAAAGTGATCATTGCCTTATGGTTACTTATGGACAAATTCTAAACCCAATTTTTTGAGGCACACCTTGAGGACAGGTTTTTTCCGATTGAGCCCAAGTCTCTTTATCAGCATCGCAGAAGCGAAAAAAAAGGAGGTTAGATCGGTGCGTTCTGCCCTTAGCCTCGTCACAGCACACTCTTAGCTGAGAAAAATCGGTGACCGTAGATGATAATAGGGGATCAGGACCTCACTATCTAATAATGCCAAGGAAAGCTGACTCACATGGGTTGCCCGCTCTTTTTATTTATACTTGCCATGACCAATCGGAACGAAGGAGCGCCGCTTAAACTGGAGTTTTTTTTCGTTAACATCTATATACACACTTTTTTACAGATACAGTACATAACAGCTTCATTGTAAAATACTTGTGCCGGGAGACATGCTTTTATGCGTTCCGGAACAAAAAAAGAAACAAAAGCGTTCAAAACAGAATTTTCAGATGTCTATTTTGTTCCAAACGCTTTTGTTCATGCACCCTGTGATGTGCGAATGCGATGCCGATGCCCAATGACTTTGCCGTGACGTGTCGCAGCTATCGCTGTGACTGTACTGTAGATTAAGAAAGGACTGCCCAATTCTTTGTTTTGTTAGCAGATGGCATAAAGGCAGCTGCAGCCTTTGCCAACATAAAAACGACCTAAACGCCTTGCCTGCGTGTTGCCGACTTAATGCCGACTCAAGCGGTAGTGAAACGCTCCTCCTTGCTTTTTCCTGTATCCCAGGCTGGCCAAGATAGCGACACTGACAAGCCTGTCTCGCAAGCAGCCCTTCCTGGAGCGCCTCCTGGGCTACTGGACACTCAAGAGGCAGTCGCGCAATGGCGTGCCCCTGCTCAGGCGTCTCCAGATGGCCCACCCTGGACGGAGGGACACGGTCCGTGAGGGGGAGATAGTTTTTCTGTATCTGAACCATAGGACATGCTTAGGACTGGTTTCCATGAGGTGCACATAACATTGTGAAAGGGTGTCAAGAGACATGGTCGTACGAACGGCAGTCCTCTACATTTGGTAGGTGAGACATCTGCCAAATTTCATTGTATGATTGTCACGTGGAATTCATCAGAGTGATGGTGGCTACGTCTTCACCGTGACTTTATCGCGTGATGTAGTCCCCTTAATGACATCAGCCGTTGAGAATGACATCATTTGTGGACTGCCTTCACAAAGCAGACGACATACCCTTTTTTAAGCAAAAGTGCCTTTTTCGTAAGCTCTGGCTCTTTTTCGTATCGTCTGCTTCCTCAAGGCAGACAACATTTCTGACCTAGGCAAGAGTGCCGCCTCCCCTTGTAAGCCTCTTGCATGTCGTCTGCTTCCAGAAAGTAGACAATGCCTCCCTTTCGTTTTGTGCAAGAGGCTCTCTGCGCAAAATGAGGAGGCCCCCTCCCCAGTGTTGTCTGCTCTCACGAAACAGGTTACTTGTTCGTTCTAAACAAGGGTGCCCCCTCTCTTGTAAGCTCGCTTCCGTGTCTCCTGCTTTTACAAATCAGATGAGTACTGTTTGGTAAACGTGGTTTACAAAGCAGAGCTCGTCACTAACGCAAACACGCCAAAGCTCTACAAGAGCCTCCACAAAGCGGCAGACGTATCCGTCTCAGCGTCGCCACGTGCCGGCGGCAACGCCGACTCAAGCTAGTCGGTGTCGCATAGACCCGCCAAAGCGGAAATGCACGAGCCTAGTCTTCCAGGCGCCGTTCATCCGTCCCCTACTAGAGCGTCACACTCTCCTCCTCTGCGCGCAGAAGGAGAGCGACCCGGAGTGCAGCGTCCTGCGGGAGCAGCTCAAGTTCTGGCAGCGGCTGCGCCAGGACCTGGAGCGGGCCCGCCTGCTGGTGGAGCTGATCCGCAAGCGGGAGAAGCTCAAGCGGGAGCAGCTGCGCCTCCAGCAGCTGGCCACGGAGCTGCGACTGGCCCCCCGGGGCGTGCTCATGCGCCGGCTGCTCGCCCAGCTCAGGGACAGGGACAGGGACGCCATCTTCGCTCAGCCGGTCGACCTTAAGGAGGCACGTGCACTTCCTCCCTCTCTTTCTTCTCGCTGTCTCAAGGTGCTTCGCATGTTTGCGGTCGAGCGTGGTCGACCGCGTCGCAGCCGCTTGCAACGAGAGAATGTGCTGGCTGGGCTCCAAAATTTACTCAATCTTGCTCCGGGGTAAGGGTTTTGTACCCTGGCATTTGGAAACTTACCCGCATTCGGCGTTTCTCTCTCTGTGTTGTCACGTGACGCGACCTGCCGGAGTGTGAGCAACAGCCCAAGCACAAATGCAAGCTCTCGGACTGTGTGGGTGCAGCTATGTAGCCCATCTATGACTGCCTCTCTCGGGCTTCCCTTCTGCAAAGGTGCTTGGGGTCCAAGACTCAGAATGCCTCCAAGTCGTTTCACGCAGTCCTCTGGTCACTTATGCCCAAAGAACAGCATGTGCCACTTATTGCTGTAGAAACAGCAGTTCATGAAGCAGTGCTGCAGTTCAATGCTGGCTGTTGCAAAGTAACAAAGGAGATCTCAGCTGCTCTGGGGCTCCAGCCAGGTCACCTAGCCCTCCAGCGAGCTGTCGAAAAAGATGGCCTACGCTTGCACAAAGCCGAGAAGCAAAACAAGAAGAAAGTGTGCAAGGACACTTCCAGCTACTCTGCAGGAGTATTTTAACACCAATAATGTTTGTGCAACTTTCAGGTGCCGTTTTCTCAAATTAATTTTTTTTTGTTCGGTGGTCTTAAGAGCGCCATATCTGTGGAACTGCTGAATGGATTCGAGTGCTCTTTCCTGTTTCATCTTTCTAAATAATATTGTGAAGGTATGACTATTTTGTTTTAATTAAAATAAGAACACCGACTTGACATAACAGAAAAAACAACTTCATTAGACGTTTCGCCACCCATGCGGGAGGCATCATCAGTAGTTACACAGCAAATGCAGGGTTCAACCTCAACTCAATGCTATTTATCATGAATGTCCGTGTAAGCTTCGTGGAGAGGGCCGCAGTTTTTGTTGCGCACGGATGTGTCCCTGCGAACAAACCACGATTCTAGAAGCTTTCGGGGCCCCATCTGTCCTCCCTCGCCAAGGTTGTCGTGGCTGGAAAGTCGCGACGACCTTGGCGAGGGAGGACAGATGGGGGCCTTGAAAGCTTTCCGGCCGCGACGACCTTGCCGAGGGAGGACAGATGGGGCCCCGAAAGCTTCTAGAATCGTGGTTTGTTCGCAGGGACACATCCGTGTGCAACAAAAACCGCGGCCCTCTCCACGAAGTTTACACGGACATTCGTGATAAATAGCGTTGAGTTGAGGATGAACCCTGCATTTGCTGTGTAACTACTGATGATGCCTCCCGCATGGGAGGCGAAACTTCTAATGAAGTTGTTTTTTCTGTTATGTCAAGTTGGTGTTCTTATTTTAATTATGACGTCTCCCGGCTTTTGGAGTATTTTTGAATTTTGTTTTAATAAATTGAGTCAGGAGCTCATGATAAACACATTAAATTTGATGGATCTGGGTATGGCCAAAAGCTTAAAATTCAATATTGCTAAAGCTGAGGCTTGGGCAAGTTGGTACATACTTCGGAATTAAAAACAGCTCGAAAAGACGAGGACTAGGCGAAGAAGTAACACGGACGTAGCGCTGACTTACAGCCGAGTTTATTGATTGCAAAATCGCAATATATACTTGCACTGTCACAAACAAAAGAGAAGAAACTAACGGAAGAATTCAGCCCACGTGATACATCACCAATAAAAAATAATAAAAAATAAAAAAGGCGCCAAGATACAGCCGTACAGAGCTCGTGTTAAAAAACGAGCAAGTCAGGAAACTAGGAAATTTATCTCTTTGCCTGATAGGGCCACAGAAGGACTCCTCCCACATGCAGTGCCCAACCTTGCTATCTCAACAGCCTCCAGAATTTCACGAGTAAGCTGGTCCCTATGACGCTTAACAATCTCACACCATTGGAAGTCGGGTAGGCAACCACAGTCGCAGCAATGAACGTCCAGATGACCAGACACGGAATATTGCACAGAAGGTTTTTTGTAAAGATAATATTGAAAGCACCTTTGTCTTGCCCTGTGGTATCTATCCAGGAATCATTATGTATAGCAAATTTCACACTGCCCCTACTTTTTGCAAATTCACTAGGCCCAGATTAATAGAAGCACATGAACAATTAGGACGAACCCCCATAACTTGACACCTAGCAAGCACAAAACCATGAAAATTTGCAGTCACTCTTGTGTTGGTGCTATGAACATACCCTGAACATTTCGTTGTGATAGCCCTAAAAATAAAAATATTGTTTTTGGGGGAACCCACATTTTCCCTAAAGGGGGGACACTACCCAGAAAAGTCAACTGTACCAAATGCTTGATTTTAATCAAGTTTGCAGTGGAAGTTTATAGGAGTGGCAGGACCATCCCTGTCAAATTTCATTGTCCTATATCAATTTTGGGAACTTGCTACGAATGTTACAATATGGAAGTCAGTGTTTTCAATTAGGGAAACTATTGCTTTTAAATCAAATAAAAATTTGAAATTTTTATTTGTAATATAATTATAGGAATACCCATAGCACATACCCAGCTAGTTATTTTGCTATATTGCATTGTTTTTCATGAGTATAACTTCATAAGAAGATTACTTTTTTTTTTTCATACCTGCGCTTTTATACAAATATTCTTTTTAACACAAAAGAATGTTAAAGTAGAAAAACTAACCAGCCAGGCATGTTCCTCACAAAATTCTATCCTAGATGACCACCTGAGAATTATTCTCTATTGTGTAATAGGAAAACTATAGTTTTCCTGAAGTGAAATTTATTTCGAAAGGTGGAACAGAGAAGAATGTGTTCAAAGTGCTTTAACCCCTACCTTCTGTTTAGCATCGGTGGACCGAAAATAATTTATACGAAATTAACTATGCAGTGTAAACTAATGAAACTTTCTAGGAATACTCTCTAGATGTTGGTGGATGTAAATATGGCATTTTTTCAAAATCAGCTTTTTTTGCAGAAATTGTTTTTTCTGGGTAGTGTTCCCGCTTAACTTTGTTCACCCCTAAGCTGACAGGGCAGTGGAAGCTGAACGCTTGCTGGACCAATCAACCACCTTCCTTTCGTCATCTGACCTCTTTCTCCTCGCATAGGTATCAACGGAAACGCAATCACTCGACAGAAGATGGAGGGATGAATGGTCGAACAAGCGTGTGGCTTCCACCGCTCGTTGGATGTGTCAGCTTCGCAGTGAACAGAGTATAGTAGATGCGTGCAGTTCTGCACATGAACGTGTTAGGTGCGTGTGCATGTTGCACGACAACTCGTTGTCGGATGTGACACTATTGTAGTGGCTACCACTCCAACTCTATGTTGACATCCGCATCGCCGAGCGAGCGCGTGCTTGTGTGGCCCTGTGGTTATCGTGCTTGCCTTTCGCGCGGAGGCCCCACGCTCGATTCCTGGGAGTGGACGCTTCCTTTATTTATTCTTCCAATTTAGCGTTCTTGTAAGTTCGGGAACCTTGTCATCTGATACAGGTATGAATGTTCTACACACCGAATGTTTGAGAAACGCATACGGGTACATAAGGGACTCCGCATGGCGAGCCAGAATCAGTCTTTTGCCAGCGCTCGATCCTGCCGCTACGCTGACACCGACTGCAATGCCCAGTTATTTCATCTTTTGTTTCGCACAAGTTCGCCACATGAAACCTTTACTTTCCTTATTTCACTCCTGCTTTGTCTTGTGTCATCCGTGGCACTGGCCCAGGGTTGGTCACTAGCCTGTGTTCGAGTGGTGGGTCACTACAAGATGGCGGATTGCTGGCAACTCTTAGTAATGAATGACCTTGTGGTATTAGTATTCTTTTAATTAATTTTTTTTTTTCTGAGAAAATGTATTTTATGGCATAGATGGCCTGTTCAGGCAATCAAAATGTTTCTGGGAGGTTCAGTGTCATTTTAACACAATCAACGAGTCAAGCTTCTGAGAACCAAGTGTCAAATCTAGGGTAGCTCTTCTTGACAATGGAAGTTAAGATCATCCGGATCCTCCTGACCTTGATCAAGGTCAAAGGCCCGGTTGGTGGGGGGAGGCTTTTTGACGAGAAACACTGTCCATCCACAGGTGCCGGACTACCTGCACTACATCTCCCAGCCGATGGACTTCTGGAGCATGGAGCAGAAGCTGCGCAGGCACGAGTATGCCAGCCTGGACCAGTTTGAGGCAGACTTCCGGCTGGTGGTGGACAACTGCACCACCTACAACTCCAAGGACACCCCCTACTACCGGGCGGCCGTGAAGATGCGCGAGCAGGTGGGTCCTCCCAGCGGGCCCGTCCTTTCTCTGTACCGTGGGCGTTCACCGACGGGGGAGTGCTAAATCGAGCAGCAACAGTCTTTAATGTTGAGAATGTTTATTGCAAAATCGGCGAATGAAAATGATGCAAAAACCAACATTGAAATATACCCACACTTTTTAATTCCACGACGTCGGTGGAAGGCAGGCTTGCAGGTCCAGCGGGCAATCTGAAAATGAACTATGTCGAGCATGTTCGTGCCGCTGCGGCACGGGGTGCTGAAGCAAGCTTCCGAAGCGTTTGTTTGACACCATGAAAGTGCTCGTAATCAGTTGGTAACAAAGTCTAGAGTCCAAAGAGAACCCCCGCCTGCCGCCGATGTCACTTTTAAAGTGACAGCTTTACGGGCGACACCTTGCTGAGATTTCGGCTTCGTCTCCCGTCGTCACCGCGCGCCCGAAGAAGGGAAAAAAAAAACCTTCTCTCCCCTCTTGCTGCGAGGTGAGGGAAGTTGGGACGTCCCGTCGGCCATGCCTTGTGAGGAAAGCAAGGAGGCCAGCCCAGGCTTCCTGTCAATAATTGCGTGTCTCAGGGAGAATATCCATGTCGTCTGCTTTGAAAGAGTTATTTTTAAACATTCCTCGCATTAAATGAGCAAAACCTTACTTTGACAGTATCCAGCTGCTACACATAATGTCGGATAGTTTTAAAAACTTCCACCGCATTTGCCCACTTACTTCACGGATCACTGTCGTCCGTGGCATCCACGACGGCTATGGGACTTAACCACGTCGCACCTCCGTCTTGGGGTACCTGGCGGCACCATTCCACCCGCATTGCGCGACCGTGCAACAGCTATCGTTTTCGTTTCTTCTCTCACTTTCGGCAAAAAAAAAGTGTCTTATTGTTGCCATTAAAGACTTTCACTTTGAAAAACACTGTGAGGACCAAAATTGTAAATTCAATAACTTCGCGGACAAAATAGATTTTGGCCCAGTATTTGGCTTACTATTTCAGGGACGTCTGCCGGCGTGTTTAGCAAATTTTCAGGCAAATCGTGGTTTAAAAAGGAAACACCGGGGCACCCCTTCAAAGAAGTGTTGAGTGCCAATGGGGTTCCTTTTAAAATGGCTGCCGCGCGGTCAACGGGCCTAGTTTGAGTATGGTGCCAGGGACGCGTCTTCGCCCGGCGCATTTAGCGTCCCATCCCGCGCACATGTCAAAAGTAGCCCGGAAGGGGCAACAAACGACGTCGTGGAAGCCGGTGCATCATGCCGTCGGACGTCGCGAACCAGGCGGTCAGTGCCGAAACTCCTGCCAAAAAGTATGGGCGAGCGTTGCCGTCGTCACAGCATCCCTACTCCCGGCGGCCCAAGCTTCCGTGAACTGTTCAGCCGAAGAGCGGCCTACGGGAGAACGGGCGTCCGCCACGTCACATTCTGGCCGCCGGCAGGGCGACACTTTCGCGACGTCGATGGGCTGAAAATCAAGCGGGTACTTTTGATGATGTGGTAAACACGTCAACTGGAGACGCGTCCGAAGCACCGCGGCTGTACAAGGGCGCACGTACTGGAGGCGGGCATTCAAGTGTGTGCCGCCTTACGTTGCCAGGGAGGGGCGCTCATCCGGCAAGCCAGGGCCCAGGCAGAGCGCTGCGGCTACGATCCGGACACGGGCATGCACCTAGACGGATCGCCAGGCAGGAACGCAGAACGTCCTTCACCGGGTGAGTTCCTCTGGTGACAGTCCCTCGGCTTCATCTGTCTTGCTGTCCTCGTTTCTTTGTGGTGTGGTGGACACGGGAGCAGAATGCGGCAAGTGGTAGGCGCTGACATGGATCTGGTCCCGAGAGAAAGAACAAGAAGTTGTACGGTTAAGGGGAGATTCTACTCTTGGAGGCAAAAAGTATTAAAACAGTTGTAGAACCCATCCACTTCACGTGAAGATGGAGGACTAGCGAAGCTGTTATCTCTCCGATAACGCTCACAGCACACATTCGTGCTGTTGAGTTCACCAACGATCCTTGTAGGCGCGCTCTTCCTCTTCAGAGGGAACAACACGCGGCCTACCCATGACAAGTCCAAAGGGCAACTGGTAACGTCACTAGGAAATGGATATTTCGAAGGACAAAGGAACACAGCCATTGGTTGTTAAGTAGCTATTTTAGGTTTTTTTCAGTGATGTTATAGCGAATTACTATATTGATTGAATAAAGACACATATGTACATAAGGGCTATGAGCTCTTTCAATGCACCACGTTTTAAGTTCTGAACCCAATTTTCCGAGGCACACCTTGAGGACAGTTTTTCCGATTGAGCCCAAATCTCTTTATCATCTTCGCGAAAGCGAAAGAAAAGAAGGTTAGATAGGCACGTTTGTCACAGTGCACTCTTAGCTAAGTCACTGACTAGATGATAACAAGAGATCAGGACCTCACTACCTAATGATGCCAAGAAAGGCTGACTCGTACGAGTTGCCCCCTTTCTTTTATCTATACTTGCGACGACCAACCAGAAAGAAGGAGCACCACATAAATGAAAGTTTTTTTTTTTTTGTTAACATCCATGGACACATTTTTTACCAGATCCAGCTTCACTGTAAAAAGCTTGGTTTTAAAATTTTGTTTAATTTTTTTTTTTTATTTATTTTATTTTACGAATTATGAAGATTGAGAAGTTCTATACCATCTTGTCCTAGAGTATTTTCGTGAAATGAGTCTCTTTTATATTGAAATATTGGCTCAAAAACGTAGTAAAATGAGTCTCTGCATGTTTTCTGCTATCTCAGGATGAATAGCTTACACACCTTGCTATCTTATGGAAGCTGTATCGACACTTGCACATATCCAATCTTCCAACTTTTTTTTTTCCTCCGGTAAGTGCATGTGCAAAGCAACCTAAAAGTAGTACAAATATGTTAAATATGGCATCAAGTTTTTCTTTTTATTATACATTTTAGACGTTCCAGAATAAATCATCTTGAAACTGAAAAAATCACAAGTGTCATAAAAAGCATATAAATCCTTCTAGAGCTTTTATTTATACCTTATTGGATTCCACAGTAGCTTCAGTTTAGTGAGATTTGTTAATTTTCTGATTTCAGTTGGTCTTAATCCTTCTGACAATGTTTGCAAATGAAACTTTTAGGCTACATCAAAGCCAAGTGCTTCCAGAAATTCCTACCAATAGGGCGCTTGACAAACGAATAAACTTTTTTCAGAAACAAACTGCCAGCCCTGGCAGACATCAGGGACGTAAAAAAAAATAGTAATTAGCTAATTAAGAAACTAAAATTGACTAATTCACTTTTTATTTGTGAAAATAAACATAGTCCCGAATAAAAACTTGCTGATCGTCATCAAAGACACCTATATCAGTCAATTTTATGATTACTCAAAGCATTGGGGAAGTGCGGGAGTGCAATGAAGTTACCACACGTGCGGCAGGCCCAAGGCTGGCGATGGGAAAAAGCAGACTATGTTCTTGCCATCTGCGTTTCTGCGTCACCGGCTTGTTCCTGCTACATGAGTGGTAACTTTCCGACTGATGCATTCTGCGTCGGCCGTCTTTATGTGAAGTATGTAATTTCTTTCTACCTTTCCCCAGCAGTGGATCCAGCCAAGCAGTCGCAGCCTCCGTCAGAAGGCCAGCGTGGCGGGGACACGCGCAGCCGCCTGGAGGCCCTCCTGCCCCGACTGGCAGCAACGGCGGGACCAGGGCGGCGCAAGCTGGCCATCCAGGTGGCGCGACTACGCCGCCAGCTCACCATCGAAAGCTGCAGCCGCTCCAGGCGCCAGAGGGGGCTGAGGGCACAGGACAGCGGTAAGTATAATGATGCTTCTGGGCTCCTGACTGTCGTTTGGCACAGGTGGCCATTCTGGCTTTTGTGCCTAGCCCGCAGCATCTTCATCGTCGTCATCGTCACCGCAGAGGTCATTTGGCGCAGGTAGCCTTCGTAGCTTTTGTGCCGTAAGCCCCTGAAGTTGTCCTGATTGTTATCCCTGGTGGAGTCATTTGGTGCAGGTAGCCATTGTAGCTTTTGTGCCATAAACCCCCAAAATTGCCATTGTCATCACTGACAAGAGTCATTTGATGCAGGTAGCCTTCAGGCCCCTGAAGTCGTCTTGATTGTCATCCCTGGTGGAGTCATTTGGTGCAGATAGACATCGTAGCTTTGTAGCTATAAAACCTCCAAAATCATCATCTTCACCACCGACGGCATCATTTTTTTAACCTTTTCTGCCATAAACCCCTAAAATTACTGTTATCACTGACTGAGTCATTTGGTGCAGATAGCCTTTTTAGTTTTTGTGCCATAAACCCCCAGTGGTCGTGATCACTGATGGACTTACTTGATGCAGAAAGCCTTTGTAGCTTTTGTGCCATAAACCCCCTAGTCATCATCACCACTGATGGAATTATTTGTTGCAGATGTTTTAGTTTTTGTGCCATAAGCCCCCAGTTTTCTATTTGATTGCGACATAATTTGGAGCAAAGGTTTGAGCTGATGGAACTTTTTTTTTTTTTTAGCTATAATTCAGGGGTTGAAGTAAATGTGAATCTTGTAAGCTACAGTACTTGACACAGTGGCATCACATGACATCATTTTTCATGGTCACGTGATGCCAGCACCCTGCGCTGGTTTGGTGTGACATTGTGTCCATGTCGCTCCAGCGGAGCTGTAAACATGTTGCACCTTCTGTCTCCCAACTGTGTTGTGTTGTAGGGCCGGGTTTCTCGAGAAAAGCGGTGCATTTCTTTCGGTCGTTGCTCGACCGATGCACCGGTCAAGGTCATATCGCGTGTCTATTGCGGAGAAGGAACGCTACTTCGTACTTGTAGAAGATTCGTGTTTACTCTTACCCCAAACGTGCAACGCTCCGCTGTTTTTGGGCAGATTTCAAATTCAAATTTGTTTATTTTTGCCACCTACTACATTTGTGACAGGGGCGCTGGAAAAAAAGCTGCAGGTGTGCAGCTTTTTTTGTTGTTTGAGATAGCGAGCGTAGTAGACAAGGAGCGCAGCACGGCCTCTCGCGCCAGCCAGCTGTGACGCCGACACCTCGACGCTCGCTGCTGCCGCCTTCGATGCTCGCTGCTGTTTTCCGGACGCTCATTCTATTTTTGTTCCCAGCACAAGTTTGCCGATTAAACCTCTATTTTCAGCTTTTGCGCTTGCCGGTACTCTTTCATCCGTGACAATATCCACAATGTAGCCATATAGGGGCTATTCGCAACTCCAGCACGCCGCTCGCCCTCCCGCGGACGAGCGGAGAACTAGAGGAACTTGGACGGCAGCGGCGGCGCGGAAAAGGGCTGTCGGCCTTGATGCGTGAAGCCGTTTTAAAGAAAAAAGCGAGCGCGTTAAAATAGTAATTCTTGTGCTCTGCCTCGCAACAGCGTTGCTCGAAGGACCGGGATGTTTAATTTCATTAGGGACTCTTCATATATTGCATACGCTTCGGATTTCTGGTCTTGCACATGACTACCAGCTCAATCTGTGCTCAACGTGACGGCAAACGCTCCCGCTAACAATGAAGAACTCTAGCGTACGATCTACGAAAAGTGCATTCGTTGCCCTAAGTACGAGAAAACTGGTCGCGGAACGATATGTGGAGCAATACACGTCGGGAATGGGTTTGCGTTTTAAGGCCGTATAGGAACATGACCATTTATTCCAAGCACTTTTAAAAGATAGAATACACGCACTTGCTTTCAGGTAATTGCAAAGTAAATAAAGAAATGCCCAAAGCATTTTATCCGTGTCTGTGTTAGCCAGCTGTTCGTGACGAGAGCTTAGAACGGGCAGTTGTGGCGAGACGGGCCGCAATGTTGCAAATAACACAATAAAAAAAAAGTATGGTATATTAAAATATGCATTTTTGGTAGAGCAATAAATCAAACCCTTAAACACGCCGATTATGATAATATGCAGTTTTAGCATAGCATTACCCCAGGCTGCCGTTGGCTACCGTGAGCACGGCAACAATCCCGGCGCGCGCTAAAAATTGTGCTCCAAAGGCGCAGCGCGAGCCTCCGGTTGCAATAGTACATTGCACGGTAGCCCGCGGTAACAAACTTCCAATCAAAAACCATAGAGCAATTTGATCACGTGTTGCAATACGCTAAAACTGAGACGATGAGCAGCGAGTTGCGAGCCTGTGACACGAAGACATCACTACTGTGAACGCTGCTCTTCCGGTGCTTGACGGTCGCCGTGCATGGCTCACTTTTAATGGCCAGGCAAAGCACAAACACAATATCTTCATCACCCTAAAAAAATATTCTGAAGCAAACAGTGACGTGGCCGGTGCGTAAATTGCACTCGCCCATCGCAAAGCTTCGCAAGTCGAGGTTTCTGCAACTTTTAAATATCAGCATGCTCATTTTGCTAACGTGCTTCAACATCTCAGCATCACCTGTAATATAATCCTGGCCTAACCACTTCGAGTTTGCAGGCCAATAAATCATTTTTAGCGCATTGACCAGCGTCAGCGAGCAGGCGCACGGGAAACCCAGGAGAATCTATCCCCGTCTCTTCCGCCATCTTGGAACTACCGCCTCGCCACCTATAGGGCGTTGGAGTAGCGAATATAGCTTACATGACCTTAATGTCGGGGTGTCACGTTACACGCATGGACTACATGTTTCCAAGTTATTCGCAACTAGGTACATGTTTTCAGCTCTTTCATATTCTAGGTTTCAAAGTCACATAGGTCATTAAAGGGCAACTCCAATCATATTTTTTAATTTGGGATTACAACTTTTTTCAGCTCAGGCAATGTCTCCGAATTACGAGGCATCATTTTTTTTATTGATATTGCGTGTAGTTTTATAAATATCATGGCTCAAAGTGTGGTTTCGGATGTCTACGGCAAAACCAAAACTATCTGTTAGAGGGATGGCAACACCAATCATCAGCAGTACAGCCAAAACGTGATGTCACGAGGGTGCTGCTCCAGTGTTCTTCGACTAAAACCTAACCCGCTTGCCGCCCGCTAGAGAGAAGCTGGTCGCATCTTTAAGATCGGTCTTAATGGAGTGCGCGACTTTGCTTTGACGTAACATTTCGGCTGTGATCCTATTTCGTGCCACTAAAGCGATACCGGTCATTTGTTTTGGTTTCTTTTTCGACCCGAGTTGCCCTTTAAATGAAAATAAAAAGAAAGCATATTCTGTGCCACCAGCTACAAGAAACGTTTCCTAACTTGATCACTACGTGGATTGCACTGTCCGAGTCTGCCTTTAGAAGTATTAACGGTGGATTGATCCTTTCAGGAAGGAATTTTGATGTTTAAAATGCTCTTTATTTTTTTTCTTGATTTCATGTTAACAGGTTTTACTGATTTGTTACCTGTTCATGTTCCACAAACGAGTTTGTTTTGTCAATACTAGACTGTACCCGCTTTATTGCTTCGGCGCTGCGGGTCGTTTCCATAAATAAATAAATGACCACGATCTGCGCGTCTGCAGGTTTATCGGATACGATTGAGGTGAGCATACATTTGGTCGTTTCGCGCCTCTTCGTTCCAGCCGGGTCGGGGGGGCCCCAGCAGCGCCCGGCGGAGTCTTCATCCTCCTCGGAATCCTCGGAGTCGGAGCCCGCCCCACCCCCCGTCAAGTCCCGCCGGGGCCGGCCCCCCAAGCGCCCGCCCCCACTGTCGTCGGGATCGGGCGCTGCCACCGCCCCCGGCACCGCGGCCAACCCCGCAGAGCCCGCGCCCAAGAAGGGCTCTCCCGCGCCGCCCGTCCTCCTGCCTCGGGTCTCGCCTCCGTCTCAGAGTGAGTGTCTCGTCGGGGGCGTTGCGCGACACCTCCGACAGATGGTGCAGGTCTTCGTTAGATTTCGAAGGGACTGTTCACGTGCCTGCTTTTGCTTACGATTGAATTCTTGCGATCTCTTACGACGAGAGAACGCGTTGGTGACCTCTATGAGGTGACCCCAAAAACTGCATTTCACTAGAGTGTAGGTTTTTTTTGGTATTTGCGAGATAAAATGTAGATACTGTCTATGAGAAATGTTTTTTTTTTTTATTAGGTAGTCTAAAGTTTTTCAAACCAAAAAAGAGTGAATGATGCGGGAAAAAAATGAGGAAGTATAGGGAAATGCCAAGTGTTCCATTTGTCCTCTCATCGTAAAGGATTGTAAAAGGTTTTAAAGGGACGCTGAACCGAAATCTGGATTCCACAAAACATGGGGGCAGAAGCGTGCCACGGGAAGCTACGAACACCAATACATCACTCGCACAGCGACATCTTGAACGGATGACCATATTTTTCTAAAAAAGAAAAAAGTTCAGCCTTTCCACTCTCGTGAAGAAGGAAGACCAGCGGAGCTGTACTTGATACACTGCCACAACGCGCACGCGCCCGTTTCCTACTTGTTCTTTTCCGACACGCCGCCGATCGTGGATACGTCTCCAGCGAACCAGAGTCGGTCGCACACGGCGCACGTGAAGACAAACGGGTTCTTCACGATCTCCCTCTGGAACCTCGCCGTCCCACCTTGGAACTGTTCAGCCGGCGTGGAGTGCTGTTGTCGCCGGGCCTCGCGCTTGCGCTTCGCCTCTGTGGCACGATCTTCGTCCGTGGCATTGGCTCGCTGGCGCCCTTTACATTGCTGGTACTGTTCTCACCGGCAGCTTTCCAGGCGAGCGACGTGCTCTTTCTTCTTTGGTAAGGGAATCTGAAGCGCTGGATGCAGTGGAAGTCGAGGCGACAGCTGCTTTGCAGCAGATTGCGGACCCATTCGCGCTGCTGCGTACGTTGCTGCTGCTTCCGCAGCCAGTCTCCTTTCCCCGAAAGGGCGCGCGGCCAACCCATCCTGAGTCCAAACCGAAACTGATACTAAGAGCGTAAGAAACAGCGCGCAAAACAGATGAAAATGAAGAAACACACGTGACGAGCGCTGCGCTCGTTACGTGTGCTTCTTCTTCGTCGTCGTCTGTTTTTTGCGCTTTTTCCTACGATGAATTTTCACCAACACGCCCAACTATCCATTCTTCCATGATAGCTGGAAAGGTTGCCGTGATCTATGAGTCACAGCGGTAGCCAGACTGGCTGTGTGCTTGCTACCGCCGCTTATAGATGGCGGTAGCTGTCCAGGCAGGTTTGTGTCAACATACCGGACATGATTCTGGGGAACCTAGCCCTTAACAGCTCCGCTGTAAAAGAGGTGCATTTGACAGATATGTTGACGTCTTGTTTCTCCGAGAAAAGTCGAGAAGGAGAGGAAACGGCCTCATGTCTTCTCAGTCTCGCCGCCTTGAGATGGCAAAGCGGAGTGGAGGGATCGAGATATTTTCACGTCACGCGCCTCGTCGGCTTCGTTCAATTGCGGCCTCTTTTTCCATAAATACTGCCATCTATTCAAGATATCGCTTTATGGGTGGTGTTGTAGGGATTCTAGCGTCCTGCCTACCGCTCCTGCATTGTTTTCTGAAATCCAAATTTCGGTTCACCATCCCTTTAAGGCACGCGGTCGTAAGCAGTCGCAAGTGTGTGAAGCAGTATTGAGACTGATCGCATTCGTTCGCCGTTCATTCGTCCACGAAAACGTTTTGGATGTTTATGCGCAAACAGAGCACGCCTAAAACCGGCACGGGCTATTGTTTCAGGACGGACATCTCTTGGCATGTCACGGCCTGTGCAAACGATGCTTGCGCACATACTATCGCGGACAATTCGAGCAGAAACGGTCCTTTGTGCTGCTTGTGTACCTGCTGGTTTTCGAGAGGGACGCGGTTTGAATTAGGAAGGGAAAGTGAAGTCGAGGTTCCATACTTCGAACTTTGCAACAGATCGGGAGGTAACAGCTCGGTCGGATCGAGCATTTCGGCTCGTGCCGTCCGCGGGTGTACAATCTCTACCGATACGAAAGACCCACCCGGAGCTGGCGTGGCCGAGACGGTGGCCGGCGGGGGTGCAACGTATGCTGCAAACGGTTCCACATCGCCGAAAGGAGGGGGGGAAACCACAACGCAGCTAAGACGAATCAGAACGGCTTCCTCTTCCTCAGAGCAGCGTGGAATTGCCCAAAGTATGGAAAGTGCCGCCTACCACAGTCGCCGACAAGGTCGGAGCAATAGGGAGGGGCTTCGGTCATCCCGAATCTGGCGTGAGCTTCCTACCTTCGAGGACGCTCCAACATCTCGTACACCATTAGCACAAATGGCTCGCGGTGCACGAGAGGCTGGGGTACCTCAACGTCCTTCAGTTTAGGGCGACGTCATCCTTCATGGATGCCAACAGTATGCGCTTTTGGTAAAAATACAAAGAAATCGTCAAAAACAAATTGTTGCCGTAGCACAATCGATGCCACTAGAGTGTGGGGGACGCGCTCTTTCGTGCACTTCGCAACAAAAAAAAAAAAGCGTTTGGAACAGAACGTTTAGACATCATCACCCTCAGCGAAGCGCACGTGGAGGCACCCTACTGGAGACTAGGCATTCGAAAAATATGCCCCACCGTTCTCGCTCTGATGGTGACTATAGCCGCCGTCTCGGCCATGCGCCCCAAGTCTTTCGTAGCGGTGGAGTCCTTACTTTCGCACTCGGCGCTCGGGGAGGCGGTCGTTATGGTACGTCGTATCATGCCTAGCGAACGACGACGCAGAGACGGGCAAAAACGCCATCTGTGCCATTGCAAATAGCATTTTGCGCACTCGAAATTCAGGCCAGACCACATTCCTCGGATTTCGAAGTTGCCTGGCTTCACTCGTTCTCTTTGTGTTTATTTCGCGAATTGCAGTGGTTGGTTCTTTGTGCGCTTCTGAAAAAATTGATGCACAGACTCGGTTCAGGAATAGTGCAACACGTTGCACGGACCTCTGTTGCGACAGCAACAGTCTCATTGTGGGCGGTCGTGAGCAGTCGTAACGCGGTTGTTCGTGCTCTGACGGAAACGTGCGCGTCAACCTTGGCAATAACGTCGACTAAGCTCACCTTTTCTTCTGTCGATGCATGTTGCCCCTGCCCTGCTGCTTCACTTGTGGCCTCGTCCTTCTGCACGCTTGCTCTGTGCTTTTCCCATTGCTTCCTGCCCGTGTTCGCCTCCAGGCACCTAGCCGTGCCTCGGCGTTTCCTCGGCACGCCGTCTTAACCTGGCTGCATGCACCGCTCGGGGTCTCTCGCGGTGGTACTTCTGTGGCACCAGCGACTCAGCTTGGCTTGGCTGCCACCGGTGCACTGGTTTTGGCTGTGATCGGCTCTGCTTGTGGATTGCACTTGCATGCGGCGGCGGTTTCTTATGGGTCGGAGGACCCGAAGAAATCGGAAGTGGCATCGTGTCTGTGGACCAAGTGACCATGGTTTTTCTGTTATTATTGTTAAGTTGGTACATGGACCAGCAAGTGTACCGTGAAAGAGGTTTGATGTCAAGAGTTTTACTAGAGTTTAGTTTCGTTCCGACGGTATCAGTGTGGTGTCTCCAATACAGACTGTACTATTTTTTTTCGAATAAAAGAGTGCATTGAAAATGAATGGGGAATCTTAAAAACCACATTTTATTTCTTTTTGCTGGCTGGCATGATATTGTAGTAAATACGGAAGCGGCACGGAATCTGTGTAGAAAAGAGTAGGGTTGTGCGAATTTTCGAAATTTTGAATAGTAGTTTCGAATAATATACTATTCAATATTCGCTACGAGAAGAACTGCACTATTCGCGTTTTTCTAAGTGTTGATTGCGATGGGTATGCCCCGTTGAGTACGCTTTTTTCTGAGCGCCGGTACACAGCGGAGAAGCAATACCCGTGGAAGCTAGCTCCACGGGTGTTGCTTCTTTGCATTACATTGGGGCTCGGTAAGAAGCGCACTCAACGGGGTAATCCACCGCGATAAACACTTAAAAAAGTATGAATATCGCAAATGCGTGCTTGGAAGAAAAGCATACATCCAAAGCGAGGTGGTGCACATGTGCCGGCTGTATTTGGGAGTAAATGGAAACTTTGTGAATCTGTATGTCTACATTGTAGTAAAAGTTCCAAAATTAAAATGTTTGTTGTGCAAGAGAATACTATTTTAGGCAGACATGCCCTTACAACCTGCGTTCAACATGCTCAATTATTCATTTTAATGCGAAAGCATTAACTGGGTCCCATGGAGCGAGCTGACGTCATCAGTTCGAAGCGCGAAAACGGCACCTAGTTTTCCCTATCCCAAAGAAGTGAAGTAAAGCTGATGGATTTTGCCTTCGGTTCCACTGGTTGGCGCGCGTACACGGGGCTCCCATTGGCGGCTGCGCTCGTCAGTTTTCACGTTCGCTCGCTCCATGGCACGCCGTTAACACGAAGCGTCCAAGGTAAGCATGCCCAGGAGAGCACTCACGCTGATCGGCAACGAAAAGTACGCAGCAGACGAAAAAGGGAGCGGATGAGCGACTTGCATGCTTTTGGATTCACAACTCATAAGAAGTGCTTAGGTGTACCTCGACCATATTTTAACTCGAGATTAAAGAGCAAGATTTGTAAATTCACTCACTTGGGTATACCATAGTTGGTTATTTCTACAAGATTCTTTTTATGTCAAATTCGTCGGTTACTTGCCATCCCAAGACATCAGACCCCATGACGACACAGTTAAAAAATATAGATAAACTTAGTTTATAAATGAACAAGTGGAACAACTTTCACAAGTTTAGCTGGGTTTTCGTATAAGCATGACGCAATGTTAGTGAAATGCGTAGAAAAAGTATTCGATATTCGAATCTAAAATATTCGGCCAAAACCAGTATTCGCTTCGAATTCGCTTCAAACTCAAAATCCACTATTTGCACAAGTTTAGAA